AAATGATGTCAATTGATGTCCCGTGTCCTAGCACCACAGGACCTCTACACCGATTTAGTTTCTCCACTATATTTAGTAGAAAAATTTGTTACATGACCAATTAATTTTTCCCGCTAAATTTGGCAGGGAAATCTATGTCACGTGACCTGAAGACCTTCTGTTCTCCCACTAATTTTAACGGGGAAATTGACGCCACGTGGCCTATGCACTTAGTTTCCCCCCCTCAATGTAGGGGGGAAATCGATAAAAATAAAGGTTCTCCTTCACTCCCCTAAACGACAGTATAATGCAGGGGCGGCCAAGCTGCAGCTCTTCGCGTGTTAAAATGCGGCTCGAGGCTCCCTCCCCTACCCTCCCCCCCACCCCACTCCTCCGGCTCCCTCCCGGTCACACGAGCACTTTCCCAAAAAGAGAAATGGAACGCGTTGTAAATCGAAAGACAGGTTGCGCGTGTGTGTGTGTGTGTAAGCGTTGTAAAAGTAGATGAGGGTGGAGGAGGGGGCCAATTGTGAGACAGGTTGCAGTCTGGTAGTCTTGTGCTACTGCTACCTTAAAGGGCAACTCCGCTCAATTTCGAAGATTTCGGGATAATGATTGATTTCGAATTAAAAAGCCCTAGTAAAACGCACTACGTCGTTTGCTTCGCGAAAAATGGGATATATATTTTTAAATCTAATTTTAAACACGAGCGGAAATCGAAACCGAAACTTCGGCTCCGCCCGGCAACATTGGCCTCGGGTCGCCTAGTACATGGCCATCACGTGGTACGAGATGTCACGTAATCCTCGGCCCAATGACGGGCGGGATTGTGGCGGGCGTGTGGCAGGCGCGAGTGTCGTCTGCACCGCACTCTTCGCCACGTTTTGGTGTCTACGGCATTCGACGACGTCTGCACAACTGCGGCATAAGTGTGCGCGCACGTGGTGTCCGTAGTGTGGACGAAACTCCGAGAGACAATAATCACAATCAGTGAGACGACGACGGCGGTTGTGACGCGGAAGACGGCGGTAATGGCGGGACCACGGCGGGCGGCCAGACGGCTCCCAAGAAACGCGCTGCGCAGGCGCGTTACGCCAATCACGTGGACACTGCTGAGCGCCGAGAGGCAACGTTGCTGACGTCAAGCGCTACACTTGCCCGGAGAAGTGAAAACAAGCAGAAGGGGGCCATTTAGGTGGCGTTTAGCTCAATGTTGGCTCCGCCCATGCCGTAGCCTTGACTGCGCTGTTGGTTGCGCCTGAATTCGCCTGCTCAAGTCAGCCGATTTCGGCGTTGCAAAGTTTGCCGGACCGTTTAAGAAACATTTAGACAGAACTGCGTCGTAAGATTTCACGTGTGGTCTTCCTAGGCGATACTGAAGAGGACTGCATTGTTTTTTCAAAACCAAAAATGAAGCGGATTTGCCCTTTAAGCAACCGGCGGACACTTCGAGCGACTTCCGTTTAGCTATTTGAGCGCCATCTCTTATCCGTTGGTATTCTATTAAGTCTTTCCGGTTTACGCCGGAAAGTTTATTTAATAGGATGAGATACATATTATTGTTGCTGCTTACAGATTTCAAAAATTATCCTGGTAAGATGAAACAAATATTTCGGTTAGCTAAAGTTTCGCCCTCATACTTTGCTCTCATTGGCCGGTTGTTTTTTGTATTTTGACCGTTGAGAACAGTTGCGCGTCGGCTGCCGGGCTCGCGGATGCGTCGGCTGCTCGACGACGCCTGTGCCAACGGTGCGGTGGTGGTTTTCGTTTGCGGCAGCGGGCAGTGGTGTTGACCTATTGGTTATCGGTCTATTTCTTCTACCAAAACACGGAGGAAACGAAACCTTGTCTATTGCTCGACTCAGTGGTGCTCTAATTCCAGTGGCAACATCTCTGCCAAGTTCTTTGGGTTCCCGGTCGAGTGACGAAAGGTAACGACGGGCTGCTATACTTTTGGTTATACAGTTTCGGATTGCCGAAAACTTGCTGGTGCATGTTTCTTTATGGTAGAGTTATTGTAGAAGGTCACAAGGGACAGCGCATGTATCTTAAAATGAGCGGTGTGGGCGGTATCGGTGTTAGAGCACCGCAGCTCGTGCGTGGAGCAGCTCGCTGCAGAAGGAACCTGCAAGAGACCGTGGCGATCGAATCACTGTCGCTAACTACCGCAAAGTTAAATGTGTTATTGCAGGTCTGTGAATACTTGAATAGTAGTTTCGTGTAGATTTTGTTACTTTGTTGTGCCGTGCAGTGAACGTTTTTTTTTTTTTTTTCTCCTCTGTATAAAGAGCGTGCCTAATAAAAAGAGAACTTGCAAAAGAATTTTGGACTTGTGCTCAGACTGGCGATGTGCGCCCATCTTAAGCCGCTAAACAGCAGCGGCTGGGCGTACTTTGCATTCATTGAGTGACCATTTTATGAGAACTGGCTGTCACTGAACATGCACTGTTGCCAAGCTGATCTCAATCGAGCGACGCAAAGTCAAGTGCAATCGTTTCGGAGCGTCGGACATTCGCAAAAAAAAGGTAAACATTGTATTGTAGAAGAACGAGACGGCGGCAATGGGAGCAGTTCCCTCTTGACTCAATATCAGCGACAATAGGATGCAAATTCGTTCGGAGTTCGGAGGCTGCTCCGAACTTCGAACGAACTCGCATCCTTTTGTCGCCGAGGGTGAGAGAGAGGGAGAGGAGGGACCACACTTCTCACACCCTCTTCCAGAACCAAGCGGTTGCCATGACGACGGTGCGCGTATTGTTTTGTCTATTTTTTATTACTTTTGGAGAAACCCAACGCCCGTTAGGGGAGATTTGGCGCTGCCGTCTGCAATTGGAGTCCCAATGGGAGGTATAGGAAGAGTCCGCCGGTTGCTTTAAGTACAATTGGACTGCTTTTGACTTGGATAGATTGAAAGTATACACTCTAAAAAACGCCTGTGCATCTATATTCCCGCACAACACTCGGAGAGCCAATCACCACAACTTACGGAGGCAGCTCAGCGAGTGACGATGCCGAAACATGTGTTTAGACCAAGAAACGCAGTCTGAGTTGTGACATTAAGCAATGCAATTGGTTTTACATTGCTTAATGTCATAACTCAGACTGCGTTTTTTGGTCTAAACATATGTTTCGGCATCGTCACTCGCTGAGCTGCCTCCGTAATTTGCGGTGATTGGCTCTCCGAGTGTTGTACAGGAAAGTAGACGCACGGGCTTTAGTTCGAGTTTCGTTTATTGCTCTGAACAAAATTTTGCCCTCCCACCAACCCCCCCCCCCCCCCCACGGCTCTTGGAAGTTTCGCGGTTTTGTTTGCGGCTCTTAGGCCGGGTCAGCCTGGCCACCCCTGGTATAGTGTCTCCTAGACAATGTCAAACGATTGCACCTTAAATACTGCATTTCGTACCTTATAGGTCTTTGTAGATAATTGTCACTGCCAATTTTTTTTTCAGATTACTTGCATAAAAACTATTTTTCACAAGGGTAGTTTGATATAACCACGTCTCCCGTTAAAGTTATAGTGGAGCGAAAGCTGCGAGCATGAGCTTCATACTTTGGGATGCGATCAAGTTGGATGAATGGGAGTGCCGAAGTGCTCCTATTGCTGCATTTAAAAAGAAACCGACGTCATTTTCAAAGTCCTAACGTGTGACTGTAAGAAATAGCGAAGGACGCATCGTTCCTTTCCCTCGGGTCGACTAAGTGTTCGCCCACTAGATTCCACCGTCGACACTGCGCACTTGGCACGTGACGGGGGAAACACGTGCACAACGTTTTTGCACCTCGTAGCGGCCTAGGCCCGGGAAAGCCACAGCAGCGACTTTGCATCCTTTTTGTTTCTCGATTGTGCGGCGAAAGCGTTGGTCCCGCCGGAACCGACGTTCACTGTCTCTTCTTTCACCTCTTCTATATGTGCTATATTTTGTGAGGGGCGAAATTTCCTCTCGCCCGTGGGTTGCCAATCCTTCAAGGAGCCCCTATCCGTCTCGAATGGCAGCCAAGGAACCCGCCCGGTCTCGAAATCGACGCAATAAAGCAGCGCAGAGGGCTACGGTCTGTGTAAAGTCACGCATCAATGGGGGGCTCAGATCCGCTAACATGGTGCTTAAACTGGAAAAACGCTTTACTTAGAGGCGGGAATCGTAGAGGAAACCGGGGGACTCGAGGAGCCCACGAGGGTACTTCGAGGAACCATTCCAAGAACCCAGTTCGAGGATCCGTCGGGTGGCCAATCGAGCTCCCTCCGACATGAGAAATCCCAAAATGAACTGGTGGGCTAGTCGGTTAAACATGACGGACACAGACGACGCGAAGGAAATCGAGGAACGACTTTGGAGGGTGCGGTAAGCGCACCGGTTGGGGACACTCTCCGGGCACCGTACCCGCATCTTTTCTTGGGGGTGTTAAACCTCGCGTTGCTCCGTTGCCGCGTCCCACGACGTGGGTTTTAAACATTCCGAGCCCGTACCGTCTGCAAGACGATCCTCTTTCGCCGACGGAACTGCCAGTTTTTAGTTTTTGAGAGAGCCACGGTCTAGACTGCGAATGGAATGTGAAGTCGAGATTCCATACTTTCATGGAGGTAGGAAGTTTCTGGAGGCGACATGAGGCCACCAGATGTGAAGCCAGAAGTGTGGAGGGACACGCCCCCAGTGATGACCAGAACCAAGAGACGCGGACGAAAAGAAGAGCTGACTCAACAGCTGTTTTGGTCACCCTTGGGGCCCCGAGGAGGACCAAAACAACTGCTGAGTCAGCCGTTTTGGTCACCGTTGGGGGCGTGTCCCTCCGCACCTCTACCTTCACCTCTGGTGGCCTCATGTCGCCTCCAGAAGCTTCCCACCTCCATGCATACTTTGGACCATTTGGGAAATTGGGAGATAATAGTAGAGCCCGCAGGGTCCACGGACCCGGAAACAGGCCGGCCATTTCGGGCCGGATGGGCCGTTTCAGCCCGTATCATTTACAAGGGTACCTTTCCCGACGGCACGACGCCTCATGCCGCCACTTCGCCATCTCTGCAGGTGTCGAACATTGTGAACCTGTACCGGGAAATGGCTCGGGTGCCGTCCCCGAAGCAGGCCCACCTGACCCTGGCTACGGACCAGCAGGTCCTCTCTCTGGACACAGTCTGGGAGGTCAGGGACGTGGAGCAGGCACAGATGGCCTCCTTCACCCGCCGCTACGTGGGGCAGTTCGACCTGGGCGGCCACCTCAGCTTCCAGTCGATCGGGCACCCCCAGTGCTGCACCGGGGAGTAAGTGGCCCTCCCCTGCCCTCTAGCCCCGCAGTATGCATCCGCGAGAAAATTTATGTGTAATGTTCTTATATAGACCAACTCATGTTTACAAACAAACCGGAGTGCCCCTAGCGGACGCCACCGGCACCGTGCATGCGTGGTAGAGTGTGGGCAAGAAGCTTGCCGTTGCCCATAAACAAACTACTGGAAGGCAATGTTATTGGCATCCGTTGCAGGCTTTTTCCCTGTGTTGCTGTCTTCATCAAAACAAATCCACACCAACCCTTTAGCTTTGACACAGCGATTTGTAAATAATTACAATATTTTATATTTAACTTTTTAGCGAGCAATTTTTCTTAGAATATTTTGCCACCAAGGGGAGAGGCACAAAGGAGCATGCGCATCTATCTCCTGCAAGAATGACATACCTTTGTGATTCACATGATTACCAGCGATCCCCGCGCTTCCCCGTGCCCCGTTGTTCAGCAACAGCATGAGTTGCAGAGTGAATTATGCGACAGTATGAAAGCGGGACATTTTAAAGATTTGGGAATTCCTTGCAGGACGCGGGACACGAGCCCTCAATGCGGGACAGTCCCACGGGTCGCGGGACGGGCGGTTGCCCTAGAGTAGAATGTCTTAGCTGATACAACAAAATGTGCTGCTGATGCAGAAAATATTTCTTTTTTTGTTATTGTTTGACCCTAGGATTGTGCGAATAACGACATTTCAGTTCAAAGCGAATAAGAAGCAAATAGTTTGTAAAAATATTTTCGAATCGAATCAAATAATTTTCAAGCAAAGTGAATACTTTGTGGCTGTCTCTGCAGCCATGGTAAAAATCCCCGAGACTAGGAAACAAAAACAAAAGAAAAAAACGACAAACACGGCAAAGTTTGAAGGGTTGCTCTAAGGGTCTGAAGTTACGGCCCCATCCAAAGCCCCATCATGGTTGACAAGCCCGCTGGACAGCTATTCCATTTGTAAAGGGCGGCGGCTTGCGTCACTTAGCCTAAATATACGGTGATTCCTCCTTTGCCCTCCCTCCATGTCCTAAATCCAATACCGTTTTTTCCCGTCGCAGCAAATACTCGAAAAATGTGTGTGATTATTAAACTCCAAGTAAGAAATTAGTCTTCGAGTGATATTGTAAGCTATGTTTATCGTGTTTTAAAGTTTATCAGTTAACACAGTTAGTACTTGCTTTTTTTTTTTGCCACTGTTTTCCTTTTGCCTGCGGTAATAGTGCGATCACAACGCACGACGCATTGTAAACATAATTCCAGGCTTCTAGCCCTCAAACCCGCGGTCTCCGTGGCTGCCCCAGGCATACAAACACGTCGAAAGTGCGTAAAAATGGGGCGTTATGAAATTATCCCATGTGTCGTACAACACGCACGTTGGTTTGCACGCAAGCCGCCTCAGAAGTCACAATGGACCTTTTTCCAGCAAGCTTCTGCGCATGCGTACACTCGCGCTGTCGCCATTTTCGCAGAACACCGGGACGCGGTGCCCTGCGAAGATGGCAACAGCAACATTGTCAGCATCTATCTTGGAGCGTATTTAGTCTATTTTGACGCTTTGTTTTTTAGTGTCGGTAGTGTGGGGTATAAAAAGCACTGAAAACCGATACAACGGCACGATGCCAACGTGTTTTGGCGGGTGGAGGCATGTTGGGCTGCTCTTCTGTTGTAGCTCGCAGGCAACTCCCCAGACGGGGCTCGTTACTCGAAAAAGGTAAATTAATTCTGGCAGTCTTTAAAAAAAAAAAAAAAAAAAAAAAACTTGCAAAAGTTGACGGACGACACATGCATATCATTCTTTTTTTTTTAAATTTTATTTTAAGCTTTGAAATAGTTTGAAAATATTCAAAGTTGCCGAACATCCACAAATCCACAATTTTGAATTGAATATGGCATTATTCGCTTCAATATTCCAACTCTATTTGATATTCGCACAACCCTATTTGACCCCTGCAGTAATGCCGTACAGGCACTCCAGGAGTTCCATGCATGAAGAGTGAAGATTCTGCTTCACTTGGGTTAGTTTGCCAGATGCCAAGGGATGCCAGCCAGCCTTCTCTTCGCTGCCAAGGACGAGTCTGGCATATCTGGCGACGTATGCTTTGTTGGCCAACGAAGGGAACATTTGCTTCACTTGCCAACAAAATGAGGCTAGAAGAGGATCTGTTTACATTTGTAGAGTTTACCTGGTGCCACCATTGACCTTTTAGGTGATGGTAAAAGCCTATTTGAATTGTTACCTTGGACTAGCCGTACACAAAAATGTAATGTTTCGTGGAAGAGCAATACATGTTTGGACAAAGTTTGTTGTTGCAGGAATATTAAGTAAGTGATATTAAGTAAGGCACCTCGCAGTGCCATGGTTTAATTTGTTTTTTAGTGCTTCAATCTTCCATGCACGTAGGACCGCTCACCGGACTAGATGAGGGGTTCTCAATCTTCTTGATCTCTAAACACGACTGTCTGCCTCGAATGGCAGCCAACGAGCCCCCGTCCCCTTCAGCATTGTTACCTTTAAACGATGCAGAGGCATATAGACCTTGTTAACAGTAATGTATATGGTAGGGTATATTTTAGCTCGTATATCTGTACATCGGTGCTCGGCTCAGACACGCTAAAATATTGCTTAAACTGGCGGAACACTTTACTGGGGGTAGGGACAGTCAAGGGACTTTGGGCGCTCAGTGAACACTATCGGTACTCTGGGGGTAGGCTGGATTCTTGGGAACGCAGTTTTAGAACCTGCAGTCTAGTCTAATTGATTTGGAGCTGCATTGCTTTTGTCTCTGGTTGTTGCTGCTGAAACCTTTCGTGCTCCCTGTCCAGAGTCCTGTCGGCAGTGTCCCATTCCGGCATCTACAAAGCAGTCCTGAGGAAAGTCCATAAGAAGGGAGAGCAGAAGCAGTTCTTTGAGGTAAGGTGCTCTCTCCACTATCCCTGCTTCTCTTTTTTTCTTTTTTTTCATTTGGCAGTAGTACATAATTTATTGAAAAGAGACAAAAAGGAATGCTCAACCAATCCTTTTGAAACTTCTCGCTCCTCCTCTGCACGCTGCTCTCTGGAGTCGCACGTTGAGCTCTTTTTTTTATATCGAAGTGGGCCACGCACAGCAGCAATTAGGGGATTTTAAATGGGACCCTCGGATCATATACATCAAAAGAGAACAATAAAAGGACAGTGTGAAAGATCTCTTTAGTGCACCCATAATGGAGCTAAAGCGGTTCATTGTGGCAAGTTTTTCAAGTTTTGACCTCTTTAAACTGCCCTTTAAAAGGTCGGTTCGAACTCGGTGCTACTCAATTTTTTATTTGGGAGTTTATAATTTTTATTTGGCAGGCATGTAAGTCAATTTCTAAACTGACCTATTTGTGCTTTTATCCATGTGATGAAACAAAATTAGGTTTAGTATCTATTAACGTACGCTGCACAACACTGTTGACTCAAACGTGACATTGGAATTTCTTTTGCACATTTTACTTCAGAACGGTGTTGACTGGCACCAAATATTACCGCTTAGGTTAGTGCCTCAAATGAGTACTTTTAACCACACTAATAGTTTTGATGAGAGCCCTTCAATTCCAAGAGCAAAACGGGAAAAACTGACGATTGCTTGTTTATGCTAACAACGTCACGCTGTGTACAGTCGAGACACTTGTCTTGCTCTTCACACTCTAAGGCCATACTAGAGTTTATAGAGTGGACGTCCTCTGCTCCCTTTCAGTTCTGGGACCAGAACATGAAGCTGGATTCCGTGGACCTCGAAGGGGTCGGAGCACACGGGAAGGTCCACGAAAACGGTGAGGGTCCAGGCCTCTGCATTACAAGCTACTTCGTACTAATGCTTTGGTTCTGAACTACCCTGGGCAACTCCTGCGAGATGAAGCTTCAAGACCTCGAGAGGCAGACGTTGCAACAGACAAAATTGAATTCCACGTGTTCCGTAGCGAGTGGTACACACTCCTTTAACTGTAGGTCTCTACTTATCTCGAGACTCAATAAAAAGCTAATCGTGGTGCAGAGTTGTCGGACCCAGTTCCACAGCTCTGTTGAAAGCACCATGTAGAACTAGGTAATGAAGTAATAAGCCTTTGTAGCGCTTCCAACTGGTGTCACACTGTTTGCCTGGTTGAACTGTAGCAACTGCTTACTAATACAAATGACAAAATATATGTTAAGCCCATTGTATTTTAATGGGTTATTTCCCTTTGAGTTTTATGAACCCCAGAAGCTACACCACACTGGGAGCGATTGGTGTAATTGCGGTCCGAATAGTTTACCCATTTCTCAAGTCTCCATTTTCCAGGACGACCTTTGCGGACATGAAATTGTGCGATGGGGGCAAAGCTGACGGATGAACCCTGCAGATCAATTAGTGTCAACTCCTCTATGTGACAACCATTTACTATTTTGGGCTTTTGATTTTTTTTAGAGCGCAGCTCTTGGGCATCCGTTCCTGCTTAAGTGGCATCGCCGTCGCCGTTGCCATAACCTCGCACGTTGCATTATGGAACGTCACAGTTTCCCCGCTAAATTTAGCGGGGAAACTGAATTGGTGTTGAGGTCATGTGACAACAGATTTACCGCTAAATTTAGCGGGGAAACTGAATGTTCTGTGTTGCATTATGGGATCTTCACAGACCTACACACCAATTCAGTTTCTTCGCTAAATTTAGCGGGGAATTGAAATGGTGTTGATGTCACGTGACGTCAATTTTCCCACTAAATCTAGCAGAGAAACTGAATTTGTTCATAGACGACGTGACACAAAGTTATGTGACGTCATTTTCTCTGCTAAATTTAGCGGGTAAATTGAATTGGTGTTGAGGTCACATGACATCAATTTTCCGGCTGAATTTAGCGGGGAAGCTGTGGTAGAAGGAGCTGGAGGGGAGGGTATGGAGGAGGAGGAGGGGGTTACAAAAGAGGAGGAGGGGAGGGTACAAAGGAGGAAGAGGACAAGGAAGAGGAGGAGGGTGCAAAACCTGTATGTGTGGAGAGTGATCTATATTTGTACATATGTATACATTTCTTCCTCAAATTGTTTACCACGGCATATAGCAAGATCAAAATACCTCAAGAGCTGCACTCTAATTTCGCATTACAGAGATTCGTAGACGTCTTTAATATTTTTTGGACAGTCCACAAAAGGTGAATACCCGTCAAACGTAGCATCTCATGATAACCTCGGCACAAAAAGAAAAGACAGGTAGGGGAACAGCGATTTTCTGCTTTGACGCCACGCACGGGCCAGTGACTGTGAGACGTCCTTCTGCAGGAACGTTCAGCAGCTTCTGCTGGTCTAACAGCGAAAACCAGGTGCTGTACGTGGCAGAGAAGAAGCAGCCCAAGCGAGGGTCGTACTTCAGCCGCAACGAGAAGGAGGAGGTCGAGAGGGTGAGTCAGAAAGCTCTGTTCCCGGCCGGAGTCGGCAAAGTGCCCCCACGCTCGCTTTAGATTTGGTTGACCTAGAGCCACTGAATAAGTAACACTTAGAGTATCGACATTTCGTTCCCCGATTTTTTTCTGGTCCTCCATCTTGGTGGCTGCCATCTCGGGGGCTGCCATCTTGGTGGCCGCCATCTTGGGGGCTGCCATCTTGATGTGGAATGCGTTTGGGGCACGTTAATGGGTCCCCGACCCTCTCCGAATGACAAACATGCTGAGGCTCGACAAGCGCGTGCGACAGAGCGGCGGATGCTTATACGTCCTGGCATTGCCGTGCCCTAGTGTCACACTGATCTCGAGGGGGGAGGTTGCGGCTCTGCCAAGGTTTTAGATCGACCAGGTTAGATATTTACTAGCTTTTTGGTGTAAAGTTCTATAAAGTTTTGACTGAAGTCCCGATTGGTGCATGCACGTGTGGAAATTGGAAACAAGCCGACACCACCCGGCAAAGGGTTGGGTGCAATACTTGTTGGGCATATTGCTTCGCATTGTAAGATCTCATGAGAACGCCAATTTGAAATGACGAGGTAGATGGTGAAAAGCCTGGGGTGGGCTATCTTCTTGGGATGCGACAGCAAAACTTCATAAAAAATCAGTGATAGACACCAGGGCACCCGCCACAAGCCACGTGATGTGGGAACTGGTACCGCAGATCGCTGATGCGGCGAGTTCGCGTTTCGCGATGCGATGGGAAAGGATCCCGCAGATTGCGGGCGCAGGAGATTCGAATTCTATGGTGCAATAAACACGCGGGAACCCGCTACAAGCTTACCTGTCACGGGAATTGATATCGCACGTGCAGGTCGCAGACAAAAACATGGGAACTCGGTATAAACTTGCATGTCACGGGAAAGGATACCGCAGATACAGCAGATTCGCATTTCACAATGCAATAAACACGCGGGAGCAACTCGCGTGTCACGGGAAGCCACATTGTGCGCGCTGATCACGGGCAAAAATGCGGGGACCCGGTGTGAACCCGCTTGTCACACGTACTGGTACCACAGATTGCGCAATTGAAGTGATTTCCGTCGGACATAGCATGATGTCCGACGGAAATCAGGGGTGGGCGATGTTTCAGGATTTTTATGTTATGGATATTTACCCAGAAAAACGGGATGGGCCATCTCTCGGAGAAGGGCGTCCTTACAAGTTGGTTAAAAGGTGCGTACAAAACAGGACGAAAAAAGACACATGTACGACACGGACAGGTGCCTGTCCGTGTCGTACGTGTGTCTTTTTTCGTCCTGTTTTGTTCGCGCCTTTTAACCTTTTAATCGATATGAACCAACTAGCCCCAACCAAAGTTTTATTGTCCTTACAAGATTTTACGCTAAGTAGATAATTTTTTTTTGTCTGTAAAATTTAAAACAAATTACCATAAACTGCAAGAACATGTTATATTCTTAAATGTCATCTGTCATCTTAGAAAAACATAATTTTTTTCGAATACCACTTTTGATTCTGCTAAGTGTTCTTGTACGACAACGAACCAGTTGGCTTCACTCACGACATACATAGTAACGTGAAGCTTAACACCCAGACGGATGCCATATTTTTAGATTTGTCCGAAGCTTTTGACCTTGTGGTCGATTGCTGTCTAATATCTAAACGTTCTTCACTTCACACCGACGACTTAACCCTTTCCTTGATCCATAGCTTCCTCTTCCTATGACAGCAGTTAACTGCTGCGGGTGATTTTAAGGGGGGACACTACCCAGAAAAAAACAATTTCTGCAAAAAACGTTGATTTTGAAAAATTACATATTTACATTCAATAACATCTAGAGAGTATTCCCAGAAATTTCCCCCAGATTACACTGCATAGTTAATTTTTTTAAATTATTCTCTGTCCACCGAAGCTGAAGAAAAGGTAAGGTTTGGAGCGCTTTGGACGCATTTTTGTCCGTTCCACTTTTTGGTATAAATTCCATTTTAGTCAATCTATCGTTTGATAATGGCAATACAGGGAAGGCTCATTCTTCACTTTTCCTGACTGAAATTTAACAAGGAGTGCGGCTGTGGAATTTTTTTGTTACTTTACGGATGTCTTTTATAAAAAATGTTAACATTTTGTCGAAGACACGGAAGAACAAAAAGTTGACCAATTTTTCAGAAGAGAAGATTGATAGAAATAAATGACTTTTCACAAAAAGCTTCCCATAGCCGCACCTCCTAGGCATTCTGCTACATATCTAGCGAATAAAAATCTTCAATATATTGTGATAGTTTTCTGACGATAGATTAACTAAACAATCTAAGCGTGTCGCTGATAAAAGCTGCCCTAATCTCCTTCCCACTTAACCGACAGACCTGACATTTTGTTATGCACCCTCTAGCATGACCACCAGCCTACCCTGTAAATTTCATTCATGTTAAGCCAAGGGTTCAAAAATTGACCTTCCTAGGGGGTGTCCCTCCTTAAATATAATCTTACTGGCGTAAGCTCGGGGTGGCCTCAAAGAACCGTGCTTGGCCCTCCTCTCTTCTTGATCTACATTAACTCTCCTCCACAGTCAATAAAATTGTTTGTGCATCTCTTTGCCGATGATTGTATGATATATAGAATGATTAACCATCCTGACAATCACTGACAGCTCCAAAACGATATAGTCCAGGTCATTCTAACATTACAAAGTGTGAACATGTTCCTTTCACCTGTAAACGCACCAACTCAGAATTTTCTTATTCACTCAGCAATTCAACCTTCAGCACTGTTTCCGCTTATCACTATCTTGGTGCCGAACTAGCCTCCAATCCTTCTTGGGTCTCCCACATTAAGGCGGAACACTACCCAAAAAAGTCAACTTCCGTACCGCTTGCTTGATTTCAGTCAAAAATGCAGTGAAAGTTTATATGAGTGGCGAGCCCATCCGTGGCAAATTTCATTGTCCTATGTCAATTCTGAAACTTGTTACGAATGCTACAATATGGAAGTGAGTGTGTTCGCTTAGGAAAACTATTGTTTTAAAATAAAATAAAAGTTTGTCATTTTGATGTGCAATATAGTCATAGGAATACCCATAGCACATACCCAGCTAGTTATTTTTCTATGTTGCCTTGTTTTTCATAAGTATAACTTCAAAAAGAAGATTATATTTTTTTTTTCATGTGTGCCCTTTTTTTAAAAATGTAGATTTTTGAGCATAAAATAATGTTAAAGTAGAAAAACGAACCAGCCAGGCATGTTCCTCACAAAATTTTACCCAGAAAACCACCTAAGAATAATTCTCTATTGTCTAATAGGAAAACAATAGTTTTCCTAATGTGAAATTTATGCCGAAATGTGGAACGGAGAAAAATGCATTCAAAGTGCTCCAACCTGTACCTTTTTTTTAGCATCAATGGACCTAAAATAATTGATAAAAATTTAACTATTCAGTGTAAACTAATGAAAGTTTCTGGGAATACTCTCTATATGTTGGTGGATGTAAATATGGCATTTTTTCAAAATCAACTTGTTTTGCAGAAATTGTTTTTTCTGGGTAGTGTCCTCCCTTAACACCATAACTGCTAAAGCATCCCGTACCCTCGGTTACTTAGAGCATAATCTAAAATCTGCACCCCCTTGCCTCCGCAAACTATCGTACGAAACATATGTCTTCCCGAAATTAGAATATGCATCAGCTGCCTGCTCTCCCCATCAAACTTGCTTGATTAACCATATTGAATCCATTCAAAATTGAGCTGCCCGTTTTATTTAGTTATTTCGTCGTCATATTCCCGTTACCGACAGTAATAGTAATAGTTTATTACCGTAATATCCCGAGTCGTCGCCCATACCCAAATCATCGCCACCCCACCTTTTGGGCGAATAGAGATTTTCAGAAAAAACACAAAGTAATTGACCACCCCTACAAATACCCTGACGCAAACATGCGATCCGCAAACATTTATCCTACCCGAATGACGCAGCCGCGGACCTTACGGTAATTGGAGGACATCCGTGACAAAGTAAAGTGAAGGAAGGGAAGGCGCTTTACTTTACGCATTTCCTTTCCGATTTCTGTGACCCTGAAGCCGGAGTACAGTGAAACCCGTTTAGAACGAACCCACGCACAGCGAATTTTTGTCGATATCGAACTCACGGAAAATTTAAATAAAAATGTATGTAAAAAGTACTTTTTATAACGAACAACATATTGGCTATATCAAACTTTTCCCCCCTGAGAAGGCTTCCAAAGACGCGACAACAATCATCTTCTAGTCTGTCCTATCCCCCAAAAAAGAAGTAGGAAAGAAAAACATTCCAAAAGCTCAAGTTGCGAACAAAATTGAGCGAAGAGAAGCGATTCAATGGGGAGAAAGCTAAAAAATACACTACGCACGTACGCGCATCAAAAAAGGAACTTTTTGTTCCAAAACGGTTTCCCACGAAGAGAAGCGATTCAGAAGGCGAGATAAGCTAAAAAAACAAACTCTGCACATATGCAAAAAAAAACAAAACTTTCCAGCGCATTGTTACATGGCGGAAGCGTAGAGATGAGAAAGAAAGAAAAGCTCTCGTCTTACAACGAGCGCATCGTGGAAGTGCGTTGTAAATGGTTTTTGCTATATCGAATTACTTGCTATATCAAACTTGTCGTAGTGTTTCCTGCTGTTCGTTATAAATCGTTATAAACAAACCCATTCAGGGATCGGGAGCTCAGCAAGCACCCCATATCCTGAAATGTAGCCGCGTAGTGGTGTAATGTCAAAGTGTAGGTTTTTATAATATTTATGGGTGATTGTTTTTGCAGTTTATGATATTAGTCTTGATTTTGGTAGGCTGTTAAAGTTGTGGAATGCAATTTTATTGACAGACATTTTAGCGGATATACTGGTTTTTGCTGGCATACTACAGAAATGATACTTAGGGGCTAAAGAAGCTATCAGCTGTAAAAAGGAGAGGGGCAGAGAGGCTTTATCTCAACTGAGGTGTTGCGCTACGATCCAGTTTATCCATCTTTGTTATAATCATTATAAATGGAACCTACTCTGACCAGCACTTTATTCCTAAAAGAGGGCTCTGTGTTCCTTTTACACCCTATCTATTCTTATTACATTAATATATACTTCCGTGTCAAAGAGGAACACTTAATCACACTTCGTGTCAAAGAGGAACACAAAATCACACTTACGGCCCATCCGTAATTGTCATTTCTGCAAACCCAAGTAAATCCCCATGCACTTCAGCTCCCCCCTCCTTATCCTGAATGTCAATGCAAGAAGTGTTGTGAATAAAGTTTCTGAGTTAGAAGGTATTTTAATGTGTTATGATCCGGACTTAGCTATTATCACGGAAACGTGGTTACACGACAAGATATCAGATGACAAAGTAATTCCTGACAATTATGACATTGTTCGGAAAGATCGGGGTTCTAAGGGAGGGGGGGGTAGCCATTGTAATAAGAAAGGGTATTGTATTTTCTGTGATAGAAGATTCTAGTGTCGCCGAAATGGTTTGGATTAATCTTAATTCCGGTTCTTCTGAGCTGTTAGTAGGTGCCATGTATCGGCCACCGAATGCAAGTATCGAACATATGTATGCACTTCATAGTTTTCTCTGCGAGCAATCTAAACACTTTTCAAACATTATTCTCGGCAGGGATTTTAAAGGGGTCATGAAACGCTTTTCCAACTTTTTCCTTTTTAGCTTTCCTCTTCAACTCATAAATCGCACATTCCACCAAACAGCTCAAGAAGACGAAAAGTGGGGAGGCCCCTCTTGCTCGGAATCTGCTTTGCGTACCCGAACAGAGCCATCGTCCCCCTAGAAGATTAGCCCGTCGCTCAAAATTCAGACAAAAGTTGCTTTCCCCAACCCGTTCACCCCGAAGCTGACAGTGCAGTGGAAGCTACGTGCTCGCTGGGCCAGCCAGACTTGCCACGTGAACACGCTCCTTCACGCATACCCACGCGCAGAGAATGAGGTCAGGTGATGAAATGGAGGTGGTTGATTGGTCCGGCAAGCACGTAGCTTCCACCACAATGTCAACTCAGGGGTGAAGGGACTAAGTGAGGTCCGGCTTTGTGTGACGTGCATTTGGACCCGATGACACGCTTTTGGGACCGCGGATGTATACCAGTGAAAAGGCAGAGAGCTTACGAAGGGGAGGAGGTACGAAGTAGTCCGCTGTGTTTTCAAATTTTCGCACTGAAAGTCAGGCTTTTGACTTTCTACCTTTCTTCTTTTAGCCCACTGAACGATGTGCTATTAGTAAAATCCCAATCTAAAATTATTTATCCTAACCCAAAATTCGTTTCATGGGCCCTTTAACCTACCAAACATTGATTGGGATACTATGTGTTCAACAACCGACTGTTGTCATTCCGAGGCACTCCTTGACACATTGTTTGCTTATAATCTCACGCAAATAGTGCACGGACCCACCAGAGTGACTAAAGAAGTCAGTTCAATTCTTGATCTTATTTTTGTATCCCAGAAAATAACTCTGTTCGGAAATCTTTGCGAGATCGTACCGGGAATATCAGACCATCATATGATTTGGCTAAAGTGTTGCTCCATTCCGCACCCAAACGTGCATGCGCCTGTTAGAGAGTTTCGAGATTTCAGCAGGGAGCAGGACGTGGACATTTTGGACTTACTAGACCAATTCTTTTATGATGAATTTGTCAACATGGGGGGGAGTAACGAAAGTGATGTGAATATAAACAACTTATGGGATTTTTAAGCAATTAGCACTTACCTGCATCAACAAATTTGTGCCTCTCCGCAAAAAGACAACACGCAGGGAAAGTCCGTGGATAAGTAGAGAAATACTGCAGTTAAAACGTCAAGTTAAGTGTATGTGTAAAAAAAACAAAAAAAGAACAAGTGCAAAAGTGCCGGTTTTGATGCTTAGAAGACAGCTGCGGTCGATGATAAAAAATATCAGATACCGTTTTTTTAATGTGGCGATGGACAGCTTTTCACGAAGCGACCCTCAGAAATTTTGGTACTATCGATCTGGTGGGAAACGTATCGTAAAAAATATAAAGATAAACGACAGGGAAATATGTGATAATTACTCTATCTCGAAGGCATTCAATGATTATTTTAGTTCGGTGTTTACGAAACAAGATAGTAGTATCACTGCGTTTGAACCTAACCAGCTGACCCTCCCTGATGTTGCCTTGTCTGAGGCAGGCGTACTTGAGGCGCTCCTATCGTTAAATGCCAAGAAAGCATGCAGGTCAGATGGTATACCAAATATATTTTTATGTCACTATGCCGAGTGGTGCGTGAAATTTCTACTAATATAATATGCGACCGTAGCCTAAACCATGGAAGAGTTCCACAGGAATGGAAGACAGCGAAAGTTGTTCCAGTTTACAAATCCGGGGACAAACTAAGTGTTACAAACTATCGCCCAATCTCCCTACTTTGCTCGAGTGGGAAGATACTGGAACATTTCCTTTTTAAACACCTACCTTAAAATACCGGGTCAGCGCCCACTCAAAATTTCGAGATAATCGCAAAAAATGGGGAATGGGTGCTTGTCCGATCATTAATTTTACATATCAATGTACTCAGCATATTTTCTCAGATCTTACCAATTTAAAAATAGGCGCTTAACGTGGAAATGGGCGGATGCACGGTATTCTACGGTATCCATGCACCTCGAGGACAATGTTTTTTTGTGTGAAGAACAGCACGGCTTTCGTCGAGGCCTATCGACAGTGACACAGCTGTTTCATACTGTAAATGAATTTGCAATGGTTATGAATAGAGGGGGACAAACTGACGTCATTTTTTCAGACTTTGCGAAAGCTTTTGATTGTGTCTCGCATCCAAAGCTGCTTTACAAATTAAGACAGTTGCTCAAGAATGAAAAGATTCTACGGTGGTTGGACTCCTACTTATCCCAACGGCAACAATTCATTCGCATAGACAGACAATGTTTCATCCCCCAAAGTTCCAGTTTTATCAGGAGTGCCGCAAGGCTCTCTACTCGGCCTGTTGCTATTTTTGGTATTCATAAATGACCTGAACACATGTCTGCCTATTCCGTGCCGGCTTTTCGCTGCTCTGTTTTCAGAGATAGGTTGTGTTGAAAACCAAGAAATACTTAACAACTCTCTTGCTTCTATTTATGACTGGTGTTGCAACTGGCAAATGACACTGAACTGTAAAAAATGTGTGCAGATGAATATTACCAGAAAAAAAAAAACCTAGGCCCTTTTCATACTCTGTGAATGGTGTTCCCTTGGAAGCTGTTAGAGAATACAGGTACCTTGGTATTTTCATTGCGTCTGCACGCAATGAATGCGCACGTAAGTTACATAGTGTCCAGAGCATCGCAAAAACTGTGGTTTTTAAGAAGAAAACTAACCTACTGTACACCCAAAACAGTTAACAGCATACACAACTTTAATTAGGCCAATACTAGCATACGCTGACTTGGTATGGGACCCATACACAGCAAAAAACATACAGCAACTAGAACGAATTCAGACCAAAGCATTGCGTTTTGTTTATAACCGTTACGACAGGCTGACTTCCGTCTCTCAACTGTATACACTGTCAAGCATACCCGAACTCAAAACACGCAGGAAAATTAATCGCCTTAAGTTTCTTTATAACATAGTCAATGACAATGTTAAACTTCCATTCGAAGAATACATGCAATACAATACATCCAGACAGACACGCAACAAACGAGAAAACCATTATAGTGCCACAATCTAAAAAGGACTCTTTTAAATACTCCTTTATACCGCGCACTGTTCGTGAATGGAATAAGTTACCTATAACCGTTATTAATGAATTCACATCTCCTTGTTTTGTCGTGGCAGTTACTAATCATTTATTGTCATAGAATAAAGGGCTGTTTATACTCCGACGTTTAGCGCAGTGAATGCAGCATGGCGCAGAACGCGTGCCTTTTATTGGCCGGCAACCAGGAACTCGATATCAGCGGCCAATCAGCATTTGTGCGCGCTATGCTGCGCCGCGCCCGTCGACGTTACGTTGGAGTATAAACATACCTTAAGTTTGCTTTTTGTGTTCAGAATATCTTCGAGTGTTGGTGGGGTTTTTCTTCATTATTTGTATGCTCTTGTCACTTTGCGTTGCATTGCCGATTTAGCTTATAGGTAGTTGTTATGTTTTGTGTGTCTACATGGTACAGAGTACTTGCTGTACCGTGCTCACCTTGCCTTGGACACCGTCTAGGTGTCTGGCAATATTTCCAAATAAATAAATAATAAATAAATGAATGAATGAATGAATGAATGAATGAATGAATGATGATGATGATGACAATGATGATGATGATGAACTCATTTAGCTATGCAATCACTTTCTCATTTTCAAGCAATGTGCTAACAGATCTTGGCATCTGCTCCAAAAGCGTCAGTGGCTGGTTCTGACTAATATTTCACCTGCAACAAAACCTGCTACGAAAACTCAAATGCCGCTTCGATTAGTGCTATAGTAGCAATTTCGATCGTGGCCTTCCGACCGCAAAAGCCAAATGGAGAAATCTGGCGACCGCCGGTTGATGCCGGCCGTGCAGTCCTCTCCACCTTCCCCACCGTGTGTGCTTGCCACCTCGCATAACTCAAGGTCTCAAGTCCCTCCCCGCCGTCGCTTGCCCAGGGCACCGAGTTCCTGTACAAGGACAGCTGGGGCGAGGAGCACAAGGGCTTCTGCGTCCCCACCCTGTGCACCATCAATGTGTACAGCAGCTCCATCAACATCATAAACAACCTCCCCGAAGGCATCTCCCCTGGACAGGTGGGTCGCCTTGCTCCCGGCACGTTGAGGGACGGTACGCACATCTGCGTTTCAGTACGCTCAAGCGCGTTGTGCCCATTCGTAACCGAGCTTGTAAGCACTTACAACGAGAGAACACTGACACACGGGTGCCATCTGTTAGGCAGCCTGGAACCGTCCCGACTTGCCTCGGATGGGAAAGGATTGACGAGCGTGAAACCGAAAATAAAGGTTTAATCGGCGAACTTGTGCAAGGAACAAAAGAAAGAATGTACGTCAAGGAAGCAGCCGCAAGTGTTGAGGTGTCAGCGTAACAGCTGGCTAGCGCGAGAGTCCGAGAGTGAGTTGGCAAGGCCACGCTGGGCTCTTCATCTACTACCCTCAGTGTCAGAGTAAACATAAATCTTCTATAAGTACGAAGAAGCGTTCCTTCTTGGCCACGCACACGGCATTACGACTATACTCCGCGACAACTTTTCTTGGCAATGCAGTGGAAGGTACAGGCCCGCGTCCCCTCTCCCATTTGGAGTGTACGCAGGCTCTCCTCCTCTCCCCGGAAATGGGGGAGGAGGAGAGCCTGCGTACACTCAAAATGAGAGAGGGGACGCGGGACGTACCTTCCACTGCATTGCCAAGAAAAGTTGTCGCGGAGTATAGACCGAAGGTTTTGCAGTGGTTGCGGGATAAGCTCTACGCACTATCTACGTGAAATGGTTGCTTTAATGTTTTTGGAATTATTTTGAGCATGCAGTGAGAGAACAATGCAGAAAAAAAATGATAAAAACATATCCTCGGATCGGACGTGTTCCAAGGCTATCGATGGCCCGAGGTAGTAATGTCGTTTATGACATAGAAATTAATATATTTCCTAAAACAGAAATGTATGTTGAAGTAGACTATTATCACCATATACAATCCAGAAAGAAATGTGGCCATTTTTTTTCTCCAGACTAGACACAAGGCTTTTTACAGCGAAGCTATTATACGCTAGGGTCTGGGAAAAAAGGCGTCCTCACATGTTGACAGAAAACTCCCCATTGGCTGTGGCAAGTATGAATTGGTCGTGGCAACTTTTGAGCCTATGACTCCATATGAGTGAAATTTACAGTGTGTACTGGCAGTTACAAGACAGAATGCAGTGCAAAGTTTCATCTTTCTACATGAATTGTAAAATAAGTTATAGTTGTTTTTAATAGGAACACACCGAATTTGTTTAGGAAAACAATCATTAAAAAACTAATGTTAGAAAACTAACATTTTTCTACTCTAGATCTGCAGCAGAATGCCTGGAGAGTGCAACTGTGAAAACAAAATTTCCAAAAAGTAATTTATTTTATGCTAACTTCGCAGTGAAAAATCAAATAAATATTTTGCCTTTTATGTTGTCAAAAAAATGTTAACATCTTTTATAAAACACATTCACAAAGTCAAAAAAACATTCCACAGTTGTATTGCCCATAAATTCCAGTTAGGAAAAACAATGAGTGAGTCTTTCCTCTTGTCTTATTAGCAAACGATAGTTTTCCTAAATTGAAATTTATGCCAAGAAGTGGTATGGAGAAAAATGTGTTCAAAGTTCTCCAAACCCTATCTTTTCTTTAGTTTCGGTGGGCCGTGTCTCTTTAATTGTGACGCGGCGACGGCGTTGGGTCCTGATGGTGTGCCGTTTTGTCGCAGGCCATCTGGGCCCCGGAGGACACGGGCATCGTGTTTGTCGGCTGGGACGGCAACCCCTGGAAGCTGGGTCTGGCGTTCTGCAACAACAGGAGGCAAGGGTCTCACCTTCTACTTTTGGCTCGTATATTTGTGCATATGTGTAGGATGCATTTCCGATGAAACGATAGTGTCCGCCACTCCCCAAACTTGGTCCCTTTCTGGTGCCTCTCGTGCCGTTCCTTGGCCTGCCGGTCTATTTGTGCGGTAAAGTTTTGACTTCTCGATCACACCCCAACGTGGGAAAGACATTCCAGCTGCTGCAGTGACCAGTTTAGGTTTGAGTAGCGGGCATTAGATCAATGTTTGGGCAACCAAGCGGTTAAGCTGGAAGAGCACCGTACGCCTCTATCGCTCGCCTGCGATAAACCCCGTTGGATGTGACAGGATACACCTGAACGATCTAATAATTAAATAAATTTGAAGTGCCTATTAGCAGGAAAACAAAATACTTGAAATTCAAACAAAGACACAAACCAAGTTTGCAGTTCATGCTCACGTTTTGAAGTATTCATACTATGAAAGAATTTTGGAGAGCTTGCTACCACCGTAAAATTTCGACATCTTGTAAACCCTGAGATGGGGAACGATAAAAAAACGGACGAACACAACAAAATCTCAAACGCAGCTGAATTTTATTGATATGAGCATGCCAATAAATAGACTTTCAGACAAATGAAGAAGAGAAAGGGCAAAAAGAACTCAAACGCATAAACAAGACGGGCAACGAGTTCGCCCCAGACAGCCTGAGCCACTCCCCGGCTCCAACACTTTCCGAAAGGGAGCCGACCACCCGAACAACAACAACCCCCAGGTCAACATACAAGGCGACCTCCAAAATGCTAAAGCCCTTCAAGTTTACAAAGCCCCCATCACACAAGCAAAAACCCTTTCATCCGATCACTGATAACCAAGGACGGCTGGCTCACACAATTCCCCTGTGTCGCAGAGGTGGTCTACAAGATCCCCTCTGACTGCGGATTGAGTTATGTTGGTCAGACAGGGCGTTGTTAGAATGACCGTCTTACAGAGCATAAAAGGAGTGTAAAGAATAGCGCGCAGAGTTCTGAGTTTGCAAATCATGTTAGTTCTTGTAATTTTTGTTCCCCTCTTTTGGATGAAACTTCCGTTTTGTGTAACAAAAAATAATTGTTTAGAAGGCTAATTAAGGAGACTGTGCATTCGCGAGCAGATCGCAGACAGAACCATGTGAACCCGCTGCAAACTCGCTTGTCACACATACCTGTACCGCAGATCTCATGGTTGATGTGATTCCTGTCGGACATCGTTTGACATCCGACGGGAATCGGGGGTGGGAGATATTTAGCCAGAAAAACTAGATGGGCAATCTCTCGGGGTGAGTGCCCTTACGGGATTTTATGCTAGTGTTGTTTTCTACAATAACTACTGAACCATTGTATCCTAAATCTTTAATTTTTTCACCAAACTCACTCAATCAAACTATTGTGCCCTTTTTTTTTCTGTTTTCAATTGCAATGTGTTAAAAAGGTAGTCCGGCGATTCTTCGGCCACCCCAACTAACTATATTTTCGAAATCGCCGTCCTTTATTCTTCCCCCTATGCTATTTAGTATCGCAAAATTTAGAATAGGTAGTTATAGTAAAATCGGCAAATGAAAATGACGCCAAAACGAAGATTCGAATATACCCGCGCTTTTCATTGCCTTGACGTCACGAGATTGCAGGCTTCTGGTTCGAGCGGGCAGTTTAAAATTGAACTATGCCGAGCATTTGTTTCGTGCTGCTGCGCGGGAGCTGAAGCAACCTTCCAAAGCATTCATTTGACGCCATGAAACTGTTTGTAATCAGTTGGGAACAAAGTCTACGGCCCAAAGAGGGAACCCCTGCCTTCCCATGACGTCACTTTTTCAATGTTTCCAGTAGAGCTTTTCACTTTGGAAAACACAATGAGGACCGAAATTATAAATTCTGTAACTTTGCAAAAAAATGTTGTTTTGTCCAAATATTTGGGTTACTATTTCAGCGATGTTTGTTGGCGTTTTTAGCAAGTTTTTAGGCAAATCAGGGACAGTGAAGAAAACGGCAGAGTACCCCTTTAATTATAGGTGATACTGCTTTATAAACAGCCATTTAGCTTAAGGATATATAGCTGACCCTTGGAAATCATCATGTATACCTGGTAAAAAAAAAAATTAGAATGAAAAATCATTAATTATTTAGAAGAGATTACTTAATTATAGAGTGTTACATTGAGCGATACCTTTTCTTTACATGAGATATGCAAATTGGATTGCAGACTCAAAATCAGCAATAAAGGGGCCGTGCAACAATGTTTGAACTTCGGTCAAATAATTGTGGTGTTGTTCTCTGTCACGTCTGGATTAAAGAACTGAAAACAAATTTTGCCTACGTGGGCTGGTTCTTTAAAAAAACAAAAGTCAAGCAATTGACATTTTGGACGCTTCCAAACCACTCTCAACTCTTACAGCTTCTTCCGTGTCACGCGTGCAGTGACGTGCAATGGGGGATAGGGAGTATCCGGTTGGGGTTTTCTTTCAGAGCCTCCAGCGTGCAGCCTCTGCTTGCAATTCACACGGCAACCTTGAAGCAAATACTTTACTAGGGGGAATACATTCCACTCCTCGAGTATACAATAGCCTTGGGGCGGACAGGTTTTTTGGGTTTTCCCCGGGTCGAATGGCTGGACGTCCCGCAGCCGTGACATTTCCCCCTTTGAATTGGGGGGCTTGGCGAGAGCCGTCTATTGTTGGGGAGATCTCAGCTATCGGGCGGTAAATGATGATGGTGATTCTTGATTTTGAGGCTGGCTTTTCCCTCGAATGCGGTGGCCGGTGGGCGCGCCGCTGGTCATTTGATTGTGTGTCTTTTAATCTATCTTATTTTATTTATACATATAGACGCGTATAAATAAAAAACACAAATGGTTTGCTGGCCAACATCCGGTAGTGCCTTAAAAGAAAGAACAATAGTGTTTTCTTGTTCATAGGATTCATTATATCTAAAACTACTCCATGCTAGTGGCACACATCACTGAAATAACATATGCAATACATAAAATAATAGATTGTATCTTGAACACGAATCGGCGAAATACACATAAGGGAGTTTTTTTGTTTCCAAAAGCCCAAATTAAAAACTGAAACTAAACTAAACTTGCTGAAACTCGGGGTACATCGCGTGCATCGTTCAAAAAAGTATCAGACGAAAACACCACGCAACACATTTGACGTTGTTTGACACCTCGAGACACTGGCTTGAACCGGTGCACTGACTGCTGGCGTAGCGTAGCGTGTAGCTGTGTAATGTCTGCGACTGATAATAATAATAACTTACTTGCAAAAAAAAAAGTGAAAGCCGTTTACAACTCCCTGTAACGCCGAATTGGAGCGCAGCTCTTGAGGAGGAGGAGGGAAGGGTACTGAGGGGGGGCAGACTCCTTCTCCTCATCCTCTTCCCTTCATTCTTGAATATGCTACGGGGCATCACCTGACTTCGGGGGGAGGGGTTCACGTGACCTCGGGGGGGGGGGGGGGTCACATGACCTTGGGGAGGGGGTCACGTGACTTGGGAGTCACATGACCTTGGGTTTCACATGACCTTGGGAGGTCACGTGACCTCTGGGGGTCACATGACCTTGGGGTGACCTTGATGGGTCACGTGACCTTGGGGGGGTCACATGACTTCGCGGTTACGCCGACGGCGACGCCGACGCCGCTTAAGCCAGAAACAAGCGCCTAAGAGCTGCGCTCTAAAAAAAAAAACGACATGTCGTGGCGCGGAGAAATCTGGAGACGTCACTGCCGTGGCCACCGCGAACATCCTGATGCGCATGCATGACAACTGACGCGGACCTCCCCTCCGTCAGGGCTGGATTCGGCGCTGTAGGCGTTCTGTCTATTGCAAAGGAGCGGGGTTGAATGTATTCCCCCTGGTAAAGTATTTGCTTGAAGGTTAGTTTGAGCAATGTGGCAAAGGGGAGAGAGAGTGAGGGGGGAGGAAAAAGCTTGCCTTTCCATAAGGAAGTCCAACTGGCGTAGTAGCACAGTAAGGTGAGGCTCAAGGGAGGAATACTTTTTTTCACGTCAAGCGAGTAATGCCACTAAAACTGAATATACCGTAAAATCCCGAGAGATAGCCCACCTAAAATCAAAAGCAAATTGGGTGAAAATATCAAGTGGGCTAACTTTCCGCGTACAATCAGAAAAATTTGAAACAATTCTATTTTTAGGTCATGCTTGCCTTCCAAGCTTGTTATCGTGGCGAGGGGCAACGAAGCAAAGATGACCACTTGCCAGTCATCACCGATTGGTTATATCCCGCCATAGCTAACTAGCCGCATTTACGCCGAGGCCATCATTGATCCCAACACTACTATTACTAGAAGTGGGCTATCTTTCGGTGTTTAAAAAAATATAGCAAATCAAGCAAAACATAGGGGTGGGCCATCTTTTGGGAGTGGGGCATCTCTCGGGATTTTAATGTAGTACAACTTGTCCAATGATATGAGATTTTTGATGCATTGACTCGTGTTGGAACGACAATGTTTATAAATTATAGCATTACATTGGGCACATGATGGCACATCCTGCCAACTTATTACATTACACCTGTTGCGCATCACACCTTGGTTCCCATGGCCACCACCTCGTTGCTGTAAATCGCGAAATATTCCCGTTCTTTTTCTTTGGTGTTATGCAACAAAATTGCGATAGTATTTCAAACGAATGAAGCAATTTCTTCATTTTCTTTTGGTAAGATAAACAATGTAAAAATTTAAAATTGCAAATTTTTTCGAAGTTAAAATTGTTGGATCACTTGTTTAAGAGTAGATTGCAGACTCAAAATCAGCATTAGCATTAGTGCAGCAGATGCAGGCGTATGCTTACACAGTTAAGAAGATAACAACAAAAAAGCACCCCAAAACTGCTACAAATCCACGAAGGGAATTCCTCGTGTGTTAGGTATATGATGCATACCTGCCAACTCTTCCGAATTTTTCGTAAAATGTACGAATTGGGTCTAATTTTACGACTTTACGAATCTTGCTTCAAATTTTACAAAAAAAAATTATATAAAATTTTTTTTTTTTTTAACTTTTATTTTTTTGTAAAATTGTTGCTGGCGGTATTTTGTACCGCCACAGAGGGCTATAGGTACCGTCCATGGCAGCGTCGTGGTTTTTACTACCCGTCTATTCGGTAGTCACGGATCCGAAACCAATCCAAAACCCAAAGCCTTTGTTCGTGTGTTCGGCGGCGCACGTTGGTTCGGCATGTTCAAACGTGTTTGGGCCTCTCAGTTTCGGCCAGTTTCAAGGCGAGCAATGCGGCTTCTACACGTCCTACACGTACGAATTCCCGTGCTTCGTGCCGACCAAAAGTGGAGAGAAGTTTGCATTCTTTAGCACGTACACGTGTGACGCAAGCGTTTCGCAGGGTGACTGCATATTGCTTCGCCTAAAGACCACGTCCACGGCCGCGTGAGTTTTACGAATTTGAGATTCCACAGGTTGGCAGGTATGATGATGGGACACCACCACATTGTTGATAGCCTGCCATCGTCCATTTGTGGAACAGTATCAACACTACAAACACTGCTTTGTCGCCTTTGTATGCATGCCAAAAGACCGGGCTTCTGTGACTTTTTTTACAGCAAAGCTGTTTATGGCTAGGGTTCCATGGATTTTACATGTGCGTCAACAAAACCTCTACGCTCGCACTGCCGCACGCGCCACATGCTCACGGCTTTCTCATATAAAAGATTCAAAGTAAATAACCAAAATAGAGCGTTGACAAATACGCGTGCAAGATGCCATTTGTGCAAGATGCCATGCCTTTTGCTTTAGAACAGTTACTGCTGCAAACGCCGGCGCCGCATGCGCACGCCTTCCCCGTTTAAAAGATTCGAAGTAAATAACCAGAAAAAGGCGTTGATGAAAGCACGTGCAAGATGCCATTTGTTTTAGGCTTTTGCTTTTGAACAGTTACTGCTGCAGACGCCTACACATGTGGCGCGTGGAACACCATTCCCTGTATTCTCCTTGATGCTTGAGTAATTTAGTAATAGGTCTATTAATTAGATCAGTTATCACTAGGCACCATTTTCAAGATCAGTGGACTCTTGGGTAGTTAATAAAGGTTTATCATTGCCTCTGTGCGACCCGCGTCGGCCATGTCTACGCTCACACCGCCCTCTCTTTGTCGTCGTTCCAGGCGCTTGCATGCCTAGTTTCTTTTCCTTCCGCTCTCCCGAGGGGTGGTCCCGCCGTGCGTGTCTACTTCCCGCCGGGCGGCGGTCCCGTCGCATGCTTATAGTTTCCTTGGGTTCCTCAGGGCAGCGATAGTCGTCCACGCGAAATAATGACCACCGATCAAGGCAACAATAAATGTGTGTGTGTGTACCTTTCGTCACGATGACCGCCATTCAAGGCAATAAATGTGTTTGTACCTTTGTTCAAAATTCTGCGTCACATTTGTGTAGTGTGCTAAACAGCTTTGCTAGTCATCCACCGTCAGAGTGGAATGGCTCATGATTTTTTTCTTGTGCATGCTTTATTTGATTAGCATTCGCTTCACTGAATGATGTTTCATCAAATGAAGCTAAAGGGTCAAGGATTTGCTTTTGCGAGTGAGTGCGTGTGTGCTGATTTGTTTATGATTTTTGCTGTGTGAACAAAGAAAATGCAATGAACTATAGTCGGTTACAAGTCTAGAAGGTAGGAGAAGCTCCTCCCACAAGCGTGATGCGCCCGTTTCTAATCACTCCGCAGTCGAAAGAAGAGTTCACTGGAAACGCTCCTTGTTCCGCTTCAATGGATTCCAACTTGTCTCCGATCCCACTTTTTAAGAAAGCGACCTTTGTATTCATCGGAGAGGGAACCGAGCCCCTGAAAGCAGCCTTTGTATCCATCGGAGGGGGAAGCTAATCCCCGAAAGTCGTATTTGTTTCCGTCGGTGGGGGAGAACTCTAATCTCCCTCTCGTTGCTTCCACAATGCTAGGTCAAAGTCGAAAGATAAAGCAAATATGTACAAAAGGCAAGACTCTTCTCGCGCGTTGGCCGCGACGTCACCGAAACGATGGGACGCTATTGGATACGGAGGTGGCGGAGGGATATATGATTCCCTTTGAGGGGCATTTGCCGCTACCTTCTTAACCTGTAACCGACTTTAGTAGTTTTGGAGGGGCAGTGTAAGGGAATGCCAATAAATACCGTAAAATACTGAGCATCCACCCATTCCGTAGTAAGTGCCCACGCCTAAATTTTGTAACGTTCGGAAAATACACGAAGGATGTATTTTTACATATTGTTGACCTAAGGGCGCTGTTTGCAGAAGATATTACAGTAGATCTGTAATAAATTTATTTTATGTCATGCCTTTGTTTGTTCCAGATCTCAGCTTTATTACTACGAGTTTGAATTGGACAGCTACAGTGAGTATCATACTTTGGAAGATCAATCAAAGAGGGGTGTTATATTTGATATGTTGATGACACTTACCTTCAATATTAACTGGAGTTCCTAAAAACAAAAACAAAAGACTAAATGGTCTTACTTATTTTAAGCTTTGTAGTCTACAAATAGGGTCCTATATTCTCAGTAAGCACCGATAAATCCCAGAAATTAACCCCGCCAAGCTAGTTTGATCAAAATGGGGGAAAACCAATACCCCAATTATAATGCATTTTAATCCAAAGTTCCAAGCAAGCTGGACAAGAATGACGAAAATAATCCCTGGAGAAGGGACACCTAGCTGTGTTTGGAGATTTTTGTAGCGTGAGCTACACTGGCCGAGGTTGAGCAGTTTCGCGTGGCTCTCATAATGAGCCGTGCTCATTATGCGGAGCACGCTCCACATAATGAGCACGCCGCCGCCGCTGCACGCTCCGCATAATAAGCACGACGCCGTGCGCCGTGCTTATCAAGCGGCTCCGGTGCAGCGTCAGACTTGGCTACTGCGCAACGGAGGCGCACAGCTGGGCACTAGGCGGCGCCAGTGTTGCCTCGCCGGTCTGCGTATTCCAGAGGGGTGAGGTCATAGCCGCGGCAGACGCACTGGCGCCGCCTAGTGCCCAGCTGTGCGCCTCTGTTGCGCAGTAGCCAAGTCTGACGCTGCACCGGAGCCGCTTAATAGTGCCTTGCATTTTGTGCGCATAAGCTCACGCTACGTATATCCTTGCATAGCCGAGCTAAGCCACTGCAATTTTTTTTTGTTCGTCCTTTGTCCCTTTTGTTCCCCTTCTCCAGGGATTATTTTCGTCATGGACCCCGAATTTGAGCTCTCCCTGAACAGAAAGAACTCGAGCTTTACGGGAAGAAAATCTTGTTTAGAGCTTTATCTCGTGTCGACCCCAGACACCGCACCTGATGAACTGTCTGCGAGGCTTCTCCTTGCTTCGGAACCACACACCTCATCTCGTTTCCTCTTTTATTTTTATCAGTACGGGGATGTTCCCCGAGGCTTTGGGAACCCGAAGCCTATGTCCTGTTTTCCTAAACATAAGCCCCATTAAACCCTCGTTTGACACCAAAACATTATACCAAAAAACACCGAATCAGCGGCAAAAGTTGAGATGCCATGGCTTTTGTGAATGATAGATTGTGTTAACGACGATTTCTACATGATACGAGTCTTTTCGTGCTTTCATAAAGCGGGCATTTTTTTAGAGGTATGCCACATACAATGCGAAAACCGTCGTAGTGCCGTCCAGTTTGCCGGCTCGCTTCTCGGCCGCACAGCCAGGTTTTCCCCCGCGTGACTCCGAGACCCCCCCCCCCCCCTCGCAGTTGCCATCGGGGACACGAACAAAAGCATCTACTCGCCGCGGTTCAGCCCTGACGGCTCCACCCTGGTGTACCTGCAGGCCGAGGTCGGGGGACCGCACTTCCAGTCTTGCCAGCTCGTCAAGGTGTGTCCCCGCCTCAGCCCGCGATCTGTCCATCGCTTCTGCACAAACCCAAAAGGTCGACCTTCGTCGGGACATGGGCCCATTCCCGGCCTCCAACCAGTCGATCGCTCAAGCACGAACCCGAAGAGTCTATCCTCTTTGGGAAGCGTGGTGGTGGTTTACGTGCAAAAGTTCAAACAAACAAATTGGCAGTCTTCTTGGGGTTTCCCAAGGGTGTTTTCTAAATGCTACGTATTTAGAATGCCCGAGCGGATTTTTCGTGAACTGGTGCTTTAACTCCCGGTAGGCCGCTGCGTAATTGCAACTGGCTTCCCGTTTCTGCTGGGCTACATGACATGCTGGAAGCGACAAATTAAATATATCCCAGATATTAGTGCCAAGAAGTTTTGGTGGCAGTTTCTTTTTGTGACATCACGACTGGGGTTCGCCTTGCCACGAGGTCGCGAATTGTGATCCTTGCTACTAATCATCGGCTGCAAACAATGTGTTCAGTGGTGTGCGTAAAAAGCATGGTGGAAGCTTAGAGTCGTCGCGTCGTTAAATCAGCATCGTCCAAGTTGACACTGTGACACCGGCCTTATTTCCACTTATGTAAGCAAAATTAATTTGACTAAAGATGTCATGTGAGCATTTGACCAATCGTGGTTTGCCAACCACGGCAATGCTTTTGATCGCACACATCAGAACAGGAGGAGTGTGTGGTGGAAATTCGTGTACATTTCTGTCTTTATAATTCATTATCATTGTTAATTAGGGGTAATGAATTAGTGGGACCTGCTAAACTTAGCGAGATGTAACTCCACAAACTTTAGCGGCCGTGCGACAGCCAGAGTGCCTTTTTCTGCGCTCTCCGAGTCTCGCACCTCGCATTTTGGGCATTTTTTTTTAGGGCATTTTGCACTTTAGGTTATGTTGACGAAAATTTTTTATTTTGTTTCAAATTCTGTTTTTTCTGCTGAACTAGAATTATTTAATCCAATCGAAAATTTAATTTTTTATTAATTTTTTTCTTCTTAGTATTGAAATTTTAGTTCTCTTAGTGTATGGTGGCTGGAAGGGGAAGTGTGCCAGGCACCGTATGCGTGCAATGATAAGGAGGGGTGCAATAAGCGAGGAAAGATTTGAGAGAGCCTGGATTGTATAGAGACTCCATCTGAAACCGTGGGAGTGTTTCCAATGTAATGGCGGACGCCACCGGCAAAGGAGGAAAGCAGGTGGAGAGGCCGAGGCGCTCGCAGACGATCAGCGTATTCGTCACCTCCTCGCAGCTCGAATTACAAATGCAGCCAATAAAGCACGTGACCCCAATCGAGCAGTAGGGAACTCTCTGTAATCTAAGCTCTCTCAAAATTTTTGCCATCGCCTAACTCGTCTGCTGGCTGCAGCGGCCCTAGCGGTCCCCAAATATTTCTTTGCGGAATTTAGGTGCATGACCCATTTAACGGCTGAAACGTGCACAACTCGTGTAAGTTACAGAAACCTGCATCAAAATATAGAGAAGTCATGTGACCTGCCAACACACGCGCTGCGGGCAGCAGATGTGATGCAATGAAAATGTTTTTTGCCACCGCGAGGAGCGCTGCAGTCTGCAGACGAGTCGCTTTCATTGCAACTCTGTGCAACCCTCCGCTCCTGCCCGCCACACTTCCCCTTTCAGCTACCATACGTAGTGTAATAAAAAATGTGCAACACAAAAACTGTTAGGTTCATATCTTTAATTCTAGTTCGGTACTTTTGAAAACCTATGTAGGTGGCAGGAATAAAAAAAATCAACCCTCTATAATGGCAGGTTAAAGGCCGACAACCATACTCGAGATTCTGCAAGGCAGAAGATCCTGCTCACCATGGGGGAGGAGAAAACAGGCAGCGGTGGACAGGGTAGAAGAGAGAGGAGGAAGTGAGGGAAAAGTGGAAAGCGCAAATTGGTCATCGGCCTTTAAGGAAATAATGGTATCTATGTACTGAAAAACATTGTTTTGAGATAATTGAGTTTAAAGTAAAAAAACAGGTGAATAACAAATTGCTATTGGCACCACTACCCTCAGAGTCATTTCTTTAATAGCCACTAGCTTGGTAGTCATTGTTAGAGTCATGTTCTCGCTTTTCGGCTTATTGCCTCTCTTGCCGGGCCTCTTTCGTGACCTGCCGTGTCGTTTGACCGCAAAGTATATTCGAGTGCGGTCAACTTCCCTCGGCCACTTGATGGTGTTCCACCCAGGGTTCAGTCCACAGGACTTCAAAATATTGGCTCGTACAATGCCACCACCATTGAATGAAAGAACAGCATTCAGTGTCGCCATTTTGTTGTTCAAAAACACAGGCGCTTGGAAGTACACACGTGGAAAAAACATGCACAGCATCTCGAAAGTGTTCGGGTTAAAGAAAAAGCTGAGCAATAGTTGCCAGATAATTTTTAAGATGTGGCTCAGTCTGAACATGCTTTTAAATCTGGTATTGAATTTTCTTCTCGTATCTCAGAAAGGGCGCGTCGCACCCGCTACTTGCTTTCGGAAAAAGTGTTTTTCACCCCGAAATATGACTTTTGAAGGATGGTGTAACAATAGAAAATGTGAAAAAAAAAAAAAGAAAAAAAATTGTTTTTTTAATTATTTTAGGCTCTCAAAAATTCTTATACTCTCAACAAATCTGTAAGTGTGTCGGTCCCTACGACGTCGCAAAGTTTTCCGCCCAGCACGGCGCCACCGCGGATGTGGCTGGGAAGTGTGCCTAAACACCTGTTTCGCTGCCAAGGTCAGTTTGGACCAGGATGTAAGATAGACAGGTGGGGAAACGGCCCATAGAAGCCTACCGCAGCGTTGTGACCGGATTGTGTACTTGTCTGCTTGCGGGTACCCCCGTTTTGCGACAGATGGCGCTGCGGCGAGAGGAAAAAAATTGGAATCGAATTTGGATGGAACTTTATGGGAGAGTGCGCAAAATAAACCGAGAGCACGACATTTCTTCATTGAAAGTCCACGATAAATCATCTCCGTCAGTTTAGCCGGTCGCCACCGGTCGCCCACTCGGTGTGAGAGTTTGCGGTGCTTCACATAGATGGCGCCACAGAAAAAGAGAAACCCGAGGGGGACACAATCTGGTCACTCATTTGGCTCTCGTTTCCCCACCTGTCTATCTTACACCCTGGTTTGGACCGACACATCGGCAGTTGTCAACTTCGGAAGACCGTCATTTTCCAGTTTTGCGGGAGAAGTCGGGTGTCGCTTGATTTTTGCTGAAGCACGTTGGATGTCAGTATATCGAGCAAAATTATGCACCAGAAAATTTATAGACTCCACTCAGGTTGGATGGCAAGAAAGGAGTGGGCAGCTAACAAGTAATAGGCTCATAAGGACTGTTTCTCGCTAGTAACCTTTGCCCCCTCCCTCGTCTCTTTGCAGTGCAACTGGGAAACAAAACAGACAGTCATCGTGGTTGACAGGGTCAACTCTCCAGTCGGTGGGTGCAAACTGCCTTTGCCGGTGGGCTTGCAGGCTGCTGATTATCGGAAAAGCTCGTTGGACACACTTTGTTATCCTTTGTTCTTTCTGGACTACTGGCTCACTGTCTTCAGTAGTATGTAGCGTAATGGAATGAATAACTGCGCGAGTTGGTACGTACTTGTCTTGAAACAGCGCGACAAGACGTGGACAAAGGCTGCTTCTACATCATTAGATAGCGACGTGGAATTTTTAGATCGGGGGGACGACGCATTGACACTGTTGAACCGATGATGCCGAATCATTTGTTGCGCAGGCGCAATTCCACTCTGAGTAGAGGGTTGTGCGTGTATGTATGTTCTATCTTGGTTCTTGAAAAATAAAACCAGCCAGTTAGTCGGCGTTCGTGTCGTTCAGTCTCTCGCTTCGTCCGTGTCTAGTCGCACTCTTTGATGATGAGTATTGTATCTACTCGAATATAAGTCGACCACTGATATAGGTCGAAGCCTTTATATTAAACTCGCAGAGAATAAAAAAACAATAATTTGAATACTATAGGTCAACCTTTTTTTTCTCAAAGAACAGAGGAAAGTTTGGGCAAAAGAGTGAAACAAACCTTTATTTACAGCGTTCTTGGCTAAATCGCAGCGCTACGCCAAAAACTTAATTATCGTCAGAACTTCCAGACATGTCAGCTTCGTCGACATCTACACAAATTCGCAACAATACCTCACCAACACCGTTGCAAAATGGCGACAACAAGAAAGAAAAGAAGGTGGAGACGGGCGAAGCGACGGAAGATTAAACATAAAGACGCGAGCACCGCTGCGATCCACTGCTAGCCGCTGCGAGCCTCTGTGAGCAGTAAGAAGCGGTACCTCTACTTTATTTTGCTGCGCGTCCGCGAGGAGGAGAGGGATGGAGGGAAGGGGATGGGTCAAGGTGTGTGGCGCGTTGCATACCCCTTCGACCCCTTGCGTCGCGAGGGGCACGCGTGAGCGGCGCCGGCCACTGCAGCCGCGATATCCGACGCCCGAGGAATTTGAAGAGTGGCGGCTCTTCAGGTGCTGCTGTTTCGATTGTTTTTGTGCACCAAAAGCTTTCTGTAATAGAAAGCGGCGTGGCATTACGGCGACACCGGCTTGGTGACTCTCTAGCTTGGTGCCCTCGTTAGGGTCACGAATTGAGGTTAAACTTCTTTGGTCACGATTGTAGGTCGACCCTTGACTTTTGAAAACATTTCTGGAAAAAAGAGGTTGACTTGTATTCAAATAAACACGGTAGTATATAGCAGCGCATTGTTAGCAGAAACAAGAAATTGCTGTTTCTCTTTTTTAATATGTTTTTAGAACCAAAAGGCTCTTATCAAAACTATACTAAACTTTGTTCTACTTTACGATGGAGTACAGAGTACGCTAGGAGCCATCGAAGCCAATTCAGTGCCCTGCAAGTGTCGTGTGACCTTTGGCAAGGGTGAAGTGTCACTTGAGGTGCGTAGTCGAGTGATGCGTTTTCACAGCACTGGATTGGTTGAGATGACTCGTAGCATTCCCAGCGTCCCATTGTATGGCAAAACAGTGTGTAGGGTGGTGAAAAATGTTCATTTGAGGCACTAATTTATGCACTAAGTTTTGGTGCCCACCAGTCAATACTAATTTGAATTAATACGCAAAATAACGCCAATGTCACATTATCAGCATCGGGCAGGGCACTTCAGACTTTGCGTGAGCTCCGTTCGTGCAGATATAGCCAATGTACTGTCTTTACGAAACAATAGAGATTAAAAGTACTTCAAACCTTAGCATCTTGCAATGTTATTTTGCTGTGGAAAAATAAGTAAGGGGGAACTGGTAAGTTATCTTGAAGATTTAGTGAATCGGACGATGTAAAAACGCTTGTATCAAACACGTATTATGTTACCCTGGCAAGTGCCTTTTTTTAAACAGATTACAGCCATCAATACGCATTTCCGACCATTCTTGACCAGCTCGGTGCACAAAACCAAACTTAATGGTCTATCGGTGGGCAGTTTACGGGAGATGATACTCTCTGACCAGATTGGCCACGACTGAACAATGTATGTTCAGTCGAAGCGACGCTTGAGGTGCGTAGTCGCTGCTCTGTTCAGTGGCACCAAGTGCTTATTCGAGTTTTATATTCGTTCCGTGTTTTCGTTCAGAAACACTATGATGGGGCTTTGCAAAATCTTCGTTTTTTTCCTTGCGCATGTGTCGCAACTGCTATCGTTGTAGGGGCTTGGGAGCAGCCAAGCTGTTTAAACAGCTTTTCTCTTTCCAAGTCTCCCTCCAACACTGCATTTTTTGTTGCTGTTAGGAGAGAAGCGATTATTATTATCATTAATATGACCTTCTAATTTCAGTTTTGTTTTCAAAACTCGTGCTCTGGCTACTCTGTCCAAATTGGAGGAACGACATTGAAGCCCAGTCTGGCTTTTTTTTCTTATGAACTTCTACTCTTTCCAGCATTATTGCTCATTCAGTTGTCTAAAAGCACAGTTATTTTTGTTGGAGTTTCTACGGTGGCCGCTGCATTGAGTGCCAGTTAAAATGTGACTGATCTGTAGCCGGGTGCTGTTAAAACTGTTGGTCGATCCGTGGTTGTGCTACAGATCTGTCCCGTGTTGCGTTGTGAATAGGGGCGTCACATGTGAGCATCGGTCTTTGCATGCAAACTCTGACTGCAGGGAATGAGTTCCCTGGCCTGTACCTGCGCTCCCTTCCTCACAACTGCTTCATCAGCGACCTGAGCACAGTCATTCTCTCCAGCTGTTGGCACAGCAAGTGGGTGAGTGACCAATAGCTACCTCGCACCTACCACACTCTTTGTTAACCCTTTGATGGTGGTTGCCGTACATGTACGGCGGTGATTACAGATGTGAAAATTCCCATTTAAACGCAAAACTGCGCACACCCCGAGAGGTATTGCTTATTGTTACGTCTTTGCCGTATTCGCGCCATGTTTCACTTTGCTGGGGCTATTTATAGTTTCTAAACTAGATACTCTGCGCACATGGTACGCACAAGATGGTCGCTCTGCGTGTTAGCTGCTTTAGCAGTAGTGGCAATTGGGGCGCCAGCTCCTTTCATTGAGACTTTTAACGCCCCTCACAATTTAATATAGAATATGAGAGCTCATCATCCGACAGAGAAGCCTTGTAAAGTGCCTCTGGCTAGGAACCTAAAACCTCCGGAATGTCGCGAAAGCGGACGCATTAAAATGAAACCGAATGGATGGAAGGTGACGACTTTTTGCCGCGAGTAGTATTTTTATTTGAGGCTATCTAAACTTGAACAGCTCGCAAGTACTGTACGTACTCGTGGTAGGTCATTTTCAAAAAATTGTGTGCATTGACCCTTTACTTATTCTTTAAACAAAATCCGTCCACTGGGAAACATGATATTCCTAACGAGTGTGTTAGTAAAATATATAATTTCATTAATGCGAAAGCATTAGCTGGTCCCATGGAGCGAAGCTGGCAGCATCTGTAGCCATTGTCTGCAGCAGTGAAAAATGGCACCCAAGTGCCCATAGGCTGAGTGAAACGGCATTTAAAGTCCCATTGGCTGTGACGCGTCACATCAGATGCCTTGTCACAAAACCCAGCAGGGCCGCTCGAAGTCAAAGCGGACGTACCTCAGAAATAAAACACAAAGAAAAGCACAGCAACACAGATGGATTGTCACGGAAGCCGTGGAGCTGGCGGGCACGCTGCACTGGTGCAGTGGGGGAGCGTGATGTCATCGCCGGAGCACCATCAGAAAAAAGCAAATGTGGCGCGCTCCTTTTAGGAATGCGCTGTGTGTAGGAATACTTTCCCGTTCCTACACGTAAGCGGTCTTAAGGTACTCCGGCGATTTTTTGAGCTACCTCAACTAACTATATTTTCTGACTCCCGAGCCTTTACCCTTTCTGGTATGGTATTTAGTATCGCGAAATTCATAATTGTTATTGCGAAATGGGCAAATGAAAATGATGCAAAAACCAACATTCAAATATACCCGCACTTTTCAGTGTCGTGACGTCAGTGGCGGGCAGGCTTGCCAGGCGAGCGAGCAGTTTAAAAATTAGGATATGCCAATCATTTGTTCGGTGCTGGAGCGCGGGTCCTGGAGCGAGCTTCCAAAGCATTCATTTGACACCATTAAACTGCTTTGAATCAGTTGGGAACGAATTCTACAGTCCAAAGAGTGAACCCCTGCACTTCCACTGACGTCACTTTTTCGTTGTTGCCAGTAGAGACTTTCAGTTTGAAAAACACGATGAGGACCAAATTTGTAAACTCAATAACTTTGTGAAAAAAAAGTTATTTTAACCTAATATTTGGGATACTATTTTAGCGATGTTGTTTGGCGAGTTTAGCAAAATTTCAAGCAAATCGGGGACCATGAAAAAATCGCCGGAGTACCCCTTTAAGTGTCTGCCGAATTTTTACGGCAAAGCTGTTAAGGGCTAGTTTCCCCAGTCTCGTGTTCGTCACCAAATAAATGTCGACAAAAAACCCTGGACAGATACCTCCGTCTATGAGCGACAGCGGCAACCAGACAACCGGCTTGCCAGTTGTCTGGTTGCCGTTGTCGCTCATAGATGGTGGCAACTTTTCCAGCCTTTCAACTTTGGTTTTCACCAGAGTGGAAAGGCTGAGTTTCTCTAGGTGGCATCCTAGAAGTTGTCCTTGATGTCGTCCTAGATGCCGTCCTCGAAGTCGTCCTTGAGGTCGTCCTATATGTTGTCCTCAACTTCGTCCTAGAAGTCGTCCTTGAAATCGTCCTAGATGTCGTCCTGGAGGTCGTTCTAGACATCGTCCCCGAGGTCGTCCTAGGTATCGTCCTTGACGTCGCCTCTGAGGTCATCCTAGGCGTTGTCCTCTGGGCGTCGTCCTAGACGTCGTCCTTGAGGTAGTCCCACCATAGTACAGCTTCGCTGGTCTTCCTTCTTCACCAAAGTGGGAAGGCTGAAAGTTTTTTCTTTCGGTTATCTAGTACTGGGAAACATCTTTTGGGAAAACAACCTGGTCGTGAACGTGTTAAGACCACTTTTCTTACCGTAGCAATCTGTCTCTAGGGAAACACTTAATTTTTTGTATTTCTGTTTTTTAGGAGGTGATTGGGGTCAACACTGCAAATGGGGACCTGCTCAAACTGAGCAGAGGTATGTATTCTTAATTGATTTTTCCTTTTCTTATTAGCCTCTGTGAGAAACAAGCCGTGTTGTAGTTTATCAGTTCACGTTGTAGCTAGTGAATGTGCCCGTAGCTTGTGAAACCTGATGGCTACACAAGTCTTCAGACTTTCTAAACTTGCCGCTGAACTTCTTATATCAACCTTTCTAAGTATTGGAGAATTTCTCAGTTAACAAAATGCACAAAAATCAGGACTTGCAAGTGCTAAGCATATTTATATGGCATTCCAAATGTGTCACGCCCTTTCTAACTGTCCTTCTGTATACTTCATTATACTACACAAGAAGTATACTTCTGTTGAAAGATTCCACTGAAAGTTGTGAGCCCAAGCACACAGCCTTTTACAGCGAAGCCTGTTATGTTCTAGGATCTAAAACTGCATCTGCGGATGTTGACAGGAAACTGCCCATTAATCGTTGCAAGTATGAATAAATAAAAAAAAAAAGAGGGGGCAACCAGCGTGAATCAGCCTTCCTTGGCATTATTAGATAGTGAGGACCTGATCCCTTGTTATCATCTCTAGGCATCGTCCTCAAGGTCGTCCTATAAGTTGTCCGAGAGGTCGTCCTAGAAGTCATCCTTGAGGTCGTCCGAAAGGTAGTCCTAGGCGTCGTCCTCTAGGCCTCATCCTAGAAGTCGTCCTTGAGGTTGTTCTAGACATTGTCCTCAAGGTTATCCTAGAAGTCATTCTTGAGGTCGTCCTAAACGTCGTCCTCTAGGCATCGTCCTAGACGTCGTAAAATTAACAGCTTCGCTGTTCCTCCATCTTCAGGTGAAGTGGAAGGGCTCTACAATTTTTTGTCACTACCTTGGTGCATGTTGAAGACCCAAGGTTACCAGTCATACTGCACTCTAAATTTTTCATCTGCAGCATTGATCAGTGTTGCCATACCTTAAAAGCAAACCGACCTCTTTCTGCCTAGACATGCTACATCTAATTTGCTTCACTTAATTCTCAGTATGACGTTCACATACTCAAAGTTTCAGTGCATTTCTGAGCCCCACATTATTGATGTCTTGTCAATCACTTTGTTTCCTCTGTAAATCACAATGACTGGCTCTCCTTCAACATTGCAGGAAAGTACACACGTGGGCTTTGGTCATAAAAAGGTTGTACTAAATAAGACGTAAAATAGAGTTGTCCGATTGGACGATTGCAATGACGAAAGGGTAAATGAGGAAATTTATATTTGTGCAAACCAACTTTGAAGTTCTGAAAAGGAGAATAATCAACCACACTCACTCGGTGCAGATGGTCTTTGCGATATGGCTTCCTGAAACAGAAAAAAAGACAAAAAAAAAAAAAAAACAAGTTGCTCAGTTTGATTGATGGTTGAGGACTTCGGGGACCCTAAGAAGGCTTTTAGGGACCCTAAAGGTTTCAGACACCTCTATTTAAGAGCTACTTGCCTAGAAAGTGCAAACTTTCTTACAGTATGAGATTGTCAGTCAAGTTCTGTCAAGTCGGCAGTGACCCATCATCCTTTTCTTTTGGTTCTCCAGACGAAACGGTGGGATACTGGCAGGTGCTGACGGTCAAGGAGAATTTCATTGTGGCTAGTCTTTCGGCTCTCAACTCCACCCCACACATTGTGAGTGCCCCTTCGTTCATCCTCTGCGCTCTCAAAGTAGTCTTGCCCTTCAGATTCATAAAGCCATCACCATAATCGTAACATTAGCCCCTTTCCCACACTATTGGGGCAAAAATGGTGGTAACACAGAAAGCATCGTGCATTGTTTCGTGATGATGTTGTTCGGAGGGTCTTGGTACGAATTTCTTGCCTCGACATCGCAAATTGCGTTATGCATAGCGTCTTCGGAAGAAAGCCCTTCAAAAGCTAGTGCTCAAGCAGGAGTAAACGCAAAGTTTGCATCTCTTGCGATCGCACGTCCCTGCTTTGTCCCCGCTCTTCTGCATCTTCCCATTTCCTCCAAAGCACACGCTCCTTTTCTTCTTGTCTCTCTCCCCCACAGTATCTGTAAGCACGCTCGCTCAGCACGTAGGTAACGAGGACACACATTGTGGGCACATTGTGCGCTAGAAATGTGATGCCTTTGACTTTTAGAGCGCATGTGGGGCAAGTCGGGGCGGCCGTTGGCCAACTGATGCCACCTCCTGTCGCATCTTCCGCCAGGTGGTGGGCATGCTGTCGCCCGAGGGCTCAGTGACCGTCTGGACGCCGCTGGAGCAGGACGACAACAAGGTGTCCGGCATCAGCTGGTACATCCTCCAGTTCTCGCCTCCGGATGAGTCCAGTAAGTGCTCTTGCAAGTTCTCTCATTTTCTCGTGCAATCAAGAAAGTGAGAAATTTTTGGAGCACAACCTGAGAAGTTCACCGTGGTCTGAAAAGTAACTGTTGTTCACAACCGCAGTCTTGTAGCATGACCTCCCATCGACTGCGACACATTCCGTTCACAATGCATCAAATTAAGCTGTCGATCGCTGCTTTTCACTTCTTTATCTTGCAAGCCATTACAATGACAGTGCATCTCCACTTCCTCATGCAGCAGCTTCCTAAAGAAATTCCTAGATCTCTTACAGCAGAGCTGTTAATTGCTAGTTTCCCCAGTATCGTGTCCGCGGGCAAAGAAATGTCAACACAAAACTCTGGACAGCTACTGCCATCTATGAGCGACGGCGGCTTGGTGTTGCAAAAAAAGAATCTGTCGTTTTCCAGGGCACGTTTCCTGGCACTCTTCGTTTTGTGCCCCTCTTTGGTGAAGGCTTGCTTTTAGAGCACAGCTCTTAGGCACCCGTTTCCGGCGTGAGCGGCGTCAGCGTAACCGCGCAGTGCATTATGGGAAATGTCCCATAATGCACCGCGCGAGCCCCCCCCCCTTCCCCCCCCCCCCCCCCCCCCCCCCCCCAAGCCACGTGACCCCCCCCCCCCGGAGGACATTGAAGAATCAGGGGTATACCCTCCCCTGAGTACCCTTCCCTCCTCCTCCTCAAGAGCTGCACTCCAATTCGGCATTACGGGGAGTTGTAAACGGCTTTCACTTTTTTAGTTACGAACCTGCAAGGTTTTGTTACTTGAGACAAAACAGTGTTCCTGATTTCTCACATCGTGCAGGATTGGTTTACAGTGCGGGAACTGGCAGCAAACTTTTCTCTTTTTCCAGACATGATCTTCGAGGCCACCCTCGTGACGCCAAAGAACGAGTCCGACCTTCCTCTGATTGTGTGGCCACATGGCAAGTGAAAAAGAAGCATGGTTTCCTACCTCCTTGCATTTTGCCGACCGAAAGCTTATTTTCCGTAACATCTCGAGAGCAGGTGGTACCCGAGCTACCTTCTCAAAAGCGGCGTCCCCTTTGTTCACGTTCCAGGTGGTCCTCACTCGTCTTACCACGCCGGCTTTCAGCTGTACCCCATCCTGTTTGTCAAGTGCGGCTTTGCAGTGCTGCTTGGTAAGTGCCCCTCTTGGAGCCAGGATCATGCTCTTGGTGCAGAAACTGGAATCTGGGAACATACTCTTAGGCTCGCTTCAGACACGGCAATTTGTCCCAGCGTTGCAACATCTACGACACGGGCTCCCGAGTTTGCAAGCAGCGAGCACCAGAGCTGCATTTTCTTAGCATCATAATTAAAACTGTAATTTTTCTACACTATTAAGAGTAAAGCTATGCCGATTTTTATATCTTCGAATGGCATTGAGAATACATATTGATCTCCCTGAAGCTACTTAGCTGCAAAAACGAACCATTTCAAGACAGCCAAGTTAAACCCCATTTTCAGTTATTATCATGGCCACCACAAGGGGTTCACATGAAAATATTGCATACCTGACTGTCTGCTGCCACGTCGAATGTCTCCGAGTTGTTAGAGTTCCTCACCCGTTTTTAGCCGGACCCGATCTCAGCAGTTCATATTGCGGCTCAAAGATCTAGGGAACAACTTACCGCACCTGAAGCAGACCTTATAAGACTAGTTTTTGTTTTCCAAACGGCTGTATACTGTAAACAACTTTATTTTTACGGGCTCAGCATTTCGCGGATCTTGTAAAGTGTGGGTTTTGGCAACATATTGCTGGCACACAACTTTGTGATCTGAATTTATATGCTAGTATTCATGACCATGGGGTAGTACATTTCGTGATAAATTTTTCGTAATAATTTTCGTGTCGTTAAACTCTGAAAATTAAGGTCCTCGGAAAATTAAGTCATTCATACTTAGTGGTACAAATGATACTGCTTTTAACAAATAGGTTCAAGATTATGCTATGCTAAATAAAACATTGGAGCCATTGATGCCCAGACGTCTGTCTGCCATTGTTTTCCCAAAAAATTATACAAGCTCAACTGACAGACGGGTAAGCACAGAATGTGTAACAGGCCTTCCAAGGAAGAATGTGTAACAGGCCTTCCAAGGGCATAGCGCACGACTGCTCCTTCCCCCGCTCACCGCGCCATAGACTTCACTCTGGAGTGATCCGACCACCGGTCCTGAGTAGCTCAGCTTAGCTCACAATCTCAAGGTGGTGGGCTCAAATCCTGCTGGGGGACTCAAGTCTCGTTATATGGTTTTCTATTGGCGTAACACTTTTCAATATTGTTACAGCCATACGTTACAGAACTGAATGGAAATAGGCTGATAAAACAGATTCTGCGTTGAAAGTGCTTCGTATGCTTCCAAGATGCAGAATACCAGCAACTAGTTACCTAAATCAGCATCATATTCTTGCATTGATAGGTGCATTTCATTATGAGATCACAACTGTGGCCTTGCTGGAGAAGGAAATTTTCTTTTAACTAAACTTTTTACTCTTACGCTTTACAGGGGAAATAAAACTTTCTTATCTTGAAGGATACCTATGGGCCTTGAATAAAAGCCAAGGGACTCCTCGACATTGTTGCTGTAAAGCAGATCAGAAGCTTTCACGCTTTAACAGAGATTCTCGCACTAAAGAGTGTTTGTCTCATCAACGCATGTACTTGGATATATGACGAGATAGTACTTCAATTGTGAAATCACGATATTTAGGAGGTAGGGACACTAGAGAACCCAGTTTAAAGAGGTGATAATCAAGAAAAGCTGCTCCAATGGCTGCATGTTTAGCAAAAAAATCTTCAAAAGCTTGACTACTTCTTTTTTTTTTTTTATTCTACTAAATACTGCGTGACCTCGTTTAGAGTCATTGTGATGTCTCAAAATGCCTCCGGATGCCTCCATTTGGCTGACCCTGCTGATCTGTCCTGTAGTGAACTACCGGGGGTCAATAGGTTTTGGAGAGGACAACCTGCGATCCTTGATAGGCAAGGTTGGACAGCAGGACATGTTTGACGTCCAGGTGAGTGGGTGGCCATCCTTTCTTGAACACAACATTTGATTCCATGTTCTTAGACTGATATTGCAAATAAGCATGGTTGTGCGAGGGGGGGTTTGAATCTAATAGTGCTATGTCATTTATGTATCATAATCAAGGCAATTTCACTGCTTGTGAGCACACAAAATGAACTGATGATGATGATCATAGCCTTCATAGTGCAAGATAAAGCCACAGTGTTCCAGCTGTTTTTGCAGTGTTGAAGGTTTATACGACTCTGGGCTATTTGATTCAAAGCAGTATTCACACATCCCTACAAATAAGCCTTTTCATGAGCATGAGTAGGCTAATAATAAGAGCAGGGCAAGAAAAAGGAACAGGTTAGAAACAAAAGTGTTAGCAGTAGGTCTACAGATGTACAAGTGTAAAACCTATGATAGTTTTGGTAATCTTAAAAAATCTAAGTCATGAAATGTGGAAAATGGCCCTCATCTACCATGCAATTTATATGAATCATGTTTTACTTCAGAAATAACAATCTGATATTTTAATTTCATGCCTCGAATCAATCCTCATATTTGATAAATACACTAAACCGGATATTTGTCATGATGGTGTGCATGAAAACGTGGCCATCGTTTTCTCTGCCCTGCTCGGCGGTTTATAAGTATTGGGACAATACTTTGATTGAACAGCGCCACGAAGGAACCTCAATAAATGACGCTGGGACTAAGAAAGTGACACGTCATACACAAGTAAGCACTCGCGCATGTATGCTGTGTTGGCTTTCTACGCCCAGCGTCGTTGATTGGTAATCCTGCACGGTGCAGTTCAATCCAAGCACGAAAAACTATCAACTAGCCCAATCCCAAGCACCATTGGAATGACTTCCTTTTTCCTTTTTTAACTCTTAGGCTTGAAACTAGAACAAGATCCTGCAGTTTGCAAAATACTTGTTTAACGTGAATCGGGAAGTGCTGCATCCAGTCGTTACTCTTTACGTGTGATCTGAGAGTTTCGGACGGCCATTTGGTTCATGTTCCAGGAAGGGAGACTTTTTGTTTGGATTTCATTTTTCATTGTTTCACAGCATAGCAGCATCATTTGGCAATTTATTCAGTGTGCACGTACCATAAGAACTCGTAATACCTCAGCAGACCGTGCCAGACCAATGTTGAGTAGCTCTGGCTGTGAAACGGAGTTGCACAACTACCCATCGGGCATTTCGCAGTGTGCCGCCGAGGTGGCTGCGCAGAGGGACGAAATCAACCCCGACAAGATGATCATCTTCGGGGGCTCTCATGGGGGTTTCCTGGCGTGCCATGCCATTGGCCAGTTTCCGGTAAGCTGCTCTCATTCAATCTCGAAAAGAACTTCTGCAAACATTTCTCGGTCTGTGCCTCACCAATGGATTCTTCCACCTGGTTTCAGAGCTTCTACAGGGCCTGTGTGATTCGGAATCCAGTTGTCGACCTGTCTTGTGAGTTATAGGCAATGGTGTTTTCACTCATCGCATTTTACAACTACAGTCGTAAACAGTGCAAGTTGAAACGACCGAGCAACGACTGAAAGATACAGGTGGAACCAGCCCGACATAAGATGTTGAACTAACAATGAGAGGTGGCATGCAGACGACACTCCCGTGGACAGTGCTAGGTGACTCGGCATGTTCTTGTTCCACATTTAGGAGCAGTTCGATGTGACTCATTTTCACTCTTAGCTACACCCGCCCACCCTTAGTGTCGCCTTCTTTACCTGAGCGTGTGGTCCTTGCTCCAGTCAAATCATTTTTCCGACATCTGAACAGGCAAGCATGATGATAAATAACTACAGTAGAACGTTGTTGATACGTTTTTCAGGGGACCGTGGAAAAGAAATGTATCATCCGGGAAAACGTAACAACCGATAACGCACTTAGGGGGGGGCTCTACATGAGATAGGAAGCAGCTCTATACAATGGTTTATTTTATGTGTACTTACAGAACTGTTGAGGGCTCTGACACTCCAACTTAGTGTTTTGCCCCCAAGCCTGTTTAAAGGCTGGTTGATAAAAAGGAGCTTTCGTCTCGATCTCCTTTCGTTTGGCAACGATGCTGTTCAAAGTTGACGGCGCGAGTCCGAGGTCTCTTGCGATGTCAGATCTCTTCTGGCTGGGATTGCGATCCACCGTCGGAAGTATATCAAACTTCTCTTTAAAAGAGAGTGCCTTCCCTTTCGCGATGCTATGACCGTCGTCAATGGGCGCAAAGCACACATACCTACTTCGAAACACAACGGTTCACGCAATCTAGCAGAACAGAAACTGGAAGCTCAGCATGCATGCAAGTGCACCTTATGCCAGAGAAAGAAAAGGACAGATGAAAGAGAGAGCAAGAGAGAACGAGCGTTTGCCGCCTCGCCAGCCTTGCTCCCTGTCCGAGCAGTACTCTAGGGTCACACCCGGGCAAAATGGGAAGCTGTGGCAAAGCTCAGCAGAGCCCAGCGAGGAGAGACGGAAAAGAGGGAGAAAGGAGTAAAGGGAAGACTGGTGTCTATGCGATCCACATTGCATGATTCAGCTTTGCCCCGCTAGCTTCGCTTCGAAGCCAGCGTGGCAGGCTGGCACCCGGCGCGCCGAGGTGCCGTGATGCTGATATTTTTGGACGTTAAAACTGGGAAAGCAAACGTAACAGGTAGGAAACTAATACATGTATCTCTGCGGAGTTAAAACGGGACCGGCATTTTTGAACGTAATGGCCGGGAAAACGTATCAACCGAGAATGTATCAACGACGTTCTACTGTACAAGCAAGCCCACTAGCACCACATGTGCAGCAATGGTGCTCAGTTCTCAAGTATGATCAGGTGACGTCATATAGCATGCCATTGCGACCTTGTGCGCATGCGATCTCTCGTCGCTAGTTCAACTTCTCACGGCAGGGCATCGCCACTGGTATCTTTCTGTCGTCGCTCAGTCGTTTCGTTTTGCATTGTCCGCGACTGTGCAGTCGGACAATTTTGCAACAAGCACCTTTACTATGAAAATTTCTGTTTGAGGAAGTGGGACAAAGTCCGGGTCCTTTTCTGACGTGATCTGTGTGTTTTTTTACAGCGGAGCTGTTAAGGGCTAGTTTCTCCAGTATCATGTCCGCAGACAAAAAAATGTTGACACAAAACTCCAGACAACTACTGCCATCCATGAGCGACGGCGGCAACCAGACGACTGGCTTGCCGATTGTCAGGTTGCCGACAGCGTCCTAAGCGCACACCCTCAGACCGGCCGCGTATTTCGAGAGGCATCAAGAACGGCCAGCCATGCCATTCTTGCTGTGCAGTTACCACGTCACCGGGCCGTAGGCACATGATGTCGTTTCCCCTGTGTGCACAACTTGTATGCACAACAACGAAATGGCTCTGTCATTTTCCGCGCATCGCACGCACGTCTTCATTCACCATGCTTTCAGTGATTCCACTCCTGTGCCAAATGCACCCTTTTGCGCCAAAGGCGATTTGCTGCGCCATCCTGATAAAAATTCGCCATATTGCGCGAAATCGTGCCAACCTGCATGACTGGCCGAATTATGCGGCGACTTGCACCACCCATCATAGCCACACGCAACCTGAGCCAAGGCAAAGTGAGGGCCCCCTAGCGGCCGTGCTGTCAACCGCGGCAGGTGCTTCTGTCTGAGGCAAACCCAAGCCTTTCATTGCACAGAAAGTTGCATCAACAGCTGTGTTAACTTTTTTTATATTATAAGAAATATATGTTTAGTAATCCATATATAAGAAATATATGTTTAGTAATTCATATATAAGAAATATATGTTAAGTAATACCAGAACCAGGCGGAAAAATCCGCCTGGTCCTGTTATGAAACCAGGGACCTCACCGATTCTAGGCCCAGGACCAGGCAGATTTTTTCGGTTGCGCACCAGTCACCTAGCTGTGTTCGGAGATTTGAGTTTGTCTTTAGTCCCCCTTGTTCCCCCTTCTCCAGGGATTAATTTCGTTATCCTCGTCCAGCTCACTTGCACCTTTGCATTTTTTTTGCATTAAGGGCCGTTCACACTCTTGCGACCGACTACGACTGAGAGAGACGAGATCTCTTAAAACTTCTTAAATGTTCTTAGAATGCGGGAACACACTGGCATTGTGGCGCCATCTATGCGGTGACCCTGGAACTGTATTTCACAAGAGCGAAGGTTTTGCAGGGTTTGCGAGGTCAAATGTGCATAATACCCATAGAAGGGCTCGTTTATAACATTGAGAAAAGTTTTTTCGAGCCAAAAAAGAAAGGATAATGCGCGAGAAACAAAAAAATATGCCGGACCGCCGAGTTTACACTGCTTTCCAATAGATGGCGCCAGTCTGTTCTCTGGTTTAAGAAGTTTTAAGGAACTCAGGTTTAAGAGGTCGCAAGAGTGTGAACAGGCCTTTATAATCATTGGTAGGAAGTTTTTTATTTTAAAATTTTCTTAACTAAATTTTGGTGATCATAAGATTTTTTAAGGGCTCTAAAAGACATTTTTAGGTGCTCCAAACTGCTCCAAAATTCGTTTTCATGTGCTCCAATAATTGCTCCAAATCACAGTTTTGCTGTAGCATGACTGTGCTTTGTTATATTTTTTTTTTTGCTCATAAATGTAGTTTCGTTTTTTTTTTTAGGGCGCTTAGAGCTCATAGATCAAGTTATGACAAAAAAAAAAAAAAAAAAAGAGGATTTCAAAAAGCACTTTAGTGCCCCTTTATCTAAGTTGAGGGTTCTTTCAACTGAATGTATTGGCTACTAAGGGGTTTTGCTGTAAACTTTTGGGAAACTTAGTTCATCATAGTTGTTTGTTCAACTGGAGTTAGTTCAAGTGCTATTTTGTTGTACTTATGGTTTGTGACTTAGCAGGTTCTTGGGGACATCTTTTTGTCTTGTCAGAACAACGTTTGCCGACTCCATCCCAATGCATTTTTTGCGGGTTTACTGCGATTGATTGAACGACATTCCATCGAAACACGTTTTAGAGAACGCGCTCGGTTTAGAGAAAGCAGAGCTTCAGTTTAGAGAAATGCCATTTACGAAAAGGGGATGCTGCTTAAAAAAAAGGCTCCCCTACTTCGCGCGTTTATCACTGGGGCATGTGTTAGCCCACCCTGTTTCCACGGCGGTCTGCGGCAGCTCATTACAATTGTAACCGACGAGGCCCTCCCCTACACACAGTTTCGCAGCAGCCGAATTGGCTAAAAGGAGCCTCGTTGCCATTTTTCTCTGAACTGAACTTCTCTATGAGGCGTTTACTGGGGTCAGTAAAACGGCATTTGCTAAAACAAGCTTCTCTAAACCTCATGCCTCCAATTTTTTGCAGCAATGGACTGTACGGACATACCTGACTGGTAAGTTGAATTTCAGCTTTTTGCACAATAGCTGCTGTTCGGCTGTTGGGTTGTTGAGCAGAAAGTAAGCTTTTGCACACACCTATCTTTTTTTTTTTTTTTTTGCTAGCATGGGACAAGTATTTGTCATAAAATGTTCTTGCACAAAGTGACCTGGATAGCTTAATACTAGCATTAATTGGCTGGCCTTTGTCGGTTGACGCTTGTATAATTAATTTTTAGCATATCACCTGAGAGTATTCACTGGTGCCCGTTTCTGTAGCTTGCTTTCAGCTACAGCTTGTTCTTACAATACCATTTCTTCAATTGTCCAAGTGGACCAATTTGCTAAGACTATGGTGCAGTTTCATTTCAATTGAGGCAGTAAGGTGCATTCATTCTTTTTCTTTACTTCTTTAAAGTTTATTGTAGCACATGCCATATGGAAACAGTGTTTTTTTCGGTTTCATTGCTATGGCATACAAGGACATGGGCCTAAATTTGAAATGTTTTTGAAAAAATTCATTTTTCAATTTTGAGGTTTTTTTGTTTTAGAAACCAATTGTACGCCCTTACACTAAATTTGATAACCATATGGCCAATAGTTACTTTGATATAAAATATTTTCAACACATTATGAAGCAGTAACAAAGTAAAGGAGTTCAATGTTTGAATGCTTTTTTCTCAGTTCCACTTTTTGCTGCAAATTTCATATGAAGGAATCTTTTGTTCGAAGGTGAAAGTATTCTGATACCACAGTCAACATGTTTCTGAATTTAAATTTACTGGGGAATCGGGCTATCTACTTTATTTTGTTTTAAGATGAAGTCCTCAGTGATAAAAAACTAAGTTTTCAAAGTTTGACATAGGACATCCATCTCATATTTTGAGGTAACGAATCTTCCTGAAATATTTACATTTGAGTTATTAAAACTATGTAGCCCGAAGTCCCATATCCCCCACTTTATATTCAAGCAGTTAAAATGATACTTAATAGCTTCATTTGCATATCATAGGTTTCTCAAGGAAGATTGAGACATCAACTTATGCAGGTTTGTAAATTTGTCTTAGAGAGCTGAGAGTTTGCACAGTACACATACATCTGAAGTTTAATCTCCCCTGCAAATTTCATTCCGATCACTTGTGTAGTTTAAAAGTTCAACCTCTAGCCAGTGTCCCCCCTTAATTAGTTTTTAACTAACGAAATTCCACAGGAGATGGGAGGGATGGCAAGTCTTAGACGATTGTCATTTATGCCATGTTTGAAGGGCTCTCAACCTGAAGCTAGCTGGTAGAGACCCAATTTCTCTTTTTTACGCAATTATCGGTACTATAATGAAGCAAATATTGTTTTAAAAATAATTACACTCTTTTATCTTCTAAACATACGGTATGTTTAATCAAAAGTATGGTATGTGCTGCAACATAAAAATGCAAAGAAAAATGTAAATACCGTATACCTCACTTTTTGAACACAAATGAAACCACTCTACTATGCGACTTTCTAGTGCCATTTTTGCAGACTATCTCTAGCTCCAATTCTCAGAATCAGATGAAAGTTAGTATTGAAACCAGATGGGCCGAACCAACCACAAGGAAGAACCTGAAAGGAACCTTTGCTTCCCAAATTAAAAAATGAGAGCATTTCTTGCTGAGGACTGCTCATCAATGACAGTGCTGCGACATAAAAGTCCAGCGATGCTCCGTCATTTCCGGAGTCGTGTTTCCAGTGTTGCCACGTTGCAGGCGTATCTGGTGGTATGCCGAGCAAGCCGAAATAATGTTTGGGTTCTCGGCAGGCGCTGTGTGGAGAGCGGGATGGACGGGGACTATAAGCCGGACTACATCCCGGAGCCCAAGCATCTGGAGCAGATGTGGAACAAGTCCCCCATGAAGTTCATCAAGAATGTGAGCGCATCTTCTTTCCAGTGCAGCAGACAAGTGGGGGCTGTCCCGTAGAACCCGGACTTTTTGTGAAGGACGGTCTAGAACTTACCTGTCTGGTTTGTGAAAACAACTTTGAGAGAAAAAGTGGCTATTTTTATCCACACTGTATTTTCCGGACTATCGTCTGCAGTCTCTCCGCAGAAACAAATTTTGGTTAAAAAAAAGGTTTTCCTTATATAGTCCGCACGTGGTTCGTAGTCCACACACGGTGTCTAGTGCACACATAAAAATTCCCGCACACAACACACCTTGACAAACGCCTGCTTTATTAGCTCAGAAAGAAGCTTGTATTATACGTAAATCATCATTAACATGCTCTGTCTCCCACAAAACCCGTCACGTCTCGTCATAATGAATGATCTAGAAAAAACAATCCTCTCCAAGTCTGCACCTAGCAAAATATCAACTTTCAAATGCGTATGGTCCACCGACCTTAGTCCAGAACTACGGTACTCGCCTTTGAATTCCCCGTGTCCAGTCCGTTTAGGTTATGAAGAGATTCATTCCTTATTAAAAAGAGTCAAGTCGCCGTTCTCCAGGCTATTTATTAGTGGTAATTTTTGTCGCATTGGTGGCAGAAAATCGTCCTCCTCGCGATTTTCTCCAACTCAATCAACAGAAGTTGGCCAGTGCGAGTCATGTTGGGATCTCATTAGCTTACATCTTGATTCTGGTTTACTTTTACTGGTCTATAAGCAATAAAAGTAATTTGTGCTAGAAAAAAAAAAATGTTCCGGAGAATTAAGCAGAAATTACGATTTCTGGGTGTTAAACAATCAAATTTTATTCCCAAGAAGTTAAGTTCGGACATTGCTTTTTCGTTTAAGATTGTCTTTTATAATGGTCACGAGAGTTGGAAATTAGTTTGTCGCATGGAATGGGGCATTTAATATGCACATCCAGCTTGCACGCATTTGCAGTCACCGTATTAACACGAATAGTGTACCATACGTGCGTATGATTTGTGAGCAAAGAAAAATATTTACCTCGTCCTTAAGGCCCGTTCACACACTAGCAACCGAGTACGACCGAGAGAGGTGAGACCTGGTGAAACCTCTTAAAATTTCTTAGGACGAGAGAAGACACTGGCACGCTGGCACCATCTATGCAGTGACCCTGGAACTGCATTTCACAAGAGCAAAGGTTTTCCGGGATTTCCGAGGTCAAATGTGCGTAATGCAAATGAGAAGGGCTCGTTTATAACATGAAAAAAGTTTTCGAGCCAGGAAAGAAAGGATAATGCGCCAGAAAAATAGAAAATATGCCGGACCGCCAAGTTTACACTGCTACCCAATAGATGGCATCATTGTTTTCTCTCGTCGTAAGAGATATTAAGGGGTTCCAAGACACTCAATTCAAAGAGGTCGCAAGTGTGTGAACGGGCCTTTAGACGCAGTGGTTGTCATTGCCGCTTTTTTTCTGACAAGATAAGCTATGCCGTCACATTGGTCCCGTCAAAAATATGCTCCAGCTCAGGACTTTTCCCAAAATCGTTACGTCTAGGGTTTTTCGCGTTTTCGGGGTTAGGTTCGTCTTCTGTTTTCGAGGACAGTTCCCATACGGTGTTTTTGGGTTTTCCCCGATTCCAATGAAAGCGGGTCAAAGGTTGCCCTTCGGTGTTCGTCAATGCGCACCGAGAACACGAAATCCCAACTGGATTCGAGCCTCTCTCGTGCCTGCACCACCCATGGTTCTAATTCCATTTCTGGCTTGCCAGGTGAGGGTGCCGACCATGGTGATGTTGGGCTCGAACGACGAGCGTGTGCCTCCTTCCCAAGGAATCAAGTTCTACAAGGCCCTCACTGCTCAGGGCGTCTCCACACAGTGAGTGTTCCCGAGGTCTTTTGCTAATGCCCACTTTTACGGCGACAGCTGTTACGGTCTCTTCTCACCATTGGAAATTACGTCCGTCGTCGACGTTATAGTTGCTGTCTTCGTCGATGTCGTAATTGGTCCAGTACGGCTTCCGTCGTCGACGCTGCCAAATCCCCGAAAAAGATTGCCCACCGCCCTTGGGAATTGAACCTGGGTCCACCGCATGCGAGCCGGAGCCGTCGCCACTAAGCTACGTCAAAGCGTTTACAACCCGCTTTGTACTTGGGGTTTTTTGGGGTACCCAATGCCCACGTCACACGCTCCCCGGAAAAAGAAATAGTCGGTAACAAAATGCCGTCGTAGCAGTGTCGATGCCGAGAGCTTGTGCCGGGAGACGTGCCTTCGTGTGCTCTGGAACAAAAAAGAAACGAAAGCGTTTGGAAGGAAATGGTGGAACATCTATTTTGTTCCAAACGCATGGGCCTCACGGTGCACAACGACTTCGCTTGACGACTTCGCTGTGACATGTCACAGCTATCGCTGCGTGTGTATTGTGGATTAATACGGGACTGCTAAATTATTTTTTTTATACACGCTCGCCTGCTTTTTTGTTACGAAGGAGCATTTTGTATGATTTGAGGGCCTCGAGGAGAGGTTCGAGGGATGCACCGCAGGAACTGCTAAATATGGTGGCAGTTTTTGCAGCCAGTATTTCATTCCTTGGCTTTTAAACCGCCTTAGAAACAATAACATTGCAGGTATGTATTTTAAATGTAATTGATTCTTTTTACTCTTATTTTTGTTCTGGCTAAAGAATTAGTTTTCTACCATTAATTGGATCACTGTATAAATAAATACTTTTGTGCACGTTTCTTGTTAATTTGTCGCACAAACTGTCTGCTCACCAATTGCCGATGGGTCTGAGGACTTGTCCAGCTTCACTTTGAAGCTTTTTTTTCGTTTTCCCCACCATTTGTATTAATGAAAAATTAACAGTATTATACACTGGGGAAATGCAATCAGCAGGGTTCTTATATTTGGACGGCGATTTTAAGGTTAAATTGTGGCCCTTTGGAGTTTGGGCGCTGTGATAGAATGTATGTTTACTTACTGTGTCAAAAGCACAGGAGCCTGGCATGGCCCTTGTGCTTGTTTTAAAGGGCCGACGTAGTTTCCCACACTACGAAAGACCCATTTGCTGAGGCAGTTTGTGTGGCAGCGCTAAGCACGTTTTGGCCGTATGCACTTCCTTTATCTTTAGAGAGAAGATAGAACAAAGGTTCATTCATTTCCTCACCCCAAGCAACGGCGACCTCGCCAAAGCGAATTCAGCATGGCCGCCTAAAACTGCCTCGTCGAATGGCTCTTCCGTAAGTTGGAGACTGTACAACCAGGAAAGAGCAAATCCCAATTGCACAGCTCCAGCAGCTTTAGAGGGGCACTAAAGAGGCTTTTGAATTTGTATTTTATGAACATGACTAAGTTTACTATGCAAGTATCCTAAAAAGACCCAAAATTATGATCATGTGCAGCCTATTTCTCTATTAAGAATAGATAATCAAAGATTGTAATACACTTCTTTTTCTGTGAATTTGCACAAAAAGGTTTGTCGCAATCTTTGAACATGTTTTCAAGCAGTAGCTTTCTAGGGCCAACCAACCCCAGGAACTGCGTAAGCAAGAAATGTGTAGGTCGGTCAGTCAATAACCGCTAATCAATCTTAAAAAAAAAAAAAAAAGGCAACTAGTGCCAGAGATTGAATTTTGGTCACCAGTGTGGAAGCTGAGTGCATAGACCCAGCACGCAGGAACGCGAAGGGCAGGTGCAGGTGGTGTGAGAAAGTGCACAGAGAGTCGGGTGGGGTGGCAGGGACGAGAGAGCAGTAGAAAATTTTGAACATACACAGATGTGGGGGCAAAGAAGCCCTCAGCACTATCAAGTTTTATATCACTAATCGGTTTTACAAGTCTGCCTCTGCTCCCTTCTAAAGCCTTTAAATATGTTGGGACCCCCTCGAGATATAAATAGTTGACTACTATTCATAAATAACTGAATACCTAAATGTGACACCCATTTGTAAATAAATATAGGTAGTTAGAGGTTGCATTCCCAGGTCTAAGTTTACTGAAGTTCTTTTACTATTGAAGTCATTTCGTTACTTTTGAGGTTCTCCAACTTCTTATAAAAACCATTTTGGTGTAACTGCTTCCATATGAATCTCACCTTGCTCGTGTCCTTTAGGCATGTACAAGTACATTTGCTCCCAATCAGCGTAAGTGTGCAGCCTGCGATCCCTCAAACACTCTTTTTCCTTGCAGGATGTTCATGTACGACGACAACCACTCGCTCTCCAAGGTAGACAACGAGGCCGACATATTTGTTAATGCGGTACTGTGGTTCAAGAAATTCATCAACTGAGCTCATCGTGCTGCAGCATCAACATCTTGGGTCGCATTAAATGCGAGCGATTTCATAACAAAATAAAACATTGAGCCAATGGTTCTCAAGCATGGATGTGTCGTAGATTCTTTGAGGACCTGCCAGAGTGATGGGAGACCCCATGCCCGTGGGGAAAGGGGAATGGGGGAGGTATAAGACAACTAATTGCAGTGTGAAGAGGGCATTCTTTACTGTTATAGACAGGAAAAGTGAGAAGCATAAAATGTCTCTTTGATTCGCCTGTAACTGGCTGAACTAGTTCAGCAGTGGAAGAACTGGTGATTCGATTCAACCGGAAGTTGCACGACCGCTGCACTGGCGTGTTTGATTCATCCTCGTTCTGGAAAAGTTTACTCCCAGTTCCGCAAATGCATGCACCGATTCCGAAGCCAGTTCAGCGTTTGTACAGTAGCAGACGACTCCTCTCTTTCTTGCTCGCTGTGCTCGCTCATTTGAAGCATGTTTGTTAAATAATAACATTGAAACTGAAGTCTTTCCACTCGTGGACGAAAACGGTGTACCCATAGTGGACGAAAGCGGGACGGTGCACATAACGGAGGGTAGGAATTAGCTTGAATATGATATTGTAAAAATTGTAAGAAGGCTGCGTAGGCTTGCTTAAGCAGCCTCGCTTATGTTTGGTGAATGACTGGCGTATGCTAATCATTACCCCATGATTATGAGATTATGATTAAGACGGAAACGAGTTGCTCTCGTCCTAGCCTCCAGCCAGACACAGACCCAGCTGTCCTGCAGCCTGTGTCCACAGCAGACATCGATGGGCAACTGTGGAGTGCCCTGAAAGCTAAGTTTTTAATTGGCTCTTATAATGAACTAAAGGAGTGTGTCGGAGCAAAAGGGGGGTTTCAAGTGTGCCTTCGTTAGAATATTTTACATGTTAGTAGTGAACAACCATGTTTAGGACCAAACGAGACCTGTGCAGAAGCTGGCCAACACCATCGTCGGAGAGTTCGGCGGCGTTATCACAGCTGAGCAGACCGAGAGCGAGTGGAAGTCATTAGAAAGAGCCCACAAGGACGTCAAACAAACAAAAAAAAAAAAAAAAAGTCAAGTGCATTTTGAATATGGGGAGTATGTATGTCTCTAACCCTTTATGATCATCAATTGTAAACGTGCTGTTTCTGCGGTTTAGTGAGCTTCGTGATATTCTAGAGAAGGAGCACCACATTGCACCAACTGCATTGTTGGCGCCGGGAAGGATGATTGAGAAGGAAGGGAAGACCGAGTAAGTACTTGAAAGGCGTATAAAAAACTTAACAAGATACAAAAAAAAAAAAGTTTCAGCAGCGAGGTTGAAACCTCCCCAAACGCAAGAGGCAGGACCCTCCGCCATCTAATCAGCGTGCTTCCGCCGGCACATCGAGCTAGAGCTAGAGGAAGAGGAAAACCACCCTGGGATCGCTGCTCAAGGTGTTTGCCGACGTGGACGCCAGTCGGAAGCAGCGACACAAGGACTGGATGGCTTTGCCTGAGCGCCTCGTGACTTCCGTCGAAAAGAGCACACCTGCAGAGTAGGCCTGCTTCAATTTGAATAAGTGCTTGCAAGCACCCTATACCTTTCGACTTGACTGTTTGGCAGGCTGTTCAATTTTTTAGTTTTATTTCTTCGACTAGTGCACTATTGTGCCGTATGAATAAATTCATTGAAATTATCTTGTTGATTTTGTTTGCCTCTCTTCTGTAGTTCCCTGGTTTAATCTAGTTTCTAGAATTATTTCGGAGCTTTGCAGCGTGTCTTTTTTTTTTTTTTTTGTACTGCCATAACACTAGTTTTGTTTTCTTAAGTTTTGTTATTATTTTGAAAAAAAACTTGGGGAACAATGTTACGTTATAGTATTACGATACTTCCCGGTTAATACAGAACAAAATAAAACTGGGAAAAATAATGCATCACATTGTCAATGGCACCGACTACGCGTGCAAGCCCACATGTGTTCTGCGATTGGATTGTAGTAGGAAATTGGATTGAAATAATATTGTACACAGAAAGGAAGGAACGAAAGTAACCCGTTACTTTGTTTAATCGTGGTTTCATGGAGTCGCATTTCATTTTCCAAAGCTCTCGTACTATCTTTGTACGTTTGCAAAAAAAAAAAAAAAAAAAAGAGATGAATAATATTTTTGGAGGAGTGAGTGTAGATATCGCTTCCTCACATCCCACCTTAGCGGTGGCCTCTCGGAATCGCTCGGAGAGACTTCTCAGGCGTCGTCTGGTTGGATTGCGTGCTCATCATCGTTGGCGAAGTTGGCCCTAAAACTGTCCCCTCAACTGAAAAATGAGCCCGTGATACCCAACTTGTACTTTTCATATTGTATTTCTATTGTTAAGCGATATGACTATTACCGCCAATTCACTGGCACCATGGCTGTCTTCAGTGTTACTCCTAGCAGTGAAAAAGAAAACAGTGCTCCCGTAGTATACTTTGCCTTTATTGGGACTAACAGCTGTGTATACACAAAAAAAAGGTGACGTAGAACTCTGCCTGCAAACAACGCAAGAGACACACGGGAACCACTCCATTTCCGATTATATCACAAGTGTCACATCACAAATTGCACTGAAACAGGCTCGCTGCCAGACGAACCGCACACCAAGTGGGCAAAGCACTCCCGCACCAAAGCAGCGCTGTGGGCAAACGACCACGCATCGAGTTTCCGCAACAACTCCTAGCAACTTCAGGGAGAAAGAATGCTCAAACTCGGTGGAAGCCGTTTCTGTCCGCCATCCTGACACACCCGTGGTGCAAAGTGAAAACTGCACGAGATTTTGTTCGGAATTTTGCCACAGCTAGCTCGCAAGTGCATAAGACAAAGAATGGCAACCAATTGGTGCTTCATCGCCTCCCTGCAGTCGCTGACGGGCTTAGAGTTGGGGGGAAGCTCCTCCCAACTCTTTCCACTTTAGCGGAGCGCACGCTGGAGAGGAGGTTGCCCCCTCTTCAGCGTCTGCTCTACTAAAGTGGGAGAAGGTGGGAGGAGCTTCCCTCAAACACTTAACCCTGTCACCGACTAGCGTAGGTGTCGAGCAACGCTGCTCTTTGTTGAGGATCCTATGTAAAATGTACACAACAGGAGAAAAATTGGTCTTGCCATGGAGGAGCATTTTTCCTCCGCGCACGGGTACGCTGCAGTAAGGTGCTCTCGATCAACAGGAAGGCATATACCAGCAATATTACTTAGTCATTAGCAGTTCTATTCTCCAGATATTTTGACTTCGAGTTTAGGTTGCAGTCATGTGGTGTGCGTCCATGGTAGCACTTGTAAATACCGCACATAATATACTAGATTTTGTAATGCTTTTAAGTAGTTTCTACCACAAAAAAATGTACACTTAAATTTCGTGGCTAGTGCGTGACAGATATGGGGACGGGCACTTGTTGCACTACTAGTAGAATTGCAAAATCCTAGTACCTCATAGTGCTATTCAGTGTTGTCTCTGTGGAGTTTCAGAGCAATGTGTCCAAATTTTGCATCTCTGCAATTACGAAACTGAGGTCTCCATTCAACTTCCACCGCTGCCCATATCCCATTATTCACGGGTGAGATTTCGTTGCCCAACACTGCAAAACAGCCAATGTCAACCATGCTTGCGCAAGTACCACAGACAGTTTTCCTCTTCCCAACCTAAGTATATTTCGTATGTAGCAGGCAACGGGATAACGGTTGCAAAGCAACTAGAAAAACTGTGCAAGCTTCCCTTTGGCATGCTGACTTGCATTTGTAGGCTTTGGAACTGGACAAAATGCCGAGACTTGCGCAAAGGAGACTATTTCGCAAAGCAAAACTGAACCTGCTGTCGGTGTCCGAACAGCGCAAGTGTAATGCTATTGCAAAACTTGGCCCATCTTGCGTTCACACACACACACACACACACACACACACCCCTGAACCTGTCCACACACCCTTTAGGATCGGTGCACTTGCACGCTTGGAAGAACTTTGCGTGAGCAATATGCATCTCTTAGATCTGGCACACGTCTTTGTTCTGTGTGACGAGGAATAGAACCATTGCTAGAAGATAATTATTTAGATTGAAAACTGCTTTTAGACTTAAGGATCTATGAAAGGAACATCTATTATTACAGAAGAGTTGTAGAGCAAGTATGGTGGATTTCTGAAGCATAATACGATTTGGATAGCATCTCCCCAATTAGATCTTGTATGATTGGCTAAATAATCTCTTTAGATATATATTAGAAACTTTTTCTATAAGCTTACATTCTTTTAGGAGATTGACATTCCTGTTCTCCGTTCAGGCATTGAGACTCTAGACACTTGTATAGCTACTATTGATTGAAATTCTGAACGCGAAGGAGGATACCGACCTCTACGCTAATTATTAATGCTAATTAGTTTGTAAGGTGCCATCATTAGCCACCCAGCCGACACCCTAGTGTTCGTTTGAATAAGTGAACTCTGGAAGCTCTCCAGTTTCAAAGCATGTGTGACATAATAGAGCACAAACAGCAGGCAGACAAGATATCACATGGAATTCTCAGCAGCGATGAAGCTGCCAGGACCTCGTGCTTTTTCTCTCATAAATTAATTGTATATAAATACTGCTGTCTGACTGCACATCAAGATACAAACCTAAGGAACTGCGAGTAGAACTAGAAAATTGTGCTCAGAAATGCATGACCTTTGGAAACTCTTTGACGGCGCACGACAGACGTTTTCGCTACCTCAGGATTGGCGGCAGTACACAAAGGTAAAAACTAAAAACATTTAACGTCAGAACTCAAGGCTTCTTTCTTTGCCAAGCTCACAGTCGTTGCACATGATACGCAATAGAAACAAAGTAATGGCGTGCTACCCAATATGCAACAATTAAACATCTAAAAATAACTACGCAAGATCTACAGGCTTCCGCTAAAAAGGTGTACAGAGTGCGGCACCAGTGATCTACAGTATCTTCCACGGACAATCCAATGGCTCCTGCCAATACTACCATATATAGATTGGTAAAATGTGCTCAACTTAGGCGGTAAAATTTGGTGTTGGTCAATACCCTCTCAAAGCAAAATGAAAAAAAGCGCCAATGTCGCGTTCGCGCTAACTGTGTTACGCAGCGTGCACGTTCGTGCTTTGTGTCACAACTACCTACTTTCGTTTTTCCTAGGCTATAAAGAAATCTGCCAGTATGTGGCACTTCACTTTAGGACAGCATAAAAAACCCTCGATTTTCCTTTTTTGGTTTTTCTGACTCGAGAGTCTGTGCCAGTTTTCTCAGCATTCAACTGACTAGGACCTGGGATTGCAATCCAAAACGCAAGAAAGCAATTGCTCGTAAAAAGTATATGTAGCTTACTGCAAGCCTTTGAGCTAAACCGGTCGACACTGTGGTTAGTTTCCAAGTGGTCAAATAAAAACGTAGCGCTACCATATAGTACTTTTCTTTTAAGAGTTCTTCAACAATTAATTAATCAATCTGATGCGAAATAACTACTATAAACTTTCGAGCTAGGCACAGGAACAGCCCTGAAACTTGGCCTAGGTGCGAGTTTGGAGCGACTCAAATTCCTAACATCGCTCGACACAAAACGAGGAATGCAAAAAATATATTAAACTCTTTCGCCCAGGAGTAAGGCCCCAAAAAAGGAGCATCAATACGATGCACGAGACTTTGCCCCCTTAAAAATGAATCTGACTCGACCCGAGTTAGAATCGTCCATCCCCGTTGCGTCGATACACAAAACCAAGCGTGGAAAAACATAGGACGACCTGCCCCGGTTTACGTAAATACGTCGAGACATGCTGCCACTGCTATTGTTGCACAGAAAAGGCAGTGCCAAAAGCAATAGCTTTTTGATAAAAAAAAAAACTTAAAACGCGGATGTAAAGCTCATTTCTGCGTTTCCAGTGTTGTCTACAAACAATGAAACGGGCTGAGCTATTAAAAAATTCCAACCACCCACGTCACAAGATCTAGAACGAGAACAGTCTCCCAGCTCGAGAATCAACAGATTGGCTTTACCTCAGGCGCGAAGGAGCACCGCCGAGATTCGGTTCTTCTAAACGACCTGACGGGGTTTTTAGTTTTTTTTGTTTTTTTTCGACAATGCCGAACAACGGCGCGGCACATCCACTAAGATTCACTAGTGGTTTCTAGGAGACACACACACACACGTCGATGCATGTGCATTAATGCACATGCATGCGCACGCACACACTCACACACCCTGTGCCCCTCTCAGCATAGAGCTGCCTCAACCAGATTGACCGGTTCGTCCCGGACCGGTTCATTTCCCGGTGACCCAGAACTCTTCGAGCCGGTTCCTGGCCTTGTCGAGGACGTCTGCGCCCACGCCCGGATTGGTCTTGAGGACGGGCGACTCTTCCGACGCGGGTTTGTGGCCTTCCTCGGCGCCTAGCTTCTGGATTGGGTCCACTTTGCCCTCTGCGAGAAATGCAAATATGTACTTGAAACTCTATTTGAAACATGACTTGAATCCCCTAAAACAAAGTCGACGGGACACGGGAAAAAGTTAGTTGTCGGGGTGAAGTTTGTTGTTGTGAACTCGGCACCAAATTGGCATTAACCACGCATGACGCACACTGTCAACACGCCTTTTGATGCCACCTTGCACGGATTTCACTTGGTTTGGCTTGGCTTGGCTTGACTCGAGCTTAAAGCTGACGCAAATTAGATCTTGTGGGAGCCTTGGAGGCTCTGAAGCTATCGCAGAGCACTGCGCTATATCATCATCACCATTAAACAATGTTTATGTTTCGTTTCCACCCTCTGACCAGCAGTTTGCTGGCACCCGTCATTTCTTTGTCTGTTTGGCAACATCGCGAGCCGCAATATCAAGGGGAAAGATGATTTCATAGTTCTTTCGTTCATAAATTATAGGAAAGAGTTTAGTTTTTCGTTACGAAAACTTAGTTGAAGCGCAAAGGCATTCAAAAAGTTGTATGTTGTAGAGATACTTTTTTGTACTATCTTCCATGGAGAACAAACGGAGATTCAAAAATACTTCGTTGGTGGGGAAATTTCGTTGAAGAGGCATTCACTCTAGCGGGATTCAACCCTATTCTGGGACGTGAAGTTTCTCCATGAGCTACTCAGTTCAACAATTGACTCTGCCCTGTTCCAAGGGCCTACCCCACTGTAGCCGCAAACCCCAGACGCAGCTCGCAGACGTGCCGACTATGCCTCGTTGCTGGCAACCTCTTAAAAGCTCCAGCACTACCGACTAGCCACAAAAAAATGTGCCAGTGAACAAGCGGCGCTGCCAAGAACGGGCCAGAAAGTTGACAAGCTCTTCCTCCACAAGCTCTTCCTCAACTGTCCCTTACCCTAAGTGAAGAGTTCTTCCAGCTGAAGCACTATTTGAGTAGATCCAAGTCACTCAATGATGTATAGCTATGTGCCAGACAGCCCCTAGTAGGTGCATTACCGTTTACAAGGTCTGCAGGCTTCTGTACGGCTTTATCGCATCCTTGCCGAGGCTGGGGGTTGGTTGGTTCTTCGACTATCGACCAAGATGAATATGAATCTTGGTGATACAGAAAGGTAGAAGAGCAACGTAACAGGTTTTCATTGCTTTTTAACGCAGAATGATGGCCGGCACTTAACCGTATTCGGTTATGTGCCAAGCAACGGAAGTCGGCGAGCCGAGTGCTGGCCGAACGCCGACGCAGTGCTCGTCTCCTCCCCGAGCGGACACCAGCGCCAGCCAAACCCCTTCCTCGATTGCCACCGTGTTACTCCCAGCAGGGGTAAAACATTGCGTGTTCAGATATACGGTGGCACCCTGCTCGGTGAAACAAGCGCGCTCCTGGCTTATCCGGAGAAAGGGAGCAAAAAAGGAGTTAGACTAAAACAAGGAAAAAGAAATTGGACTCCTTCGCCTCAACGGGTTCAGGTAGTTACGAGCGTTCTGTTCTCTTCAGCCGCAACCTAGTGCCGGGGCTCTGCTCGGCGCTGCCGTGTTCCCATTGCTCCGTTTTCCACACGCTCTGTCTACTGCGTCACACACTCCGACAACTCTCAGAAATTAGCATTTACACCCCAACTGCAGAAGATGGCACCAACAGGCAAGACGTCCACGAAGCACTCTCGCGCTTACTTTGCACGACACGGGGCCGCTTTGCACCCTCCAGTCTCCGCACTAATACATCACATTCTGCGTTACAACTGCTTCTGCCACCCTAGTACGACGAAGGAGCGACTTTTCTTTTTACAGTCGAACCTCGTTATATCGAACAGTGCGAGGACCATGAAATAATTCGATATAACCAAAATTCAATATACAAAATCACACCAAAAACGCGTGAAAGTGCAGCGCGATTTAATCACTAAAAAACCAGCGTGCTCATTGCTAAAAAGCTAGATTCTTCCACGTTGCGAAGGCCGGTGTCCAAACACGGCATGCGTCGGAGTGCTTGCTTTGTTCAGCCTTCGATCTGATGTCACTTTTCGTCTTCAGCAGCGTGCTCAAAGTGCTTCGCGGTATGTTGTATGCTTCAGCAACGCTGGACTTCTTTTCTCCTTTTTCATCGTGGCGGGTGATTTCAAGCTTTGTCAAAAATGTTAGCGACGTAGGTTTCTTTACGTTTGATGCCATCAGTACGCCGCACGCGGTTGACGCAACGGCGGACAAACGAAACTGTGGGAGCTAAGCAACAAGCGAAGCGCATGAAAAAAAGTGATACTGGCGATGCTGACGATACGACTAAGCTGACCGAGCCCGTATGCCACAGAGTCTGGATGGCGCTCCCGACAGCAACGTTACTGCCCGGCACCATACACAGGCATGCACTTATAAAAGTCGCAAACACCTGCTGCGCCACCGCTATTTTGCGATGTGTTGCGGAAAAGCCTGCCGCCTGTCTCCGGAGCGCATGCTTTCAGGCGCTGCGGAGTTCGATATATTAATTTTTTAACTGACCGAGTTTGCTATAAAAATTTAAAATGCATGTAATTGTTATGACACATCAACAACGATTCAATATAAGCAATAATTCTATATATCCGTGCTCGATATAATGAGGTTTGACTGTACCTGCCCGACTTGCAATATGTCTCTCCATTAACTCAAACGAGTAAACTAACGCACACATACCTAATCTTAGAAGCGGGTGTTCAAGAGCAAACTCTACTCCCGTTAAATGTTTACTAGACCGCATCGTGCCACTACCGTAATACCCTCGGAGATAGCCCACTTAAAATCGAACGCAAATCGGGTGAAAAAGAGGAGTGGGCTAACTTCGGGTGTGCGATCTAAAAAAGTTTAAAAAATGCTAGTTTTGAATTCTGTGACCCGCGAAACTTGCGATTGCAGGGAGGGGCAATGAACCAAAGACGACTGTCCTCCGTAGTTGGCAATGTTCGTTTATCTCCCGTCGTGGCAAAGTAACACCATCTCTGCCGACCTCTGGCCAGCACCCCACAATACTAGAAGTGGGCTATCTTTTGGTATTTATGAAAAAATAATGGATCATTCCAAAAATAGGGGGCGGGTTATCTTTTGGGGGCAGGGCATCTCACGGGCCATTACGCTACACTCTTTCAGCGTGCCGAGGGAACACCGAACTGCGGACAGATGGAGGAAAAGGGTAACACGTCTGCGGGTTGCCCACCTGGAATGAGGGGTTCCCCCTTTGGTGCAGAGGCAGGTTCGGGGGCAATCTCAATGATGGGGGCTGCAGAGCCCTTGGCCTTGGTCGGCCAGTCACCTGGGGAACGAGACAGCAACGCACACGCGTGAACACGCGCACGTTACGCTTGGAGCATGGCCCAAACAACCACCATAATATACCGGGCAAGCGCCCATTCAAAATTTAGAGAGAATCGCGAAAAAATGGGGGATGGGTGCTTGTCCGGTCATTAATTTTATATATCAATGTTCTGTGCATATTTTCTCAGATCTTAAAAATTTGGGGATGGGCACTTAGTGTGGAATGGGCGTATGTGCGGTGTTCTACGGTAAAACAACTCGGATGGGGAACTCGTCCTTGCAACCCTTCGCACCCGCTGAAACCGAGCCACTGCAAGCCAGACTCGACGACGGCGCTGCCTTTCGGCCATCGGACCGTTTCATCGGTTCGTCCGCAGTTCATCCGTAGGTTGGGCAAACTTTCGCTGATCGGGGGGGGGGGGTCGGCAAAAGTTCACTTCGCAGTCGCAAGTAAGACCTTTTTTTATTCTTTTTGCCGCTTCGGTGCGCTTCTTGGAGTCGCAGCACAGCACTATCATGCCATCTCCTTCATTCCGGTATGCCCCATTCCCGGAGTGACCGCCGTGGCAGAAACGGCAGCACCGCAATCTCGCCGAGCCCGGTGCCAAAGTATGGGCCGGAACCTGTTCCCCGGAACGGGCACCCGTCCGAGTTGTACGGGGTGAAGGGGGCGTGCCCACCTGCGGGGGACTGTCCGTCGGTCCACTCGAGGCCCCTGCCCGTGTCCAGGGGCACCGTCCACGTCTCGGGGTCCGGGGACTTGACCCCTGTCATCTCCTCTGGCGACTTGACCGTCGTCAGGGGCACGGGGCCCCCTCCCTGGGGCTCGGGAAGCGGGGACGGACCTGTGAGTGGGGAGGGTTCGGATGCATGCCTCCTCGCCGGAGGAAACTTACACCGACTCATGTCCGTTGTTCAAACTTTCTGAGGCACAAATCTTTCAGCACCTAATTCTGGGAGACTGCTGCAGTTGCACATTCTTGCCGGAGAAAAATCGGGCATCTCTCTGGGGGGATGTCTAGCACAGAAGTTCCGAGTAATCGGGTAAATCCAATTTATTTCTAGTAAATTTCAAGGTATTAATTTACTAAAAAAATGGGCCGAAATTGCTGCTGCCGCCCCGCTGATTCTCAAAAAAATGCGTTAGTATTTCGCGCAGCGGTTATATATAACGAGGTACGGGGAATGCAGCCTCTCGGCACTCTTTTGCGGGGTGAACACTTCCAAAACTTCTCTCCTCCCTGGTTCAGGCACATCGGGTCACCAACCGTGTGCATGAAGGACGTGTGCTCAAAGCGCAGAAAACATCAGAGCCATTTGCGTAGTTGCGCATACAGAGGCGACAACACCGTGCGCTTACGTCCCGGTGTCATGGTAACTGTTCGTCAAGAACGGCGTGGCAGGCCGAAGAACGGAACAGCAGCCCGTGCGCGTCGACGGGTCTCCAAAGCCAACGACAGGAGCTTCCAAACACGTCTGAAGCGCGCACACACCCCCCGGCCGCTTATTTCGAGAGGCGAGGCGATAGAATGCATAACAACGGCAGCCACGCAGCATTGGCCGGTTATAAGAGAGCGACGGTGTGCCGTAACACCAAGCAAGCGAGGTGCAGTGGAGTAGGGCGGGGCAAGGGCGCACTTGGGCTGCTGGCGGCATGCTGCAGGGTTGCGTGTACGGGTGGCCCGAGGTGGGTTAATATTCTATAATGAGCCATCCGCAGACTGTCACCGCAGACTGTCACCGCACAGCGGCGCAAACCACTGCGCGGTACCAAAATTGGCAAAGGGGCACGTCGCCGGCGATCTTCGGTTGCTAGGTGTTACGTGAGGCCATCGCTCCCTATAAGCAGCCAATCCAGTGCGGCCTCCGTTGCTATGCGTCCTATCGCCTAGCCTCTCGAAATATGCACCCCGTCGCCATCTGCTGACGCTTGCAGAAGGTGTTTCCTAGCCGGTTTCCCGTGGCAACGTTGCAAACTCTGAATACTCCAAATGCTCCAAGGTCAGCACATGTATCAGGGCACTATTGCTGACACTATAAAAACTGGCAATATTTATGTGAAAATGTACCTCCTCTGCTAAGTCATCTTCTTGTGATTAAAAAGTTCACTGCGGATCACCCAACATCTGTGATTTTCAATACCATAACAATATATCTCTAAAACAAAGCCACCTTTATCCTCTAATTTGAGGCTGTACGAAGCTTAAAATATTATTAACATTTTTGTTAAGCACCGTAACCATAAAACAAAAAAGGACAAAGGAAATCGCAGCCCTCGAAAACTAACTTACGTGTGGCCCAGGACATTGAAGTGTGCGTGCCCTTAATCACGGGAGATTCGTGCAGCTAATATGCCATTTTCTATCTCGGTGACTGCCCCCTTTCTTTGGTGGCTTTTACCCGCTTTGTAAGTAAGGCTGACATACCCCATTACCGCCCATGAGTATGAAAAGCAACTAAGGATACCTACTAACAAGCAGACGTACACTGCACAAAGTAGTTTTACAACACTTGGTCGCTAGAGAAAAAAAGTGACGCCTCCTGCATTTGAAACACAAACATTCCAATAAAATATTGGATAACTGATCTTAAATTTCGGTATCGATATCCGAATTCGTCACAAAGAGATGGAAATTTGTAATGCTCCACGAGCAGCCGCACCTTTTTTATCGCAGTTCTCAAAGGGAAGTTAGCAGACAGACAGACACTCCAGCACATATCGTGGCGGAAGGAAATTAAAGCGAGACACGGCCGAGAAGGCCGAGATAATTACACCTCCCAGATGGCAAGGCCTCAGTGTCGGACTTTTCGTGTCCCCTACCAAAGCCGCTGATAGTCACAGATCCGACACGAATGCCGCATCAGCGTCCGTCTGGGACTCATGTTCAGACAGCGAGAATGCCCATCTGCGCTTCACACCCGCCTCCGGTAGGAGACGTTAAAAGAAACCCGGCACAGCGGCCTTCTCGTCTAGGAGAGCAGCGGCTGAGAGCGGGGAGAGGCACCCACTGGCGAGGTCGGCGGAGCCCAGTGCCGAGGAGCTGGCGCTGCTGCCGTTCATGGGGGGCAGGCTGCTGGGGCGCACCGCGTCCGACTTGCGCTCCGAGCCCGAGCCGGGGGTGGCCGCCTCCACGCTCTCCGCCGGGGTCGTGGCTGGGGGCTCCCCTCCGGGCTCCGCCTTCGACGCCTCCTCGGGAACGGCCCCGGCCTTGCCTGCGGACAAGGTCGGGAAAGGAGCTCGATTCTGGGAACACCGTCGCACGACGTCTCTTATGAACAGGACGAGCCCGTTGTCTATACCGAGGGAAAACGAGACGGGAGGTCCCGCGCAACGCACGTCGAGGCCAAGTTAGGGGGTTTCGTGCGCCGACTCAACGATGCGTATCTGGTATGCCACGGCGGAAATACGTGGGCCGAAGCTTTGCTTCGCTGCATCTGTTCCAAGTTCGAATTTATGTGTCCGATCGATGCCGGGAAAGTAACGACTCATTATTTTTAAGGGGAGTAAGACGCAGATTAAGTGAACACCTATACTCCAGTTCACCTCACAATAGACTGCAGCGGATGTTATGAGCTACGCCGGCAAACCCGGCACTGCAAACCATCACGTGACTATGCGTCACCGCGCATCTCTGGAAGGTTACGTCGCACTTGCGCGGCGTCAGTGCGCTTTCGACGGCCTTTACCAACTTCGGCAATCTGTCATGAGATGAAACAGAGCATGGCTCAGACTATACGCCAAGTGCGGACCATCTGAGGAAAAACACTGTTTTACAGACCGCGGCCCGCAACGGGTGCGGGCCGCGGTCCGGAAGACACGGCATTTGGCACTCACCGTCCTTGGCCCGCTCCGCGTCCAGCGCCTCCTCGCCGGGCTTCCCCTGCGGCTTGAGCCAGATCTTGCCGTCCTGCTCGTTTACAGACGCCGGCCGCACCACCGCCCGAGGCTTGGCTGCGGGGGGCGCCGCACTCTCCTGCAGGGGACGCCGGGGCCGGGACGTGCCTGCAAACGCAACCGTCCTGTGTCGTACGTCGCACTTGGAACCCGAAAAGACCTCTATTAACGCGGAATGTGTCGTAACGCGAGCAAACTCTGGATATGTGCAGCCGTCGTCGTTGCATCGCCTCACCGTCGTCGGCTATATTGAGCGAGCTAACTTCCTCCTTAATTTAGCCTCTTTAAAGGGGCTCTGAACACCTAGAAATATTTTGTTTTAAGTTCCCAAGATTGGACATGCGTGTCACTAAATAAATCCCCCCGTTCGAAAGAAACATTTTAGCGTAATACCGAATTTACTCGAATCTAGGCCGATAGTTTTTCCAAAAAAATTAAATCCGAAACTCGGGGGTCGGCCTAGATACGAGGATCCGGCTCCGCCATGACCGCAGGACGCCATCTTGTCTACATCGCTTCGGGAAGATACGCTGTGAACCATGGAACGCACGGAACGTTCGTCTCTACTTGACGCTATGGCGTCGACCAGTCGATGCCACTACTCCGCGGCTTTTAAGAGGAAAGTTGTCTTGGCTGCTGAACACTCGTCCAACCTGCAAGCCCAGCGTGACTTTGGCGTGGACGAAAAAAATTGTGCGTCGCTGGAGAAAGCAGCGTGGTCAGCTCTTTGCATGTGCGGCAACAAGAATGGCGTTCTCAGGACCGCGGAAGGGAAGGCACCACGAGCTGGAAAGTCGTTCCGAAAGTGTTGCATCTCGAATGCCCTGGACGGTACGGATGACCACGCGTTGTGGGAAGTGGACAGTGACAAAGAGGACGACGAATGATCAGGAAAAATGCGGACATTAACCGTGAGCATACCGTCGGATTCGTGACCGAAATAGTGCTGTACATTGCAGATAAATTCCGTTCTGTGTTTAATTTATGGTGTTTTTCCTATACTTTTTGGTCGGCCTAGAATCGAGAATTTTTTTTTTATTTTTTGGCCCTGCCGTTTTTGCGGGGTCGGCCTAGAATCGATGCCGGCTTAGATTCGAGTAAATACGGTATTTACGTCGCGAGACTTGCTTCAACAATTCTGAAACATGCTTCTGCTTCGGGGTCAACCTCTCGAAATAGAAGCATATTTCAAAATCGCTCCCAACTCAAAATGTACCCATCTCACAAAACAATTATGGTGAAAAAATAATTTCGCGGGGAAAGTCTGTTTTTGAGATGTGTTTCCAATCCGAGGGACCATAGTGCAGGTTTACGGAGCGGATTTTTACAGTCCATTTTTGGTTTTGATTACCAGAAACGCAAATTTCAATGAAATTTAAATCTTCAGTAACTTGAGGTCTAAATCCTAATCAAGCGTAGCAGTGGCTGTAAACTTCCATATCATCTACTTCTTACTCCAAAAGAAGATATCCTGACTCATTGTACTCAAAGGATAAGGACGCGACAGTCTTGAATGTGTTCCAATGTCAAACCTCTCACGGTCTGGGATTGAGTTCTGTCTGACAAAGCTTTTAAGTTCAAGCACTTTTGTAGTACCGCTATTTTGTTGACAGCGTGTTAAGCAACTGCGTCTTAGAAAGGAGGCCGCTCAGACAGACTGCCAGATGTTTGCTATGTTAGTGGAAGGAAAGAAGCCAACCGTTGCGGATGAAGCACTGACCTGACCGGAACGTCAGGGTGAGTGGGAACCCTGCGTGAAGAAGCCAGGTGAACTGATGACGGGGGTTTATGATCGGTCGATATGGATCGGGCAGATGAGGTGATGAACGTGAGTGGGGCCACGAACGTAGGGGTGGTGGGGGGGACAGGAGAAATGAGATGAGGGTCAGGGGTTAATGCGGTTAATCAGGTTAATGGGTGAGGAAAAATGAGGTGGTTGAGGGTCAGGGTATCAATGAGAGAGCCAGCATCCTTTGGTTTAGGTAAAACTTTTTTCGACGGGGCCCAACACTCGAAAATTGTGAAAGTGGTATGTGATGACAGATTAAGCTGCTCTTAGCTTCTTTGCACTGGTTTGTGTATGGGAGACACGTTTTTCTCAATGCGAAAATAAACTGTGCATCGCCAAACGCTCAGTCTCCGCCAAAGTGTAGCGCTAGCAGTTGGGACCAGATGCCGAATTTTCCTAACATACCATTATCTGATTTTTTAAAATTTGATTTATTTATTTACACATATACTGCCAGCTGATTTGGTTGCCAGAGCAGGAGGGGGCATACACAACTAAAATATATGCAACAAGAAAAAAAAAACACACATATAAAAATAAGTGACAATAATTAAACTGTCAAAAATGAACTTGAATAAATTCTTGAATGGACGAGACCGTCTTAATAATACACGTGACAAAAAAAAAAAAAGCTCGAGGTACACCTAAGCATTTCTTATGAGTTGTGAATGCGAAAGCATATAAGCCGCTCGTCCGCTCCCTCTGTCGTCTGCTCGTCGCTCCCTTTGTCATCTGCTGCGTACTAGCGCACACACGCTTCGGGATCTCGGAGGCCATGGCGCAGCAGCCAATGGCAGCCCTGTCAATGTGCGCCAGCCAATGGAACCGAAGGCGCGCAGAAACTAGGAGCCGTTTTCGCACTTCAAACTGATGATGTCAGCTCGCTCCATGAGACAGTTAATGCCTTCGCAATAAAATGTTTATACCAAAGACGGGGTGGCTCATGAACAGAGGCATATAAAAGTTTTAGTCGATTAGTACAGCAACAACTCGATAGAAGGTCCATTTTAGATTGTTGATACAATTTGGTTATGGAATTAACTCAATCTTCTCTACTCGTTATAGTCAAAGTGCAAAGCCTTGTTGCGCACTCCATCATTCAATATTCGCCTTTGTTGCGGGTTCCCACACAACGTCCACACACTCTAAAACCGGGTGAACTAATGTACTATAAATTACAAGCTCGGTTGAGGATTTACAGTGCTTCAGCTGCCCTTTCAGTGACCAGAGCTTTGCCGATGCTTTTTTAACAATCGAGGATCTGTTCCAGCTGAGATTACAAGTGATTACGACACCTAAGTACTTGAACCCATGAACAGTTTGTAGTAGAATGTCATCTATACGGTGGTTAAATACCAATTTAAAAGTTAAAAGCGATGTAGGGAAATCCGCAAGGAGAAAAGGGCAGCCAACGCTGAATGCAAATACATAAAGACGAATGATGCTGGCCACTGAGAACAGGCTCCATTTCTCATTAAAAATGTGAAAATCGCTCGTAAATTTTTTTTCAGTCTGGTTACGGCAAGTTCTGAAAATTTGGCGCCTTTTCCGGCAGGGCTAAATAGAGGCGAAGCGTTCAGCGATGTATAGTTTGTTTTTGCAGGGAAAAAAACGGGGTTCTCTTTTCTCCCAAACACCCAGTGCAATCATTAGACAGTGGAAACTGTCCAACATGCTGATGATCCCTACACCCTATAAGACACGATGGTAGCGCAGAAACAAAATGCAACTGCGGAGCAGTCTTGCAGTTTTCGCTTCAACACGAGTCCCCTGGATTGGCAGCCGATTCTTTCAGGTATATGGATAGCAGAAATCATCTAGACCTAAGGATGTTGGCTGGGGTGGCAGAAAGGAAAGACAAGCCAAGCTCTTGGCTTTCCAAGCTTGGAGCAGGCAGGCTACTCCAGCCACAAAAAACAGTTTTGCTTTCACCATAATGCAGCTTACACAGCTCCAAGTGAAAAATAATGAAAACTACAAAATTGGCAGGAAAAGCCGACAAATAGCGCAGGTCACGTCATGCTTTCCACGCCTCTCCCACAACTAATGGAAAGAATGCACATCCCAGTTCTCCTCAATACTCCAGAGTGCTCTTGAAGAAAGTACAGATAAGCTGGCTTAAGTGAGATATGACACATCTTTGTAGAGGGCTCTAAAAAATTGCTTAAAAACAATACCCTAAGTTTGTAGCATAAACAAAAAGATGGTCCTTCTGGTGGGGATCACCAAGCTGCAAAAGAAGATGATCATCTTCCATCTTGGTCTAGCGAAACCCAAATCTTCAAATAAAAATAAAAAAAAAAAAAATCTTAATGGCTTAACATTTTTTGAGCTCGACCGTCAAATTTCGATCAAAGAATCGGGAGAAAATTTGTGAACGCTCGCACCATCATTCGGAGCCAGGAGGGTACTCCAGCATGTTGTGAAACGACACGTTCCAGGAGAATGTAGCTGAGAGTAAAGTATAAGTATACGTATATACAGAACAACCATAGGCATTATGTTAAAGAATGAAGTAGCAAGTACAACACACAATCGCTGGAATGGGCCGAGGGTTCCAGACTGCGACAGTAAGGGGAAAGCGGCTCACCCGTCTTCTTTTCGTCCTTCTTGTCGTCTTTCTTGTCGCTCTCGGTCAGCGGGGTGCGCTTCTGGGGTGGGGATGAGGCCGCTCTGGCACGGGGCGCCACCGAAGCCTTGGCCACGGTTGCCTCTCCTCCTTCTTCTCGCTTTCCTGCAGCACACACCGATCGCCGAGGGTGAGGGAGAGCGGCCACATTCGGATATCCTCCACAAAGCCCGAGAATGAATGCAAGTGTCTGGAGACTAAACGAAGTTTGCATCTTTTTTATCTTTGTCCCATACCTATACCCGTTGCATTAAAACGGCTTTCTTTATAAAGGAGTCTGCGGGACCAGCGAAATTTTTTGTAATACAGGTAACTTCGTCGTAGTAGTTGGGTGCGAAAAATCGATCACGCGTAACCGAACTCATGCTGTATCATATTGGTGTACGATATTCCAGGTGTCTTAGGAAAAAGTATGGCGCCAAATATAGTATGAGCGACATGAGAAACCAGGTTTTGTGCATTGACAATTGACCTATCAAGAGGAAGAATGGCGGCCGAGTCAGCTAAAGCGTAGCAGCCCGAAGCACGTGGGGCAAAAGCCCGTGCCGTAGAATCCGGGCACGTTATGCTCAATTATCACTTCTTAAAATTTTTAATAAATGAAAATTGTATCGGCACGCATTCGCGTACTCACCACTGCGTGAAGCGCTTTAGAGACACCAGGCTAGCGGTCGTATTGCCAGTACCGCCACTGGCAAGACTTGCCATCTACAGCCGAGACACCAGGCGCTCCTTGCTGAAGACTAGTTTCCCGCCGTCCAAACTTCCACGGAACAAACTTAACCAACTTACCAAATACGAATCGCAATAATCACTAAACCGCCGACGTCGACCCCCGATCATGCAGCGAATGAGAGGCGTTCGCCGACTGCGTAAATTTGTCCTTTTCCAAATTTGGCAGCCCTCTACGTGGGCGGTGCAGCCGCCGTCAGTCGAACAAGTGCGAAGAGAGCAAAAAGTTAACACTGCCCACGTAGAGGGCTGCCAAATTTGGAAAAGGACAAATTTCCAAATTTGGAAAAGGACCTTCCCTCGCTTTCTCTCTCTTTCTATATATATATATACATACTGTTGTTCGTGCGGGTCCTTTCATATGCACCGACGGGCATGCAAAATAAAAAACAAGTGTGCGCACTGCCCGAACAGAGTTTTGGAGAAAAAAAAGAAACTCATCTTGGAGCAGGGTGTACATAACCAAAGGCATGAGCAAAGCACCAAAAAACAAGAACAGGAGGAATTGGACATGACGATGCGCTACCGTCAACTGAATTTTTATTCGGAAAAGACAAACATATATATACCGTTGCAATGTCACGCGTTGGCGCACGCGGGCACGGAACTGTTGATAGCCGCCGCAACCAAAAACAATATTTTCGGCATCATACTTTTTTTTATTGTTCTTGGCAGCAGCCGATAAAGGTCGGTCGCGCCGCCGCCGGTTTTGTACATCGGATTTCGTCTCTCGGCGAGCCTGCCTGGGATTAAGAAGTCTGTCTGCTCTGCTTCCGGAGTCGTCTTCTCGCATTGGCCTGGAGCCCTGCTCGGCCGAACGCAACAATATGCTCCCAAGTGAACCATTTGCTTACAATCAAACTTCTCGAGAGATGAATGAAGTTTGATTGCGAGTGAATGGTTCGTTTGGGAATGTATATATATGTCTGTCTTTCCCGAATAAAAAATAAGTTGACAGTAGCAAATCAATTTGCCCAATTCTTTGCGTTGTCCTTGTCTTTTGGTGCTTTTCGAAGCCAAGACTTTATTTTACTTTGTTAAACAAACGTTTTCGTAGTAGAGCTGTTTGTTATAAAGGCGTTTGACTGTATACTAATGGTTTTTTTTTTTCTTTAACTTTATCTATTTAACAGCCGTTTTTTTAACGGGTTTAACGGGACTAAATGGCAACATGGATATTGTTAAAAATGCACCAATGTTCATTCTCTCCAGATAGTACCACCAAAATGCTTCACAGACATTCTCTTCACAGACATTCATTCTCTCCAGAGCTACTACAGTGTAGACCGCATATAACGTATGTCGCGGGAGTCACGAAAATCCGCACTATAAGCGGTACCGCGCTATAACCAAAACATAAATTTTTCAGGCCAAAATACATGCCATCAGACAACTTACCTTTGTAAAAGAATTTATTTTATGTTAGATGAAAAATACAGCTTAGTTTGAGGAAAGTCTTTATTTCACCAGACTAGTACACTTTTCTCTCAAGTGTGTCACACATTTTGAAAGAAATGAGCGACTTTTGCCTGGCGGAGCCTTTTAACGGCGTCGCGGGTTGCGGACGGACGTTGTGAGCGTTCAGGATTGCTAACCCGAATCACTTTTCTCCGGCGATGAAAACGCGTGAAAATTCGCATCCTTTATACGGTACGCGCCAGTAATACCTTCAACTTGAGCACAGGCATGAAATGCTCCAAATAAGAAATCCGGGCGATGTTCGAAAACACAAATGCTTAGGAAGCACCACTGTAGTTGAAGTAAACAAGCACGACGACACGGGCGTTTCTGCCGTCTTGAGAGTGCCGCCACAACATCGCCGCACAAGGAGGAGGATCTTCCCTTCTAGTACGTGCTGGGTGATCATAGCGACACACAACGAAAATTCACAGTCAAGGATAGCGCTTTGACGCGGAACGATGAGCTCCACCACGCCGTCTACCGCGTCGACGATCACAGCCGACGCCATGTTTGCGGATAGAAGCAGCCGGCCCGCGACCGGAGGAGGAGAAGCGTTGTAATAGAGGTTGGGGGGGAAAGGAGAGAGCCAATAGTGTGGCATGCAACGCGCGCGAACACTTCTCCTCGGCCTGCGAATGGTCTGTCGTTGCGGTTGTTTCCAACCGTCGCGGAGGGACGCACGCACGTGAACGAAACGTGCGTGCGTCCCTCCGTTGCTATGGTAACTGAAGCCTCTCTCTTCGTTTCTTCCCGCTTCTTCGAACATCCTCCTTGCCCTGCGGGTGCCGCTTCCGGCTCGCGCCGTTATCTAGCGCCGCACGGGGAAGCGTGCTCGCTGCGTCGGTCAGTCGGCACGGCCGCCGGGCTGTTCGAAAAACCGCACTATAACCGGTACTTCCCTTCGTTCGCCTGCATTTTAAGCGGTATGTAAATACATGGAGTTCTATGGGAGGTGAACCGGTGGTTTAAAGAAGCCGCGTTATACCCGGTCCCGCACTATAAGCGGTTACGTTGTAAGTGGTCTATACTGTATATCTTTTAGAAACCGATATGCGCAGGCCGAGATTTGCGGGTCCAAAAAAGCTAGAGGTTTTGTATGATAACTTAGTACTCTTAGCTGGGCATGGTATGCCAATGAACAAAAATGTATTCTCTGAGCAGGCAATCCACCATTCTAAAAATTAAGGGGAAGACATAAGCCTAAGTTTCAAAATGTTTTGAAAAAATTCATTTTTCAATTTTGAGGTTTTTGGTTTTAGAAACAAATTATATACACCCTTACACTAAATTTCATAACCATGCACTAAATAGTTACGTTGATATAAAATATTTTCAGCACATTGTGAGGCAGTAACAAAGTAATGGAGTTCAATGTTTGAATGCGTTTTCTCAGTTCCACTTTTCGCTGCAAATTTCATACGAAGGAATCTTTTGTTCGAAGGTAAAATTTTTCTTATACCACAATCAAGATGTTTCTCGACTGAAATTTACTGGGGAATCGGGCTATCTACTTTATTTTTTTAAGTTGAAGTCCTCATTGAGAAAAAGCTATGTTTTCAAAAATTGACATAGGACAGATATGCATCTCATATTTTGAGGTAATCACTCTTCCTGAAATATTTACATTTGAGTTATAAAAACTAGATAGCCCGAAGTCCCACGTCCCCCACTTTATATTCAAGCAGTTAAAATGATGCTTAATAGCTTCCTTTGCATATCATCAATTTCTTAACGAAGAGTGACACATCTTCTTATGCAGGTATGTAAAGTTGTCCTAGAGAGCTGAAAGTTTGCACAGTAAGCCAACATCTGAAGTTAAATCTCCCCTGCCAATTTCGTTCCTATCACTTGAGCAGTTCAAAAGTTCAACCTCTAGCCGGTGTCCCCCCTAAAGTGGTGCCACAGGGTAGAATACAGGGTTCGAGGATTCTCGGGACGAAACGACGCACGCATTAGGACGGAGAGGGAAGGAAAGTGTTAGAATGCACTTGGGGGCAAGAAGATAAGCCACCTTAGGCACAAAGGGGACTTCTTAGACAGCCAAATCTAAGTGACTGCAGCTCAACGGACCCGGCAGGATGTAGCTTCCTTGGTCCAGGGAGTGCGCTTCAGAGAGTGCACTCGCTCGAGCACGTGCTCACACATTTTCACATCGGAACCTCCTGAACCGGCGATTTCCGAAAATGGTGCGTTAAATGCTACGTTTTGAGACGTTGTGGCCCCCTCAGAGATCCCTTTCCCCTCACCTGAGACCTTGGGCGAGGGCATCCTTTGCCGACCAGCCTTTGCCGAGGTGGGAGGAGAGCCCCTCGCCGCCGGGGAAGGCTTGCGCTGACTTCCTGGCGCTGCACACACGGCCACCTTTCAGTATGCTTTCTTTCACGAGGTGGCCACGGTAAAATACGCCGTACAATGCAGCCCCCATGAGATGCACTCAGAAACAGTTTGGGTTTCAAACGAGCATACCGAAAATTGAGTGGTCATCATCATCATCGGGTGGTACTTGGGTGCTACATTACCTGACAAGTAGAGACACTTTCGTAACGGGCTACTGTGAAGCGGGAGAACAGTTAGTGATCGTCGACAAAGAAGGCGGAGAAAGCTCTTTTTGTGCGCAATGGTACAAGTGGCGGCAGCAGTAAATACTTTTTCGGGATGCAACAGCTATACCGGTTGTAGGGAGACACCCTCCGTAAAAGTATTCCTCCCTTAATGCGGGCCATTTTCCCGACGTCATTTCTGTGTCACGAGGCATCTCACAGTGACATAGTTGCGAGGAATGTTCATTGTGTTTCCCACCTCGTGTCAGGATGATATGTGGCAAATGAGGCACAAGCGCTGCCATCAAAAACGGCGCATGAATATCCCGCCTCGCCACTATCTGGGTGATGGTCGACGCACTATAAGGAGCCCTAATCGAACAGCACGCAATATCCACACCGGGTATGGGGTTAGATTGTAGAGTAATTGCTATGAACTGCCACAAACATACGCCACTGAGATAGCGTGCTCACCTTCAGACTTCATGGGTGATACGACTTTAGTGGGACTTTTCTTCTCGGATGCGTCGGTGACGGTGCGGCCGGTCCTGTGGAATAAGTGTAGTTGGAGATATCAAGTTGCGCTTGTTTCCCAGTCTCGCTCGAAGTGATGAAGAAGAAACAACCTAACTCCATTCTTTTTTCGAACCTTATTGTGGCTAGAGCCATCCCACCTCATAACTTGCGTATAATATTCGGGAAGGAACAAGTTAGCGTTGCTCCACAAAGTGTTTAACCATGCAGACAACAAAAGAAATCGCCTCACTTGCGTTCATACCTTTCGCAGTGCCACTAACAGAAATTCCAACATTTTGGGATTTAGACTGAAGCGAACTTACCTATTGGTATATATTTGGACAATAATGTTGACATAATTCATACCCGCCAAAATGATGAATGGTGCGTACTAAAAAAACTGGGAATTATCGAGCTCCAGGTATGCAAATTAACTCTGCTGTTAGGGCAACAAAGAAGTTTGAAAGGTCTGCAATTATTAGAGACCAAAGTTTGAATCAGGCACATGCCAAAGTTAGCACCCCCTATCATCTATACACAAGTGTATCGAAACCGCTACGACCAAAACTGCAGCATATAAAAAAATGTGCCACTTGCAGGGCCGTAGTATGCCGACCGATAATGCACTTCTGAACAGCAGGTACCATACTTGCATGAACATAACGCGAGTTACACGCTCCAAAAGGCATTTCGCGTAATGTTCGGAATCGAGTTCAGCCATTAGGCGCTCAATCTGGAGAAAGCCATCCTTTCAACTCAATGCAGGAGATCAGGTGGGAAAAGAAGTGTGGGTGTGGGAGGGAATTTATTTGCTATAGGGCTGCGTGAAGGGGGAAATAGATAACATAAAAAGCATTTTTATCGTTTTTGTGTTTGTACAACGCACTCTAAAAAGCACGCCGCAGAAATGCAGCGCGCCACGAGGGAACGCTAGCACTGGCCACTGCCAGGTCAAATCAACACAAGTTAAGCCAAGACCACCGACTGTGTTAACGCAATCGTGCACCCCGAGGTGTTTGTGAATCGTGTATCGGGTCCAGCAGTCTTTTTTCTGCCCGCGTATTTTTTAGCTTCTGCTCCAAAGTAGTCTGGTGTTTGTGTGTTGGTGCTTCTGCTTCGTGCCTTGCTTCGCGCTTGTGGGCTACCGGAGAGCTCACGCCGAAGAAAAAGGAACTACCAGACAAGTAACGCGCTGTGCTGCTGCATCTCTGCGAAGTCGCCAAGTGGATTACCTGAGCAGTGCGGATGAGTGCAGTCAAAACATAAACTGATATTTCTTCGATTTCCATTGCCTTTTCACTTCTGCTATGCCTCCGAGTATGGTAAATTTACGCGGCATTGGCTAGCGTTAGAACAGTAATATTTTTTTCCCTCTTTCAGGGCATCAAAACCTGCCCTCGCGTTATATTCGTGCAAATACGGTATATGAACGGACTTTAGCAGCTCTAAAGTGACACTAATGCGTCTGAAAGGGTGAAATGAAGAGAGAGGAAAGACAGGCAGTGCAAAATGACACGAACAAAGTCTCAAACATAGCAGAGCCAGAAAACTGTCTTCAGCCTCAAGCTTTACGAGCGAGCTAGAGCTTATCTAAATCCTCAACGTCTGATCAACCGGCACGCCCTCCAGGTGGTGGATAAAGCCATGGATTTCTATGGCCCACAATAGCAGTACGCTCAAATAAGACACGACCCCAAGAATTGTTCTCTTCTCGTCGAATGATGGAGCCTCACTCTGCATCTGCCTTGTCTCTCTTCTTGGCCGACGAGGAGCGGTAGATGGAGCTGGGAGCCGGGCGCTCACGGGGCGGAGTCTTTGCAGAGGTCAGCCTGAGAGATGAGGCCCGGATCAAGGTCAGTCAGCTAATCACAGAAGCCGCTTTTTCTTGGGAGGACAACAACTTGTTCCAGATACGTCCCTTCTGTTGCCCGTATGCTACACGAATGCGATGACTTACGTAGATATTTTTGCTGCCAAGGGTGGTTCGGTCGTCACGAGATGGTTTTAAGTGAGTGGCATGTGGGCCGCGACACCGGACGGAAGAAAGTAAAAATAATCGCCTACAATGGAAAACGGTATTAAAATCAACTAGGGTTAGAAGGTATGCCAGAGGAGAACCCAACCCTGAAGCCAGTGAGTACAACCGAATATTGTTGTTTTTTTTTCGTCTCCGAGGTTTAGAGTTTCTTGAAAAGACCTACTTTATCCGAATCGAAAGCTAATCGCAATATTCCTAGAACAGGACTGCCGCATCGTCGGCGACGTCGAGCACCGTGGGTCTGTTCGGGAGCGCGAGTGTGACACCTCCGACACCAATGAGCGTAGGCCAAGAAGGGTAGCGCTTTAGTTGGAGCCCAAAGCTAGTACAGTTCAGTGTACCTAGTCGTACAACACATACGCATGACATCATCGCTGCAGGAGACGTCGACACCTCAAATTTAAATTAATTTAAGAGAAATTCCCAAGGTAAAGTTGACTTATGACTGACCTCTAACTCTCTGTCGTGTATCCTAATTAAAGGGGTACTCTAGCGATTTATTGATTGTCGTTGATTTGCCTAAAAATTTGCTCGAAACACCGATAGACTCGGCTGTACCACTTTCCCGAGTATTGTGTAAAAAATAAAAATGTTTGCGAAGTTATTGAGTTTTTGAATTTCATTCTTATCGTGTTTCTCAGAACGAGGGCCCCTACTGGCAACACTGAAGTGTGACGACAGAAATGGTACAAAGTGGGCAGTAAACAACGTTCCAAACTGATTACATGACGTTTGATGGTGGGAAAAGAATGCTCGGTAGTTCATTCGCCAACAAGCATGAAAAAACGTTCGACATACTCCGTTTAAGACTACCTGCGCAACCTGAAAGTCTGTACCATTTGCGACGTCACACCACCCTTGTGGAAATTTCAAAGTTGGTTTTGGCATCATCTTCATTTACGGTTTTCTCAATAGCAATTTTGAATTTTGAGACAATAGATAGTATACCGTGAAGACTGAGGCCCGTTTATTCAGAAAATGCAATTCGGTTTTGTAGCTCAAAAAAATGGCCGGAGTGCCCCTTTAAACCATCAACTGTTTAGTATAAGCACATAAAAAAAAAACGACTCAACAAACAAATTGCTTAAGACTACAGAATTCAGACTGACCTGCAAGTGGGTCTCACTGCACTACAGTCGAGACAAGCAAAACAGCCGGTGTAGGAAACGTGCCGAACTTTCTGCTGCCCCCCTCTAGTGACACCTCATTTGACTCTCTTACGAGGGCTTACACTGGGCTATGACTGTCAGTCACCAAGACATCCGTGCTTTGCACAAAGCGTGACACCCAATTCAAGGAGTAGTTTAGCACGTGACATACGAAGGACGGATGTCTCGGCGATTGGTGCTCGTATCACGGTGTAATGCAAGAAAACATAATCAAATGCTACTGTGTCAATAGGCCTTATCTCAACATATCTCCGTCTTTTGTTTAGCCGAGTTACGCATAAGCTCTGCTTTGATCCACCTGTATTTCGTGATTTTGGGCATATCGTGATTGCATTTTTGTTTGCCATTTCTTTTATCTCATTTAATATTACCAGCATTTTTGCGCGCATGACCGGATGACGAGCTGTGAATTACGATGTATGCATTTTTGTGCTTCTTCCTGCTTTCATTTTTTTCTAGTTTTCTATTCTGATATACTGTTATTGCAATTTTATGCACATTCGTTGACGATGAGGCGCGAATTATAATCCACTTATCTTGCGCTCCTTCCTGCTAGAATACCTACCCGCAATTGGCAGTATTTCCGAATAAAAATAGGTGAATACCATAGTTTTCGGTTTAGAAGTTGCACCATTGTAGAAGTCACATCCCCCTATAAACGGGTGCTTTCACAAAAAAAAGTTGGTATATAAGTTGCACCTTTATATAAGTTGGTTATATATTTGTGTGGATGGCACGCCAAAATGGCATTTGATAAGCTTGCATATGAGTATTGTAATAGCGATATATGCACAATCAAGGGCCAAGTTCAACTCTTAATGAAGCTAATAGGATGAGAAATGTGACTCCTGCAGAAAATTTGCACGGGTAAGGTCCATACTTCAAGAAAAAAAGGCACTAAGCCACACTGTTTGATAAACCGCACTGATGGGAATAAAAAAAAAAAAGGTAAATTATATATAGGAAAATAGGGAGCATTCACTGGCTGTCCATAGATGTGTGCGCGACTGCTGAGTGCATGCTGACACCAGGCCTCTGCAGTTCTTTTGCAACGTGAATTCTGCACCATCAAGATTGAAGGACTTGGCAGTCTATTAATGTGAGCTCGTTCTGAGCACGCGCTGTAAACATTGCCCTCAAATATAGAATACCCCCATAGGGTAAATAAAAATACATCAAATGCCACTGCGTGAATGGGCCTTCGACACCTCTTGCGCTGTACGGCGGGGGTGCCCGAGCGCATACCTGGGCGTCTGTGCCAGGGCGAGTGCGGCCAGGCTGGCACTGGAGTCCAGGTGGCTCCAGAGCTCACCGGGGGTGCGCTGCTGCGGGGCCCCACCTTCCGCCGCCGCCTGCAGGGCCCCCGCTCGGGAGCGGCTGCGGTACTCGTCCGCCTTCTGCAGGCGCTCCACCACCTCCGTGTACCACGAGTTGGGGTCCACTACCGGGGCAGGGGCCTCGGGCGCCTAAAAGGTCGGAGGGGGGAGCTCAGTCTGGGGAAGTCGCATGAGGGACAAGAACACCCTCAGCGCTGCATCGGCGCTGCATTCAGTGCTGACTCGGCACAGCATCATCACTACATTCAGCACTGCATCATCACCAGTACAATCAGCACTACATTAGTGCTACATTTAGCACTCTCTCATACTACGTTCAGCACTGCATCAGCACTACACTCAGTGCCGACAACACCAAGTTAGTGCTGCATCAGTGCAACATTTAGTGCTGGCTCAGCACTGCATCAGCACTACATTCAGCACCGACTCAACATAGCATCAGCACTGACTCAGCATAGCATCAGCACTACATTCAGCACTAACTCAGCATAGCATCGTTAGGTTCAGCATTGCATCAGTGCCACATTCAGCACTGCATTATCACTACATTCAGCACTCACTCAGCACTGCATTAGTGCTACCTTTAATGCTCACTCGTCACTACATTTAGCACTGCATCAATTCTACATGCAACACTCACTGCTGAGTGAGTGCTGAATTAGCACTGCATTGTGTGTGTAAGGAAAAAAAAAGGCAGGGTATCGTTCATCAGTGCTAATACAGTGCCGATATTGCACATGTAGTCAGCACGTTGCCCATAGCACTGAGTTAGTGCTGCAGTGTATGTGTGAATAGGCCTTCACCCTCAGAGAAGGAGCATTTCTCAAAGCTTGTATGCATTTTTAGTAGGGAAAAAGGCCTCGCATTTCTGTAATTTTGGGTTTTGTGGGTGGGTGTTCACGGCATGCAGAATAAGTTTGCGTCACAAGAAGACACTAGAAACCATATTTGCACTCCTGTAAGTCGGTGACCCAAATGAGCACCTTCCATCACACTAGTTCTGATGGCAGCATTTCAATTCTTAGAGAAAACAGAAAGCAAAGTACTAATACATGGGTGGCACTTTGCCTCGGAGCCACTTAGGTTGCGTGTGCTATTATGTGGCACAAAAACCCGTTTTGACGTAGAACTGTCTTTGCTGTCATCCCGTAGGGGCGACAATCTGTAGGTGTGACTGCAGCGATTTCTCGTAAAGCAGGTGAGGGCTCCCTGCTTCAAAAGTATTCGTCGGACAAAAATGGGCACATACCGGTGGACAGAAAAACAAAAGACACTACAAAACGGCATACAACCGAAGTTCCTCAGTTACACAGAGAGTGAATTACGTCACCCGCGAAAGACGTGGAAAATCCCCACTCCGCACCGCCTTCAGTCTGTCGCCGGGGTGATAACTTCTGAACCAGTCATGCAAGAACTTTTGCCAACGTCTCGGTAAAGTGCTAACAAGGTTCTTTAATGTGTGTAAGCCCAAAAGAAAAAAAATATTTATATCATCTCACAAAATGTTTGACATAAAAATGTAATGAGCAACATATTAAAAATGCAAGAGCTAACTACCACAGAATGGACCAAGAACTTTTGCAAGCTGCAAAAGGAGAAAGCTGAGATATCTGAACAACAAAAAGCCGTGCATGGACCAGGACAGTGATCCTAGGATCAAGGGATCAAAAGAAGGAAAGAAGGAGAGAGTAAAATTTTTAACGCATAGTTCTATGTGAAAATTTGTGCTCATGTCTCAGACAGAAGACCCATGACTGAAGATAACGTAGTAAGGCAGGCAAGCTGGTTAAAGCTAAACATTTCTAAAACCCAAGACAGAGGCTACAAAGAGAGGACAAACACAAGACGTCTCACGACGTCTTGTGTTTGTCCCTTCTTTGTAGCCTCTGTCTTGGGTTTTCGAAATGTTTAATAAGACCCAAGATTTTGTTGTAAAAATATTTCAACCAAGTTGGGTTTGTGTATTACAATGTAATACACGTATCGCAACGTGTATTACAAAAACACTAGTAACAAAAAAATCATTGAAATTTCTAGGAACTAAACCATCATTAAATCATTAACATTCCAGCGATTAGACAAACGAAAGAATGCAATAAACATTACTTACAGAGGCTTTGGGTTTTTTCCAGATGCCATCCACATACATGTATGCAGAGAAGGGTTTAAACTTTGCCTTGTATTCTGTCCTCTTGCTCATCTTCCTAAAAGTCAGAACAAAATTATGCATTTAAAGATACAAAAGAAAATATTGATGACCCTCCATAACAGCGGTGACATGTCAGAGACCCGTAACCCCTCCGTGCATATCTAATTGTGGCCATCAAAGATCATTTTTTGCATTTTCCATTTCAGAGGGCCTAACATCGAGTTTCTCAATTTCGCAGATGTTTTAAAAGAATCTTTGACCCTTTCAGTACCATCCTCATTCCGTGAGTTATTACACAAATCATAAACACAATGTAACACAAAGAATACTGCCATAGATGTGTTTACACAGAATAAACAAGTTTACTTCCAGGTTTCGAAGTAATTGAAATGAAGCGCATGTCCAGGCATAAACAAAGCTCACCCATGGTACTCAGAGGACATTATTGCTATGATCAAAAAATATCACTTGTACTTTAATTTCAAGTTCTCTTTTACTTGAGGTAAGTGTTCTGTGTCAGAAATGTTGGGCTTTTGATCTTTCACTGAATGCAGCCCAGCCAGGCCTTGACCTGGCTGCTGGAGCTACTAAAAGTACTATCATTGATATTTGCCTTTTATCTGCTTCATGATAACAACCATTGTAATAATATTTTTTTATTGCTTGATCTTGAGCCTTCATTGATCGTCTGCTTCAAGAGCTGTGAAACGTTTTAAATCCTCCACCCCCTCCTAACAGTCTTACACAGAAGCAGCTTAAAAGTTTTATACACTAGGGAGAAAAGGGACAATGTCCAGCTCAGCTGTGAACCAATGGGAAGCTCAGCTGAGTTGAAATAGTGTTCAAGCTGGAAAAACACTTTACTAAAAGCAGGCTTGCTGGCCCACAAAAGCAGCAAGCATACTGCCTAACATAGAAACATGGATTTGTCTAAAACATACAAGCACTGGACACAAACTCGGAAACATTTCTGCTCACTTGATGTCGTGCGTTGCGTCATCCCTGGGAAGCAGCTTTTCTGTGGGCTCTGTACGGTGGTAGCCATCTGAGAAAAGAACAACGACATGAAGACAAAAAAAAAAACACTTCTAGCACCATTGAAAACCCCTCAAGAAATGGTGCCTGGTACAGTCAGAGGGATGATCGAAGTGCATGGCAAGTTTTTTTCAACAAATGTTCCACTACGTGAGACCTTAGAAAAGCAAAAGTGAAAACAAAAAGATGTAAAATAAGAAGACACTCTGACTCTTTTCAATAGGCCTTTCATAGTCCCTTGTGTACAGACTCTGGCAACACTACCAAGCTACGCCCGTGGCAAAATTGCGAGAATAAGAACAAATCGTGTCCAACAGCTCCGTAAGGTAAACAGGTTTGCTTGGCAAAACACCAATTGAACGCGAGGCCCAGCCGAACACCGACGCATCACTCCCGTCGAGCCTGTGCCTCCGCGCTTAACCGAGGTAGATAATGTAATACTAATGTGCACAGGCCTCGCGTTGGGTCGCACAAAACAGCCCCTAAGGTTCGTTCTACCCGTGAGGCGCTCTCCGGCATCCAGAGGGACAGCAACCAACAGAGGCAGTCTCACCGATGAGGTCCCTGGAGCCCTGGGCCCCCCGGTGGTGGGAGGCCCCGGCACCCTCCTGCAGGGGCAGTGCCGGCTTGGGGGGCCATGCAAAGGCCGCCCGGTACTCGGTGGTCTTGGCGGCAGGGGCCTCCTCCACACCTCCCGCCGCCAGCTGGCTCTGGAGCACAAGCTGAGACATTAACCGGCGGGGTTATGCACAGAGCGCCGTGCCCCACAACCCCGTCCAGAAGACACAGGCAGGCTGCAGCCAGCAGACGGAGAAGCAGCGGCAGCAACTAGGGGACGGCCGAGGGGGGCGGGTGCCAAGTACCGCAGTTTGCGAAAGGAATCGGAGTCCAATTGTGTTCGGTTTTTAATCGGGATCACTGTTTATTCGCGATATCTGTCCAATCGTAATAGGTGCCTATTTGTTATGTTTCTAATCATAACCAGTGTCCAATCGTTATTTGTGTTTAATCCCGATCGGTATCCATTATGATAGGCATCTAATCATTATAGGTGTTCAATCGTGATTGGTGCGATGGCAAAAATGGGATCCCTTTGCACGCAACGGGGCACCGTTTCCTAACTGGTGGATGGCAGTGTCTGCTGCATGTACGGAAGCTTCCTATGTCTCACAAAACCTGACCTCATTTATATCTTATCTTGGAGTACACATAAGCTCAAAGTGCAAACTATTTTTAATGGAAGGAGACCCGAGAGGTATGACCTCCTTTCGCAAGCAGCATTTTGTAAAATACTAACATATTTCTCAATCTTCCCTCAGGCACTGAAAAAAAAAAAATTCATCTTCATCAACAATGGTCTCATCCAGAATGTAGTGTTGCTTTCAGGTGTACTCAAGTGCCTTTTGCAATGTTGTCCACTCTAGGTTTCTAAGATTTGTCCGCTGAATCTAACTAGCGCTCGGGAGTGAACCTTATAAAATAGTCTTGGCACCCTCCTTCGTCCCAGTTTGAAGCGCAACGCTGTGCAGCCGCGACACTGAATTGAGCCGCTTTGAAGCACAAATGCTGAAAAGGCGTACCCAAGAACCAGCCATTCAAACCCTCTGCATGCCACCCGAATTAAATGCCACAACCTCGGTAGATGAGCACGAAAAGATTTCGCACAAGCAGTCATAAGTACAGTGATCCAAACTGTTATGTGGGGCCAGAGGATGTCCAAAAGTGAGAGGCAGTGAATGCACAAAGGCGGCTACAATAAAATATGCTGCAAAGACAAAATCTGAAAAGCGGCACAAGGAATATGGAAGATATGCATACAATAAATAAAAAATGGCCAATATCGAACAAGCATCAACTATATAGCTGGGAAAGGTGCTTGTACAAATTGTGTCACTTATCTTTCCTACTGCCACAGTGACTGTGAGAGCTTGAGCATTGCAGTGCACTTTAAGGGACACTGACGCCCCCCAAAAGATTTTTTTTCATTCTTTGCCAGGCGATTTATTATGGTTGTCGGAATACTACCCAATTAATATTTTGCTACAGAGTCACATATTTTTTTAATAAAGCCAAAAAACGCAACTGCTCGAAACTGAAACCGAAACCCACGCACCGCACGGAGATGTGGAGAGGAGAGAGTGAGTGGCAGAAGTCGCGTAACTACACCCGACCGTGCAATTTTTAAAAAATTTTTTTTCTTCCGGGCGCAGCAGACGAAATGCGTTCGGGATCCGTTTGCCGTGCGATTCCTTTGCAGTTACGTTTGTTCCGCTCGCTGTTCTGTACTTCAAGATAAGTTGTTTTGTACATTTAAGAGTTGGCAATGAGTAGTGAGTGCCCGTGGGGAATTCCCTTGATCGGCTCCGAAAAGAATACTTTCAAGATGTTGCGTGAAGAGCTGCCTCACATCTGAAAGTGGCATTGTGCGGCAGAGGTGTCAAAAATGGAATCCCGTACCATTTAAGTCAGCAACGTATCGTCCACAACAATTTTTTTTTTTTCCGTGATAGTTGTAAAAGAAAGAAATGTAAACATCGCAAAATGTTTGAAAAAAAAAAATGGTACGCCCACACTAGGGATTGAACCCGTGCCCACTGCGTATGAAGCGAACGTCTTTCCATTGAGCTACTGAAGGAACTCTTTTGTTCGTAGTAATGCATCGGGTCGACTGTATGTCGGAAAGTTTGCTGCCGATTTCCCTCCAGTATATGCACTCCCGGCTTGAAGTCGGGCAGCACCACGCATTGGCCACATTCGCACCAAGTAAAGAAACCGTACGCGTGCGTATTCAACTCAGTGTATGCACTTCGTGCTTGACGTTTCAGCGAGCAATGTCTTTAGCCTCAAGAAGGGAAGACGGCTCGGCGATGTCTTCATGCAACCAATCGGCTTGCTGGTCGGGCATGTCGTACGGGATGAATATCAGTTCTTTTGATCGGTCCAAAATTTCTCTTTCGAAGAAAGACCGAATTTGCCAGTACCGTGAACAACAGTTGTGAAGTAGAGGCAGTGGCGTCACAAGGGGGGGCGGGGGGGGAGGGCACAGATTGCACCGGGTGCGGCGCTCAGGGGGGTGTCGCAACCGGCTATTGCCCCGGGTGCCGCTGACCTTCGTGACGCCACTGAGTAGAGGTCCCACGCCCGTCGTCTGCTGCCATGTTGAGAATTATGCAGTGAATGCACAGAATGCTTCCGGTTGTCTGTGCAACCTTCTTTTTTTCAATCAATGTATTTGCAGCTTTTTGGAAACCACAAAAATTGGGTTTCGATTTTTTTTTTTTTTCTATTTTATTGACTTTGTGCCTTCAATGACCCACGACTTTGATTAAATTTGGTGGTCGTGTCTAAACCTTAGAAAACGGCCCGTGACAACGGAAAAGAGAGTGAGCTCGACTCAAACCGGCCAGTTCTCGATCAGCGGTTTTCGGGCAGAAAGAAACCGAATTTCGAGCCGCAAATTGTGTTCTGGGTAGTTGGGCTCATATGCCACGTACAACTAAAAACCTCGGCGAGCATAAATACCCTTTCAGTGTCCCTTTAACGGCAACAACTATAAAAAAAAGGCAGCTGTGACACCGCGAAAAATACTTCCTGAAAGGCCATATATCACTAGCTTTGGATGCTACCATTACCAGCATCACTCTTTACTGCTGTTCTCAAGAGAAAGAGGAGCCCATAAGGCATTCTGTGCCTGCCTCTAATACTGTGGCAATGTTTTCAGCACCATCCACAAGTGATTGCTCGTGTACCCGCCGAGTGTCCGTTTCATACTTTCTGTATACATTTAAAAAAAATCTGTAACACCTCAACATGCCCATTTTTAAGCTACAAGTGCACTCTCATTACTGTTTTAGCTCAGTTACTCGGTATCTACCCAAACGTTGTGCCTCAGTCTCACGACGCATGTTCTGTGTTCTCCGCACGTTTTAAGGCAGTCGAGAGAATGTCGTTGCATTGATTCAGCGACAATGTAAGCTGCAGAGCTACAGAGGACAAAGACAAACTCCTTGACGGACTCCCGCTTTGCAAAGGGCCTCAGGAGGGTACCTTTAGCACCCCATTCAAGAGACGCCGACCTCGCCGCACGCAACAGTTTGGGTCACCGTGGAACCAACACCCGGCCGGCACCACCGAGCACAGCCGCGACAGAGCCACAACCGACGGTGGGTGAGGCCGTCTGCAAGCGCACGGCATGCCCCGCTGCCCCGCACACCCTACCTCTGGGTCGGCACCCTCGCCTGCCCCGCTCGGGGGGGCCTCTCTCTCCTCCTTGCTCTGAAAACGACCACACAAGCCCCTCCTTTCCAGGGCTACCCCCAACATCCAAATAAGCTATACGTTTATTCTCACACCCAGGTCCCTAGGAACCCAGGGTTTCCCCAGAGTACCTTCAAGGGTGCTCCGACCGTCCCTGTCCCTAAGTAGGGATTTTCCAGTTAAAGCAACAGCATCATTTTCTACCAGGTCTATAGATTTCCGCGCCGCTTTATTGCGCCAGTGCCAAGACTGAGAGCGGTTCTTCAGCCGCCAATCGAGAAAGACCGGTGTTTCTCAAGAAATAAAAGTTTGAGAACCGCCGGCTTAAAGCGCAGGGTTCTCAAACGTCTCGAGAAACCCCCCTCCGCCTCGATAGAACGGCAGCCGAGAAACCCGTCCTGCGGCACCGACGCAACGAAGCGGCGCAGAAGCCTACAGACCGCGTACACAATGACGCACACACTAGTTAGTGCTGGGCTTGTAGTTAGGTGTCAATGAGAGGCTCAGATCTGATAAGGTAGAGCTTAATTCGACAAGCCACTTTACTTAAGTACGGTTGTGTAAATTTGGGAGCACGGGGAGTCCACGAAGGTACCCTGGGAGCCCGGTTTGAGAATCCATGGCCCAAAATATCCACGCCCCCTTCCCCGACCGTCTCGTGGGTGCCGCCATCTTGTTGTTAAGTGCAGAGCGGGCGCAACTGGTGATATAGTTACAATTGGAAAAATTTGTCTTCCCGAGCACTGGATACGGTATCAAGGAGCTCGGGCAATGCTGTTTTACTCGGTCGCAGACTGTTTTAACACACCCGGACAACGGAAACACGTTTCCTGCGTCTCCGGAAAAAGCTTCCGTTAACCGATGATGATTTTAAGCAACGAGATGACCGAAGGGTCCTTACTCCGAAGCATGGCCCATTTAGCAGTTCTACCCCCGTAAGTCACGGCACACCGCAACTCTGTCCGAACCTCGGCAATAAGAGATTTTTCGAAGACGTGGACAAAAGGCCGTCGTCCTTGCCCGTTCGTCGTCAGTCGTTTGTTCTGGGGCAATGGGAAAGGGGGAAAACTAAATTCGTCGGTCGCAAGTCTGTGCCGGCCACTCGACGCTGCTTACAACAGGGGACGCTGGTCGTCGTTTTCGATCGAAGCCAGGATCACAAGAAAACCACAAACTGGTGCCGTTTATATGTCGTGGTGACAAGTAGCCGGCGTATGTCTGCTACTGATGGAGAGTGGTGAGCATGACTAAACTGTTTCCAGAAATCGCTTTAACTCTAGCGGGGCTAGGCGTGAAGGATCTCACCCTCCCCGTGAAAGTGAAACTACGATTGATTGACTCGGATATGTCTTTTTTTTACTACGCTTACCTGACATCAAAATAGAAGTTTCAGCCAAAATATCTGCCATAGCTCGGGTTCCATGTTTTCGGCGGAGAAAAAAGGAACCAGAACTAAGATTCGGGATGATTGCCAAAACGAAGAAAAAAAGAAATCCCCGGATAATTCCGAATCTTAAAGGGCAACTCCGCTTCATTTTTGGTTTTGAAAAAACAATGCAGTCCTCTTCAGTATCGCCTAGGAAGACCACACGTGAAATGTTACGACGCAGTTCTGTCTAAATGTTTCTTAAACGGTCCGGCAAACTTTGCAACTCACAAAGTTGCCGAAATCGGCTGACTTGAGCGGGCGAATTCAGGCGCAACCAACAGCGCAGTCAAGGCTACGGCATGGGCGGAGCCAACATTGAGCTAAACATCATTATCATGGCCCCCTTTTGCTTGTTTTCACTGCTTTGGGCGAGCATAGCGCATGACGTCAGCAACGTTGACTCTCGGCGCTCAGCGGTGTCCACGTGATTGGTGTAACGCGCCTGCGCAGCGCGTTTCTTGGGAGTCGTCCAGCCGCCCGCCGTGGTCCCGCCGTTACCGCCGTCTTCCGCGTCACAACCGCCGTCGTCGTCTCACCGATTGTGATTAATGTCTCTCGGAGTTTCGTCCACACTACTGACACCACGTGCGCAGACTTATGCCGCAGTTGTGCAGACGTCGTCGAATGCCATAGACACCAAAATGTGGCGAAGGGTGCGGTGCAGACGACACTCGCGCCTGCCACACGCCCGCCCCAATCCTGCCCGTCGTTGGGCCGAGGATCACGTGACATATCGTACCAAGTGATGGCTATGTTCTTGGCGGCCCGAGGCCACAGTTGCCAGGCGGAGCCGAAGTTTCGGTTTCGATTTCCGCTCGTGTTTAAAATTATATTTAAAAATATATATCCCATTTTTCGCGAAGCAAACGACGTAGTGTGTTTTACTAGGGCTTTTTAATTCGAAATCAATCATTATCCCGAAATCGTCGAAATTGAGCGGAGTTGCCCTTTAAGGAGAGGTCGCTCTAGCCTCCTTTGAAGCTTCAGGGGATCGACAAAGAAAGGTTTGTCGTTAACGTCCATTAGCAACAACTGGTCAATGTTGTTGTATTTTTGGTTCATGATAGAAGTCAATGTAAGCGTGTGACTATGCTAGCTACTGTTCTGGCTTCGAGTTGAGACTGTACCCTTTGAGTTTTTACAGAGAGGAGGCCGTAATGCTTTTACGATACTGCAGACTTCTACAGAATCTTGTTTTCAATTAAAATTACACATTTGTGTTGATATTATTTTTTTTCTATTCAGAATTATGCAAAATTATGAACACAACGGAACTAAGCCTCGATACTGTAGATATGAAATTTTAGAAAATTTGATAATTAGCAGAAGTAAATTCCTATAAATGTCAAATCTGAAAAAAAGGAAGAAAAAATCCAAGAACGATAAATAAACTCCAAAAACACAAAATCCGAGTAATAGCCAACGTAAGTGCATTACTTATGCATCACAATTTTAACCCTGTAACCCTCGTTTGGCCGCAATCCTCAAGATGCCTGCTATTTTGGGAAGTTTGCCGTATCCCTTACAGGCCATGGAAGTTGTAAAATGTTACAACCTAAAGTTAACACTGCTACGGTCAGTCCTAGTGCATTCAATGTAAATCGTTAATACCATCCGAGTGTGGGCCGTAATAAAAATTTCCACTCCTGCTTCTACCATAGCCTACATATATACTAGCTGCTTAGCTTAGAACAATTAATTGTTCGACAGCAGCAAAGCATACCTTGTTGGTAAAAGCACAGCATTGAAACAAGCCACAAATACACCCAACTCTTAAACATCAATAGAACTTACGCCAAAAGTGAATGTACCATGGAGTTCAAATGAAATGTGGACAGTGACGGAACTTCGAGCCCTCTATCGGCGCAGCTTCCAAGCTTGGGCTGTGGCTTGGTGAGGTTCAAACACATCGGAGTAGGACGCACAACCTCGCAGCGCCTACTTCGATGTGTTTGAACCTTGCCAAGTGCAACCCAAGCTTGAAAGCTGCGCCGATATTGGGTACAAAGTTTCGTCACTCCAAGCATTTCATTCAAACCCGATGGTATGTACATTGCACGGCACAGTCAGTGCAAACAGGACATCGGTGCTTTTTTGCATTGTGTCAAACTTCACCACTTAGGTGGAAGCCACAAATGAGCCCTTTCCATTGCACTACAGTCGCCGACCGATTTTTCCTACATCGCAGGGATCGAAAAAACGTCCGAATAATAGAGCAGTTCGAGAAATCAGCGGATTAAAAAAACTTGCCGCTATTACGTCTAAGCAGGTTTAAAAAGCCGTCAATAGTGCCTTGTTTCAGGTTACGCCTCTGCGCCTTGGTTCAGTTTCGTCTCCGCTTGAGTTCGGCCATTTTCTATTAGCTTGAGAATCGCTGCCCTCTTTTCTAGCGTTCTAGTCGAGTGCTTTCCGCCCTTCTTAGCGGCACTTCGCGGCGGTGGAACAACAGATGGGGCCATGACGTTCGAGCCAGAACACGATTCACCGAGACGAGATGAGAGGCACAAGTCCACGACTGAAGAATGGCGAATGAACAAAGCAAAATGGTAACGATGATGATAATACCTAATGACGCGCAGCTTGAAAAAAAAAAAAGCGGTCGTATAGCGTCATTTAGTGGTAGAACTTAGCAGTACTCAGGCAGAGCTGCCAAACAAAGCGAATCCATGTGCAGTCAAGATAAAACCTAAAATGGTGGCTTCTCGGTGCGCTTCCCGCTGACCGCTTGAGTCAATTTTGTCCGAAAAATCAAACTTTCAAATTTCAAGCTGTCACGATTCCTCCTTTAGGTTCAAAATATAGAGAAAGTCCGATTTATCGGCGTCCGAAAAATCGGTCGGCGACTGCTGTAGTAGTTTTGATGAGATTCTTTTATCTTAAGTAAAAAAACGGGAAACATCAGCAGATAATAGTTCCAACTAAGAGTGCCATGCTATGTGCCTAACTAATCCAACTCACGTCTCCAGACTTCGAAGGTAGCAATGAATTTAAACTGGCACGAGCCACTTTTTTGTCTAGTGTACTAGGGTTGTTAAAATAACATTACCGGTACAAGTGGCTTAATTGCATTAGGGCCTGGCCTATCATTTGTGGGAAGAATGACACCCCGAAAATAAGAGGCCGCTCACTGTCACTGTCCAATGCATAGAAACAACTTGTTTGCAAAAGATCTCTCAATCATCTTGCCTCCAGTGATTTTTTTCTTCTACTACTGTATATGTTCTGGCATCAATCGAGCTTCAAGTGCGAATGCTCCATCAGGAGAGCCCAAAAGTAAATCAGCTCATGTGGTAAGTAGGGCAAATAGAAGAGCTGTGCCCTAAGAGTCAACACACACTAGCGCGAGTATGTTTAATTATATTACGGGGGATCACTCCGAGATATGACTGCAAGTTACCACGACAACCAGGCGTCACAATGCCTGGTTGGCATGGCAACTCGCAGTTGTACGTTGGCAATCCCCCACAACGTAGTTGAACGCCACTGCATGAATGAGCGTGTAAGCGGTCAGTGACTGGAGGGAACTCGTAATTTTGACAAACTGGCTGGGGCATCCGAGCTAAGTCAGGAAAAAGCCTGCAAGACGTACTAAGCGACGGTTAACTCCAAGACAGGGGCGGAAGAGCGTAAAAACAGTAAGAGACACGGAAAGAAAAGGAGAAGGGGAATAACTTATTTGTGCTGCTGAAACCTTACCACACAAATAAAAGTTTCACAAGCACTTTACAAACAAGCTATCATTCTGAAATTCCTGGCAACAGGAGTTCAGTAAGCAAGGCACCGCTTTAGTGCGACCTTTGAAAAGCGACGGCTGGCGCCCCGATGCGTGGTGCGCATAATGCGGAGCGAAAGATATGGAGGAGAAAGACGTACCATGACGGGCCTTCCACGGCCAAGGCTGGGGTCTGCGGATCTGCTTCTGGAACCCACCTTGTTCTTGTTGGACCGTTCCTCCGCCTGCAACACGGCATGGCAGTAACGCCCGATTAACGAGTCGCTGCGACGATTACCTCCAGAATAGGGACGAAAATCCCACGAAGCAGCTTTGGGAAAACATTAGGAGCATTAAAAGCATCTTGGTTGAAAACAGCGCGACAAGACAAGGACAAAGTAAAGACGAGACAGACGACAGTGCTGCCGTGTGTCTCGTCTTTACTTTGTCCTTGTCTTGTCGCACTGTTTTAGACCAAGATGCTCATCAACCGACTAGCCCAAACATACCTTTTAGCAAGCATTAAAAAGCCATGTCTCAAAGTAGGTTAAGAGTGGTAAAATAAGTTTCTTGGAGCAGACTGGAAGCTTTAGAAGTTGAAAAAGTAGTCGACAGAGATTCCTAAGCAATGAAAGCACTGCTTTTCTTGAGCGTTTTACGAAATAAAAATGAACAGTGTGAAGCCAGCTGTGGCACCTTTAGCAACTGCACAAATTAAGATGCGAGATGCTATGAAAATACACAACATGAAATGCCGGAAAACTGCCAGCTTGGACCGAGGCAAAATAAAATAAGACAAGGGTTAGCTAGTTAGCTCATAGAACCACACTGAACCAGCTTGGCTCGTCGTCGACTCATGTTAAACGAACGTGATTAACGTTTTCTCTCCTATATTATAAATCGTCTTTTCGTAACAGTCGAGTTTATTAATGCTTGCATATTTGTGTGCATCCGTGAAATAGATTTCTTAGTAAACGATCATGGACCTTTACCACTCTTCCGCAATTATGCCCTTTGGGTGCCGCGGAATAAACTGAACATTAATAAATGCCTACATCGGTTGCCCTGGACCACGCAAGTGTCCAATCACTCAGAAACAAAGGGGTCTTTGACGCTGTCTGAAGAAAGGTCGCTTGCTGTCAAAACTAAGATTGCCTATCCCACTGCATAAATCTTCTGAACCTAGGTGACGCAGGTTTTCTAGAGGTGCCGATTTCAGCATGGGCAAGCACGGTACTGGCATCACTTTGCATGATTATGACTGTGATGGGGGTTAAAGGTGCCAGTTTCAGTGATGCGATCGATTCAAATAGATTTGGAGCACCTTTTGGAGCAGTTAAAAGTCTATTTTGAAGCAGCAAATGAAATTATCAAATATCATCCGTTTAGATTAATCTAATGGCCTGTCCATTTGTTATCATCAATTGCATGGCAGGTTTAATTCCCTCAAACACAGAACTAGCTGTTGGGTGTAGAAACACCAAGCATGACAACACTATGCTGAATGATGAAGGGCAGTATGAGCTGCTGGGAATGGTTATTTTAGCTACAGAGCCAAAGGTAAACCAAACAGTATATTCCACAGAAATCCTGTTAGAACAGAATAATACTGAGCACCCAAGTTGATGTTTCATTAAAGGGCAACTCCGCTTCATTTTTGATATTTAGAAAACTATGTACCCCTCTTCAGTATCATATAGGAAGACCCCATGTCAAATATTACGATCTAATTCCGTTTATATATTTAATAAACTGGCCAGCAAACCTTCAAGTGAGCCAAGTCGCCAAAATCTGCCAACTCTAGCATACGACATGAGGCGCAATCGTCAGCGCAGTCAGTGCGACGGAGTTGGAGCGGCCAACATTGAACCACTACGTCAGAGGCATGACTAAGTTATTCTCACGTTTTGTTTGTTTTTACTTTTCAGAGCGAAATTGAACGATGATGTCATTAGTTTCTCCTCCCGGTGTTGGCTGACCGGGCGTTCACGTGATCACCGTAACGCGGATGCGCAAGTTTGCGGTGCCCTGTGCGCTTATCGGTCTATTTCTCCGCTCCCCTTCTCCTCTTTCGTCTTCTCCCCTTCTCCCTCTCCCCCAGGCAGTCACCGTCCACGCCATGCGAAACGACCTGCCCGCGTCATGTGTCCTGTCCCTCGCTCCCTCCCGAACGTCACAAGACCACGTGGTTCAACGTGACGTGGCCATGACTCTGACGACCCGAGACCAATGTTGCCTGGCGCAACCGAAGTTTCGGTTTCGGTATCAGCTGATGTTTAAATTAGGATTACACAAATAATATTCCACATTTCGCGAATCCGAAGACGTAGAGTTGTTTAGTAGTGCTTTGTGAATTTGAATCACATGTAAGCCTAAATTTTTCGGAATTGAGCGGAGTTGCCCTTTAAGTCCTAAAGGTTGCAATAAAACATTTACTCCGTTCACTGTGCCGTCGTACAGAGAGATCCTATGCAAAGATAATAAATAAACCAGAGACATTGCATAAAAAAATAAGCTTATAAAGAAGTCCATACAAATCTTGCCACAATACACAAAACTCCTTAATAAATTTCGAATTTGAAAAAAAAAAAAAAAAATCAGGGTACTGAGGTTTTTATATATACTAGTTACAGATTTATTCAGAATTTTAGTGCAAGGTAGAGTCGTTACATCAGCACCTAAAAGGTTCCTTTCTTTTTCTTTTTTTTTAATATACCCGAGGCTTGTTTTGGGAAAGTGCTTTCTCCTTAGTACGTGGCTGCGCTGCAGCGAAGCGTGACAGAAACCATTGTGATACCTACTCTGCGGTTTTCTCTTCACAGCAGTGCACCAGTGCGCAGCGAGAAGCACGCTCAACGAAGCTACCTAACCCAGCAGAACAAACCACAAACATGAGAATATTGCGCGACCTCCGATATTTTTACAGCGAAACTGTCTATGGCTGGGTTCTGGCGGATCGTCTCCGGCGACGGATCGAGCGTAGACAACAATTTTCAAACACAATGATGTATGCCCCTCTTTATGCTGCTCTCCACCGCCGCTGCCTCTTTCTTGAGTCACGTATAATCCTCGCCACGTGCAACGGCTCTCTCACCCGACATTGCACAATGCCGCGCGCTCTTCGGCGGCCCCCTGTGCGGCACACTAGAGCCTGCGCCATGATTGGCGTAGCCACGCTATAATAGAACGTCTCTCTCCCCCCTAACATTGCGCAACGCCTCTCGCTCTTTGGCGGCCACTTTTGCAGTGCACTAGAGCCTGCGACGTGATTGGCGTAGCCACGTTATAATAAAACGTCATTGTCTCAACCAGAGCGCCAGCTTCGCTGGACTTCCCTCGTCACGGGGTGGAAGGGCTCTCGATTTTTTTAATATTTGATATTTGATATTTTATACAGAAATCAAATCGGGTAGTATGTTACTTAAATCAAAACTTTAAAAAGTTTGGGCAAGCCTACCGGAAGGATCCGGCCGTTCAGCGGGTCTTCAGCTGTTATATTCTCAGTATTAATAAAGAGAAATTATGTTTTGGCGAACGATGGCGCAAATCCATCACTTTTGGTCGAAATGTAGCAGGATGTAGCAGGGTAAGCACTTTGGTGCAGTTTGGCACAAATGGTGCACCAATCACATCACTGCAGTCTGCAGCTACACTTGAGCAATAAAAATATGAAGAGGCAATATTTTGAGACAAACGAACCCCATGCTTTGTAAACGGCTCTACAACAACAAAATACTTGTGCTACGACGATGGCAACACCAATGAAGAAGCAAACGTGAGCCCAACCAAATGGGTTAAATATATTTGACAAAATTAAGCTGCCGAAAAAAGAAAAAAGATTGAGACTTGTTTGTGTTAAGGAAAAATGTAACAACCACAAATGAAGCCAGTAAACAAATTTGGCTAAGGTATACGTCACAGCCCTTATCTTGACCTGGCAGACAGTAACGACGTGACAACAAGCCTAGAAATGTTGGCATCAAAACCAAGTTGAAAGAAGATAGCACACAAGTGCATGTATCGCCACTTACTATGTATGTTGGCGATACACGTCTGTATTACCACGTGACCGACAATATATAGATAGTGACGCATACTTGTATCTTTATGTCTGAGCAAGGGTACTACTAGTAAGATGATAGTACGACGAAATGAGGAAATGCATGGAATCAATGTGGTAATAACTTGCTGTGAATTTGGATATTTATAAAAGAATATAGGGAAGCTTCTCTCCAATTGACATTTGAAACAAAATCTGAAGCAAGAAAATAATATAAGTAAAACGAATAAAGGATAAACCACTACAGAGGGGAAATCTTTACCTATAGGTCAAAACAAAGAACTTGTATCACCCAACTTTGTTCCAAACGAGTTGTTGAAAAAGTTTAATTTTTTTTGCGAATCATTGTTTGTATTTTTCTGTATGGTTACTAAATCGAGAAACCAGAGTGACGGAAGGCAGTGACGGAAGGACAGGATAAATACGAAAAAGCAAGAAATGCCATTGCATCACTAGGTCCCCTCGCCCCCCTCCCCTGAACGAAACATACGAGCGCCAAAAGTCCTCTGAGCAACAATGACGTAAAAAGAATCAGTCCCGCATTAGCACAGCACAGGGTTAATGCAACACGCACACGCACGTGCATACAAAGGGCACCGAAACTTGGAATCGAAACCGACAGGAAACAATACGCTCGCACTACAAACAAAGCAGACGCAGTAAGGGCCCAACCATACCCGTTCGTGAGTCACAAATCCCAGAACTCTCCTCATTCCGACGGCGACGCAGCAATGGCACAAGCCGCATCCAGACGTCCGGTCGCGGGGCAATGTCGGGAACGCGCCATCGCGAAAAGCGTACATTCAACTCTGCGTCTGTCGACGACTCTGTCCGATACCGTCTCCTCACAAAAAAAATCATGGGGCGGAGCAAAGCGGTCCCTCCTTTTCTCAGTGTCATTACAGGACCCGACAGACACAAATACTAATAGAAAAAAAAAAAAAAACTCTAGTGATAGCAAATAAAAAAGGTTGAAACAGGAAAAAAGGACGCTTCCCCGATTCCCTCCTTCTCCAGACGAGACAGGAGCACCGGTTTTGGGGGTGGAGGGAAAAACACCTGGCTCAAAAACCTGTACATGCCCACGCCCCTTCCCCCTCCACCCCCTCCACCCCCTCCACCCCCCCTGCGGAGATGATGACGAAGACAGGAAAGAGACACACCCTTTGGGGGTCTATGCACGCA